TAGAACCTTCCCTGAGCCCCCCTGCTCTTCCCACAGCTGCGCATGGAGTACCTGTCCCTGATGTATGCTGTGGTTCGCTCCACACCCTACCTGCAGCACCGCCATCGGCTGCCCGACCTGCAGGCCACGCTCCGGCGCATCCTATTGGAGGAGGAAGTTTCGCCCCAGTGCCAGATGGACCGCATGATTGTCCGAGAGATGTGCAAAGAATTCCCAGTGCTGGGAGAAGCCCCCAGCTAGCATTTCCCTTTTTTTCTCCCTTCCCTGTAGCCCTGGTCAGGGTTACAGGGGACTTCAAGGAGGGGGGTTTACCCTAAGATCATTTTGCACTGGCATTAGGAGTGGATAAAGAAGCAGAAGGACCTGAGCAAGAGCCCCCACCCCCACCCCCACTGCGCACACTTGAAGTGGAACATAATGATGCACGGGGCCAAATGTAGGATTGGGGACCAAGGTGTGGGAGCTCTGCTGGGACGGAAGAAACGTGCAAGCTGAAGTTCAATTCCCCGCCTCTTCAGCATGCCACCCCGCCCCCCACCCCCGTACCCACGTGCACACCCACAGTCCTGCTATTGCTCCAGGCTGGGCCAGAGTTCTTCACCCTTTATCCTGCCTGCTCTGAGCCCTGGCGTCAGCAGAGCCGTGCCCTTGGGGTGGAGGGAGAAGCCCCTCCCACCAGCTCTTTGCCTTAGCTTTGCAGTGAGTTTGTCGCTCATGTGCAGCCCTGTCTCTGTACCCTTTCTCCCCCACCCCTTCCCCTAATAAGGATCTGTGCCCACCCCACTCACCCACCCACCCCACTGCTTTCAGCCCCCCCAGAGGCCTTGGCCAACCCTGCTTCTTGACAAGCAGGATTCTTGGAAACAGTCCATCCAGCCTGAAACCTCATGAAACGGGACGATGGTACCAAGAATGAAAACAAATGAATCTTATTTTCTCTGTTTAAAAAAAAAAAAAATGCAGACCGAAAAGCCATGTGTATTTTCCTATGTGCTGCAGCTCATCTTTGGAAATAAATTAACAGTCATCTGGAAATGGGATTCTCTGGATGATCCTGGGGGGCAGGACAGCGGAAGCATAGGGGTGCTGGGGGGCCCCAGCTCCTAAGAGCTCAGTAACTCTAGTATGCACTGACTTCAGCCCGGTGGGTGATGGACTCTGACAGGCCTGGATCTCTCTCTCTCCATCCCCACAGGCTTGGTTCCAGCCTTTCTACTCTGATCTCTCTTTTCCCAGAGACCACAGTCAATACCCCCTGTAGCCAGGTGCCAGTGGCTCACAACTGTAATCCTAGCTACTTAGGAGGCTGAGATCTGAGGATCGCAGTTCAGAGCCAGCCCTGGTAGGAGAGTCTGTGAGACACTTATCTCCAATAAACCACTAGAAAATTGGAAATGGTGCTGTGGCTCAAAGTGCTCTCCTTGAGCTGAAGAGCTGAGGGACAGTGCCCAGGCCCAGAGTTCAAGCCCCACAACCAACAAAACCAAAAAATACCCCCTGTAGTCAACTTATGAGGAGCATCTCCAGGCTTTATTCACATCTTCCTTTTTCTCTTTCATCCTTCCCTCCCTTTCCTTTCCTTTCTTTTTTTGGCCAGTCCTGAGGCCTGAACTCTGAACTCTGGGCCTGGGTACTGTCCCTGAGCTCTTCAGCTCAAAGTGAGTGCTCTATCATTTGAGTTACAGTGCCACTTCCAGCTTTTTCTGTTTATGTGGTGCTGAGGAGTCGAACCAAGGGCTTCATGTATGCGAGGCAAGCACTCTACCACTGAGCCACCTTCCTGTTTTCTGAGTCATCCCTCTTTTCTCAGTTGAAACTCTTGTCTTCCATGGCTGTTCCTAAAGGAAGCCAGCCTTCCTCCAGCCCCAATATTATCCAGTACTAGTTTCCTTGTGATGGCAGCCACAGCAGAGATGTGGTCATTTCAGTAGGTCACAGAATATGTTAACAAGGGCAGAGGTAGGTTTGTAGTCAGTACTGGGTCTTGAACTCAGGGCCTTGCTGTCTGGTTTATCCTTTTCACTCAAGGCTGGTACTGTATGTACCACATGAGCCACACCTCCACTTCTATGGTTTGCTGGTTCATTGGAGATAGGTGTCTCATAGACTTTCCTGCCCAGGTTGGTTTTGAGTCTTGATCTTCAGATCTCAGTCTCCTGAGTAGCTAGGATTACAGGCCTGAGCTACCAGTGCCCAGCTTTTATTTCTTACCCGAGACCCCTTATTCATCAGATGGGGCCACACATCTACAGTCACTGGCTTTGACTGGTTTGGAAGAATAGAATTTTTTTTCCCCAGTCCTGGGGCTTGAACTCTGGGCCTGAGCATGGTCCCTGAGCTTCTTTTGCTTAAGGCTAGCACTGTTACCACTTGAGCCACAGTGCCACTTCTGGCTTTTTCTGTGTATGTGTTACTGAGGAATCGAACCCAGGGATCCATGCACGCTAGGCAAGCACTCTACCATGAAGCCACCTTCCCAGCCCCTGGAAGTATTTTTTGTAGGCACTTTAGGATTTTTGTCTTTTTTTATTTTTTTTCAGTCATGGGGCTTGAGATTTGTCCACATAGCCAAGACCTAGGACAACACCACTGTCTCTTGCTGATGTGACCTAATTTTTATTTGGGTCAGTCATAGGGCTTGAACCCATGGCCTGGGTGTTGTCTCTGAGCCACTTCAAGTCACAGTGCCACTTCCAGTTTTCTAGTGGTTAAAGGTCCCATGGACTTTCCTGCTCAGTCTGGCTTCAAATTGTGATCCTCAGTTTTCAGCCTCCGGAGTAAGCTAGGATGACAGGCATGGCCAGAACTTCTTCAAACTGTGCCTCAAGTTTCTGCAGGATTTCCCAGATCTTTAACAAGGGCTAGGGGCTTCCTCTGTACTTTCCTTCTCACTGATGCCCAACCTTCCTCCTTTCCTTCCTCTAAGTTTATACTCTACTCAGTAGGCTGTGGCAGGCATGGCAGGCACTGTCAAAACCATTCCTGGGAACCAGGTTCCGGTGCCTCACACCTGTAATCTTAACTACTCAGGGAGCCTGAGATCTGAGGATCTGAGTTTGAAGCCAGGCTGGGCAGGAAATTCTGTGAGACCTTTATGTCCAATTAACCACCAAAATGCCAGAAGTAGAACTGTGGTTCAAGGGGTAGAGTACCAGACGAGTAAAAAAAGGTCAGGGACAGGACCCTGAGTTCCAGCCATAGTACCTGCGGGGGGGGGGGGCACCCAGTGGCTATCATCCAATGTAATTCCATTTTCAGTGCCTCTTGGAGGTGTCCCATCTCTACCTACCACGTATAAGAGCCCATCGTACTGTGCTTCCGACCCAGAACGCCAACCCTAAGCAGGTTCTTCAGACCAGGAGAACACGGCGGACACCCAGCCGCAGTTCCCGGCAGCCACGTGGGGGGCCCAGAAGGTGGAACCCGCTGGAGCCCCGCCTCCCGGAAGTCCAAGACTGAGAGAACGTCCTGATTGGTTGCTGGTGATGTCATAGGTGCCCTGGGGGGGGGCGGGCTGGAGATCCGGGTCTGGAGTTCTCGCTCAATCTGAAGCGGGATCCAGGGTGGGGATGGGGCGGGGGGGGGGGGGGGGGGGAGGGGGGGCGGGGAGGTTGCACCCAGTGGAATGTTCTGGGTTCTTGGTCCTGATCCTCCTCTCCTCTCTGTGCCAGGATGTTCGTGTACCCCTCTGCACTTGCTACTGTAGCCCTTTATTAAAGTCGCCCTCGGAGGCTGGCTTGAGACAGCGGCTTCCGGATTCTCCAGTTGGTTAGAAGCCAACCTCGTCCTTTACAATGAATCCACCGCGCGGGGCGGGGCTTCCCATTGTGCCAATGGAAACAGTGACTCGCTGATTGGGCGGCTCCGCCCTCCCTCCCGCCCTCCCGCGGCTTCAAGCCTGGCCATTGGTCGGCCGGAGACCAGCGCCCCGGCCCGGAGTCGATCCCGGGCGGAGGCTGAACGGAGCCCTCGCTCCCTTCAAGGGGTTAAGCGATGATGTTGGTCAAGGGGCGGGGATCTGAGGCAGGTGGGCGCACCTCTGGGGTGGGGGTGGCGGGAGGGGATGGGGGGCAGCTCTGGGCTCCACGTGGCATCCCAGAGCACTCAGGTCCGCGGCCCGCAGAGAGAGAGAGAGAGAGAGACAGACAGACAGACAGAGAGGAAATGGAAGAGAATATTCATCTCCAGCCCCTGCTTCGGGGAGACGCTCTCCCCCCCACCCCAATAAAGACAAAAGTGGAGGGGGGAGCAGATTTGCGACCTGTTTCTCAAGTTGAATTTGAGATCAAGTAGTTCAAGCTATTGTTAGGGCGGCTGACGCCCTGGCATTCCCCCCCCCACCCCCAAATCTGGCCTTCACCTCCCTTGTTTCCCCCCGCCCCCCGATTCGTGAGGATACTGACAGCACCTCTTAGACACCCGAATTTCAGACCAAATTCGGGTAACAGAGTTTGGAACTCGTATTCAGGAGAGGAGGGCAGAAGGAAGGTTCAAGCTGGAACAGCGCCCTAAAGAGAGAGGCGGGGAGTGAGGGGGGGGAGGGCGGCGGCCGAGGGGCGGGAGGGCGGACCCGACGGCGGAGGAACGCCACGGCCCATTCAGCACCGTGGGCAGCGCTCGCGCCCTCGACCAAAATGGCGGGCACGGCTTCCGTCGCCGGAGTTGCCATGCGCGATGGGTCGTACCACCGGGTTTCGGGCATCCGGGCGGAGGTGGAGCAAACCATCGGGGCGGCCGGGAGCCATGTTGGAGCGTCGGGAGGCGGCCGCCGCGTCGGGGATGCTGCGGTGGGGGCAGCAAAAGCCGGGGCCGTATGCCAAAGGGGCTCTGGCGACGGAGTAGATGGTGCCCAGAGGGCAGTGGCGGCGCGGAGCGACAAGCCGAGGGGTGGGGGGCCGGGCCGGCGGCAGGGGCCCGGGAAGGGGCCCGAGCGGCTGGGCGGGCCCAAGGCCCAATCCCTGGCGGGGGGCGGTGGAGGCTGGACCGGGAGGCGGGGGGTGATGGCGAGGCGGCCACGGTGGCAGGGTCTCGGGGGATCGTCGACCCCGATACTCCTGCTCCTTCTCCTCGTCTCTTTGTTCCCCCTCAGCCTGGAGGAGCTGGGGGGCGGCTGGGACCCCGCTGTTGCGACGGGGCCAGGGGCGCAGCAGATCGGTGGCGAAGCCTTAGCTCTTTGTCCCGAACCGCCTCACGCCCGGGAGGATGGAGAGCCTGGCCTAGAAGTGCCGGAGTCTGTCTTCATGGGGCTCCGAGCCGGGCGGCGAAACATCCGGAACGGCGGAGGTGCCCCCGAGCTGCAACCCGCCCAGCCCGAGGTCCCGGCAGCGCACAGCCGAGAGCCAGGGGCAGGACGGGGGCCGGGGGCTCCGGCATGCTGGCACCCAGAGGTGTCTTCCTGCGGGTGGCCCGGGCCTAGGCGGAGAGGCAGTGTGTCGCCAGAGGCTCTGCCCCCAGGGGGGACGGGACTGGGGGACATGTCTCCCCTCCCATCAGACCTTCCGGCTCCATCCGATGACCCCGAGTCAGGGTCCTCTCGGCCACCCTCGAGGCGAGGAATCGGCCAAACAGTGGAGCCCTCCCGCTGCTGCAGGGAACCGTGGGCCCCAGGACCCCAAGGGCAGGGCGGACAAGCCGCGGGAAGAACAGCCCTTCGGCGGGATTGTCTCCCCGGCGGCGGCGGCGGCGGCGTGGCCTCCGGTCCCGGGTGGGATTCAGCACCTCGGGCGGTGAGGAGAGCTCCTCCGCCCGCTTCAGCACCCCACGAGTCGCGGACAGCTCCCCGGCGGGTTTCGGAGCGCATGCGCTTCCGCGGTCTCTTCCGCCTCCGCCGCCGCCGGCGCCGCCGCCGCCGCCACCACCATCACCATCACCATCATCTCCGCCGCCTCCTCCCGCAGCCGATGCGCGGCCCTGGCGGCCCCGCGGTGCCCGAAACCCGACGGCGGCGGATGGCCTCCGAGGAGCGGCCGCGCCCCCGTCGCGCCGCCAACCGTCACCCCCAGTTTCCGCAGTACAACTATCAGACCTCGGTCCCCGAGAACGAGGCGGCGGGCACGTCGGTGCTGCGCGTGGCGGCCCAGGACCCGGATCCCGGCGAGGCCGGGCGTCTGGTGTACTCGCTGGCGGCGCTCATGAACAGCCGCTCGCTGGAGCTGTTCAGCATCGACCCGCACAGCGGCCTCATCCGGACCGCGGCCGAGCTGGATCGCGAGAGCATGGAGCGCCATTACCTGCGGGTGACGGCGCAGGACCACGGCTCCCCCCGCCTCTCGGCCACCACGATGGTCGCCGTGACCGTGGCCGATCGCAACGACCACGCGCCCGTGTTCGAACAGGCCCAGTACCGGGAGACGCTGCGCGAGAACGTGGAGGAAGGCTACCCCATCCTGCAGCTGCGGGCCACGGACGGCGACGCGCCCCCCAACGCCAACCTGCGCTACCGCTTCGTGGGGCCGCCGGCCGCGCGGGGCGCCACGGCCTTCGAGATCGACCCGCGTTCCGGCCTCATCAGCACCAGCGGCCGCGTGGACCGGGAGCACGCGGAGAGCTACGAGCTGGTGGTGGAAGCCAGCGATCAGGGGCAGGAGCCGGGACCCCGCTCGGCCACCGTGCGGGTCCACATCACGGTGCTGGACGAGAACGACAACGCGCCCCAGTTCAGCGAGAAGCGCTACGTGGCGCAGGTGCGCGAGGACGTGCGCCCGCACACGCCGGTGCTGCGGGTGTCCGCCGCCGACCGCGACAAGGACGCCAACGGCCTGGTCCACTACAACATCATCAGCGGCAACAGCCGCGGCCGCTTCGCCATCGACGGCCTCACCGGCGAGATCCAGGTGGTGGCGCCGCTCGACTTCGAGGCGGAGAGGGAGTACGCCCTGCGCATCCGGGCGCAGGACGCGGGCCGGCCCCCGCTGTCCAACAACACGGGCCTGGCCAGCATCCAGGTGGTGGACGTGAACGATCACGCTCCCATCTTCGTGAGCACGCCCTTCCAGGTGTCGGTGCTGGAGAACGCGCCCCTGGGCCACTCGGTCATCCACATCCAGGCGGTGGATGCGGACCACGGGGAGAACGCCAGATTGGAGTACTCCCTGACCGGGGTGGCGGCCGACACGCCCTTCGTGATCAACAGCGCCACCGGCTGGGTGTCGGTGAGCGGGCCCCTGGACCGCGAGTCGGTGGAGCATTACTTCTTCGGGGTGGAGGCCCGGGATCATGGCGCCCCGCCCCTGTCCGCCTCGGCCAGCGTCACCGTGACGGTGCTGGACGTGAACGACAATCGGCCCGAGTTCACCACGAAAGAGCATCACCTGCGGCTGAACGAGGACGCGGCCGTGGGCACCAGCGTGGTCAGCGTGACGGCGGTGGACCGCGACGCCAACAGCGCCATCAGCTACCAGATCACGGGTGGCAACACCCGGAACCGCTTCGCCATCAGCACCCAGGGCGGGGTGGGCCTCGTCACGCTGGCCCTGCCGTTGGATTACAAGCAGGAACGCTACTTCAAGCTGGTGCTCACCGCCTCCGACCGGGCCCTCCACGACCACTGCTACGTCCACCTCAACATCACCGACGCCAACACGCACCGGCCCGTCTTCCAGAGCGCTCACTATTCGGTGAGCATGAACGAGGACCGGCCGGTGGGGAGCACCGTGGTGGTCATCAGCGCCTCCGACGACGACGTGGGGGAGAATGCCCGGATCACCTACCTTCTAGAAGACAACCTGCCTCAGTTCCGGATAGATGCAGACTCCGGGGCCATTACCTTACAGGCCCCCCTGGACTACGAGGACCAAGTGACCTATACCCTGGCCATTACTGCCCGAGACAACGGTATCCCACAGAAAGCAGACACCACTTACGTGGAGGTGATGGTCAATGATGTCAATGACAACGCGCCACAGTTCGTGGCCTCCCACTACACCGGGCTGGTCTCCGAGGATGCGCCACCTTTCACTAGTGTCCTCCAGATCTCAGCCACCGACCGGGATGCCCACGCCAACGGCCGGGTTCAGTATACTTTCCAGAATGGGGAAGATGGTGATGGGGATTTTACCATCGAGCCCACCTCCGGAATTGTCCGGACGGTCAGGCGGCTGGACCGAGAGGCAGTGCCCGTGTACGAGCTCACTGCCTACGCGGTGGACCGTGGTGTGCCCCCGCTACGGACGCCGGTGAGTATCCAGGTGACTGTCCAAGACGTGAATGACAACGCACCCGTCTTCCCAGCCGAAGAGTTTGTAGTGCGAGTGAAGGAGAACAGCATTGTGGGCTCAGTGGTGGCTCAGATCACCGCGGTAGACCCGGATGAAGGCCCCAACGCCCACATAATGTACCAGATCGTGGAAGGGAACATCCCCGAGCTGTTCCAAATGGACATCTTCTCTGGAGAGCTGACAGCACTCATTGATCTAGATTATGAGGCCCGCCAGGAGTATGTGATTGTGGTCCAAGCCACCTCTTCTCCCTTAGTCAGCAGAGCCACTGTGCACGTCCACCTCGTTGACCAGAATGACAACAGTCCCGTGCTCAACAACTTCCAGATCCTCTTCAACAACTATGTGTCCAATCGCTCAGACACCTTCCCCTCAGGAATCATCGGCCGCATCCCAGCTTATGACCCGGATGTTTCTGATCATCTCTTCTATTCCTTCGAGCGTGGCAATGAATTGCAGTTGCTGGTTGTCAACCAGACCAGCGGGGAGCTTCGACTCAGCCGAAAGCTAGACAACAACCGCCCACTGGTGGCCTCCATGTTGGTGACGGTCACAGGTAAGAGGCAAAGGGTAAGCAAGGCACTGAGTGTCCCAAAGCTATCAGGGCCTCAAGCCAAAAAGGGACTCCATAGAGTACCTCAAAACAGAGAATTAAGATGGGCTTCGGTGGCTCACGCCTGTCATCCTAGCTACTCAGGAGGCTGAGATATGAGGATCACAGTTTGAAGCCACCCTGGGCAGGAAAGTCCATGAGATTCTAATCACCAACAAACTAGTCAGAAAAAGCCAGAAGTGGCGCTGTGGCTCAAGTAGTAGTATGCTAGCCTTGAGTACAGAGAGGCCTAGGCCCTGAGTTCAAGCCCCAGGTGTGGCCAAAAAAAATCAACAAAAAACAAACACCAAAAGCATAATTACTTTCAAGAATCCCTTTTTGTGTGACTTGGCTAGCACTGAGGCTTAAACTCAAGGCCTGGGTGCTATTCCTTAACTTTTTCACTTAAGGACAGTTATACTGTTTGAGCCACATTTCTAATTTTGTCTTTTTGCTGTTTAATTAGAGATTATAGAGTCTCCCGCTTCAGGTGGCTTCAAACTACAATCCTCAAATATCAGCCTTTTGAGTAGCTAGGATTATAGATGTGAGCTGATGCCCAGCTCATTTATGCTTTTTATTCTCCCCCCCATAACCCCCATCCTGGGCTTTGAACTCAGGGCCTGGGTGCTGCCTCTGAGCATTTTTGCTCAAGGCTAGTGCTCTACTACTTGAGCCATAGCTCCATTTCTGGCTTTTTGGTGGTTCATTGGAGATAAGAATCCATGGACTGGGGCTGGGAAGGTGGCTCAGTGGTAGAGCACTTGCCTTGCATGCCTGAGGCCCTGGGTTCGATTCCTCAGTACCACATAAGCAAAAAGAAAAAAAGCCAGAAGTGGCGTTGTAGCTCAAGTGGTAGAGCGCTAGCCTTGAGCTGAAGAGCTGAGGGACAGCGCCCAGGCCCAGAGTTCAGGCCCCACGACAGGACCCCCCAAAAAAAAGAATCTCATGGACTTTCCTTCCTGGGCTAGCTCTGAACTGTGATCCTCAGATCTTGAGTAGCTAGGATTATAGGCGTGAGCCACTGGCACTCATAATTATTTACTTTTTTTTTTTTTTTTTGATCAGTCATGGGGCTTGAACTCTGGGCCTTGGGCGCTGTCCCTCAGCTCTTCAGCTTAAGCCTAGTGCTCCATCACTTGAGCCACAGCACCACTTCCAGCTTTTTCTGTTTATGTGGTGCTGAGGAATCAAACCCAGGGCCTCATGCATGTGAGGCAAGCACTCTATCACTGAGCCACCCACCCAGCTCCCCCCCCCCTCCTCCCGTGATTATTTACTTTTAACAACCATTTTTGGTTAAGTACCCAATATGTAATAGGTTTGGGGACAAGGTAATCACCTCACCATACTAAAACTACAGGACTCAGGTTTAGAATTGCAAGCAGCTTGCTACTCAAAAAAGTGTGTGTGTGTGTGTGTGTGTGTGTGAGAGAGAGAGAGAGAGAGAGAGAGAGAGAGAGAGAGAGAGAGAGAGAGAGAGAATGAGAATAAAAGTACAAAGTCTTCCTTGAGCTTGCTGCCCCAGGGGTTCTGGGTATTGAGTATTTATTCACTGGCCCCAGACCCCTTCTAGTGTCACGGAAGAGCAGTTTGCTGACTAGAGTCGGGCATGGGTAATTCCTGATGTAGAATCCTCCTTGTTGCTTGGAGAAGACAGTTTGCTGATTCTGCTATGCTGAGGAAAGGGAAGAGGGAGGCAGCCGGGAATGAATGGCCCTGGCTTGTCTTGTGTCCCGATTGAAGGTAACCTGCTGATCATAATCACAAGAACTGTGGGTTATCAGAACGGTTAGCTGCCCTGTGGGTGGAGACTCCCAGAGTTGGGAGCCAGACCAGAGCTGGGTGAACCTGTCTGATCAGACCCTTGCTTGTGTTGGCAATGTGGGTAGGTCCATCCAGCCTTGGTGCTGGATGGGGAGGTCAGCCTGTTGACTCAGAAAAAAACAAAAAACAGCTACTGACCCCCCCCCAGCTGACCACTTACCACTGCCCCTTCCCCCCGCAGATGGCTTGCACAGCGTGACAGCGCAGTGCGTGCTGCGTGTGGTTATCATCACCGAGGAGCTGCTGGCTAACAGCCTGACGGTGCGCCTGGAGAACATGTGGCAGGAGCGCTTCCTGTCACCCCTGCTGGGCCACTTCCTTGAGGGCGTGGCCGCGGTGCTGGCCACGCCCACCGAGGACGTCTTCATTTTCAACATCCAGAACGACACGGACGTGGGAGGCACCGTGCTCAACGTGAGCTTCTCGGCGCTGGCACCTCGTGGGGCCGGGGCGGGCGCGGCAGGGCCGTGGTTCAGCTCCGAGGAGCTGCAGGAGCAGCTGTACGTGCGCCGGGCCGCCCTGGCCGCGCGCTCGCTGCTCGACGTGTTACCCTTCGACGACAACGTGTGCCTGCGGGAGCCCTGCGAGAACTACATGAAGTGCGTGTCCGTGCTCCGGTTTGACTCCTCGGCGCCTTTCCTGGCCTCTGCCTCCACGCTCTTCCGACCCATCCAGCCCATCGCCGGCCTGCGCTGCCGCTGCCCGCCCGGCTTCACCGGCGACTTCTGCGAGACGGAGCTGGACCTCTGCTACTCCAACCCGTGTCGCAACGGAGGCGCCTGTGCGCGGCGCGAAGGGGGCTACACGTGCGTCTGCCGCCCGCGCTTCACAGGTAAAAATCTGGGGGGAGGATTTCTGGCAAAGCTTGGGGTGCTGGGGGGGCAGAACGGGGACGGAGCATCACCTCTGGGGGAGGCAGGCCCTCCCCGCTTCCCGCCCAGTGGTTTAGGTTCGCTTTGAAGCTACTGGAGCCTGAGGAGGCGTGGTCAAGGGCGTGGCCAAATATGGGATTGGAGTATGGGCGTGTCCGGTTGGATGGGGTCAAACGGTGGGCGTGCCCATCTGGGTGGGGGGGGCTTAGTCAAATCTGGGATTGGTGGATAGGGCGGCCTCAGGCTGAATGAGGGCGTGTCCACAGACAGCTCAACCACTCAAAAGTCTCATAACCCGGCCCGGCCTCTTCGCCCCACCCCTTCCTCCCCCCACCTTTGGAGGGGCGGGCCGTCTGGGGCGTGGGCGGGGCCTGGTAGCCGCCGCGGCTGACGGGCTCTGGCTCCCGGCAGGGGAAGACTGCGAGCTGGACACGGAGGCCGGCCGCTGCGTGGCGGGCGTCTGCCGCAACGGGGGCACCTGCACCAACGCGCCCAACGGCGGCTTCCGCTGCCAGTGCCCCGCGGGCGGCGCCTTCGAGGGCCCGCGCTGTGAGGTGGCCGCTCGCTCCTTCCCGGCCAGCTCCTTCGTCATGTTCCGCGGCCTGCGACAGCGCTTCCACCTCACGCTGTCCCTCTCGTAGGTGCCCGTCCCGTGTGTCTCCGAGCGTTGCTACGCTGTCGCTACCGTCGTTGTCTCTTGGTTTCTCACTGCCCCCCCCCCCGTCCTGATGTCCCCACGGGGTGGGGGACATACCCTCCCCTGACACCCACTGCGGTGCCTCAGAACATCCGGGTATCCAGGGGCCGGCACGTCCCCGCCCCGGCTCCGCTTAGGCCGAGGCCCGGATGGAGGGTGTGCGGGTTCCGTTTGGATGGAGGGTGTGCGGGTTCCGTTCGGCCTCTAACTCCTGCTCCCCCTAGGTTTGCCACCGTGCAGCCCAGCGGGCTGCTGTTCTACAATGGGCGTCTGAACGAGAAGCACGACTTTCTGGCCTTGGAACTTGTGGCTGGCCAAGTACGGCTCACGTATTCCACGGGTGAGTGCTTCCACGCATGCGCATGACACTGACCTGGGTACAGGTGTTGCCAGAACAGTTGACAGGAAAAATAAAATCCATGAATTCCCTCAGGTGTCCCTCACTGTGCATATAAACTCATAGCTCTGTGGCCATTCCGTGTGTGTGTGTGTGTGTGTGTGTGTGTCTGTTTGTGTCTGTGTGTGTCTGTGTACGCGCGTGCACATGTGCTGGTACTAAGGTTTGACCTCAGGGTCTTGAGCCTTTTTTTTTTTTTTTTTGGCCAGTCCTTGGGCTTGAACTCAGAACCTGGCCCTGAGCTTCTTTTTGCCCAAGGCTAGCGATCGACCACGTGAGCCACAAGCGCCACTTCCAGCTTTTTCTATTGGTGTGGTACTGAGGAATCAAACCCAGGGCCTCATGCATGCTAGGCAAGCACTCTACCACTAAGCCACCTTCCCAGCCTTCCTTTTTAAATTTTATTTATTTTTATTGTTATTATAACGGTGATGTACAAAGGGGTTACAGTTGTAAGTCAGGTAAAGAGTGCATTTCTTTCTCTCTCTCTCTCTCTCTCTCTCTCTCTCTCTCTCTCTCTCTCTCTCTTTCTTTTACCCCCATTGGCCACGGGGCTTAAACTTAGGGCCTGGGTACTGTCCCTAAGCTATTTTGCTCAAAGCTAGAGCTGTACCACTTTGAGAAGAGCACCACTTTCTGGTGATTACATGGAGATAAGAGTCTCATAGACTTTCCTGCCTGGGCTGGCTTTGAACCACGATCCTCATATCTCAGCCTCCTGAATAGCTAGGATTATGGGCATGAGCCACTAGCTCCTGGAAAAAGTACATTTCTTCGTGGACAGTGTCATCCCTTCCTTCGTGTTCTTGCAATTTTTCCCCTCCTGTCCCCACATACAAGTTGTATAGTTCATTTTTCACATAGTATCCAGTGAGCACTGCTATTACATTTGTTCACCTTTTGTGGTCTGGAGCTTTTGCTTAGCATTTTCATGCCTCCAGTCCTTTGGACATTCTCTCTGGGAAGGTCTATTTCTCCAGGACGTGTGGGTTGCTCTTATCTATTTAAGGGAACCCCAATCCTGATGGTGTGTTCACTAGAAGGTATCCTAATCAGCCATACACTGTGTTTTTATTGATTTTTTTTTTTTTTTTTTTGGTCAGTCATGGGGCTTGAACTCTGGGCCTGGGCACAGTCCCTGAGCTCTTCAGCTCAGGTATCCTAATCAGATACATTCAGGATGACCCTGGGAATAACTGTACATAGATGACTAGGGTGGGGGGTGGGGGGGGTGGGGGGGGTGGGGGTGGGATAATCCCAACAGCTCCAGACTATCCTCTCCATGAATATTTATTTCCCTCATGCATATTTATTTCCTCATAGGTGAATCGAACACAGTGGTCAGCCCCACAGTTCCAGGGGGCCTGAGTGATGGGCAGTGGCACACAGTACATCTGAGATACTACAACAAGGTGGGCACCGCCCTTAGCATAGTGTTTGTGGGGTAGGGTGGGGGTGGGAGTTAGGATTCTGAGTTCTGTCCCTCAGGGGTTACCCTAGGGGCATTGTTGACTGCTGTGCCTGGGTCTTTAGCCCCGGACAGATGCCCTAGGGGGTGCTCAGGGCCCTTCCAAGGACAAGGTGGCTGTGTTGAGCGTGGATGACTGCAATGTGGCTGTGGCTCTGCAGTTTGGTGCCGAGATTGGCAACTATTCATGTGCGGCTGCTGGTGTACAAACAAGCTCCAAGAAGTGAGGCCCCTACCCCACCCCCCATCCCTATGCCCACTGCTAACCACAGCCCACCCCAATGCTTCACATACCCCAGCCTGCCAAATTCCCTGTCCTCTCCCCTACACTGCCAGGATTCCCTCTCCATTCAAAGATCCTAATGCCTACTCACTCTAGCCCCCGATCCTGTTTTTACCTCTTGAGTTCATGCTTCCACACACAAATAAGTCTTTTGGTAGTCGTCAGGCATCTGGTCTACCAAAGTCTCCACCTCCGCCCCCCCTCCTTACCCCTTCACCCAAGTGTCTAATGTCACACATCCCCAGCCTTGTAACTTCACACCCAGCCCTACTGATCTCACTCCCCAATCCCACTTCTCCACCTCCTATCTCAGCCACCTAAGTGCCTCGCCTTCATCAGAGTCCTCACCCCCAACTCCCCAATCTTTCTCCAGACCATCTGTTCATCATGATCTCTCCTTTGCACCCCTAAACTCCTTCCCCTAGCTTGACCTCTTTCCTCAGTCACTCTGCCCTCAGTTTTTACCCCTCCTCCTCTCCCCCCATAACTCCCAGTGGCTCTCCACAAGTGACTCTATCCTCTGGTCCCAGTCCTACCAATGACCCAGACCACTGACCCCCAGGTCCCTGGACCTGACGGGCCCTCTGCTTCTGGGGGGTGTCCCCAACCTCCCGGAGAACTTTCCCGTGTCCCACAAGGACTTCATTGGCTGCATGCGAGACCTGCACATCGACGGCCGCCGAGTGGACATGGCGTCCTTCGTCGCAAACAATGGCACAGTAGCAGGTAGGCCTGAAGCCTCCACTGGCCTCCCCCACCCCCCAGTTCCCTTATGGCCTTGTCCCCATAAGCAGTGGGTGGAGGGCCGCACAGGGTGACTCTGTATCTGACCCCAACGAAGTGCCTTTAGGGCCTTACCTCTCTACCAGCTCCATCTCTAACCCAACATGAGGCTGAAATCTGGTCCATTTTCAGTCCCTCTACACCCCAGTATCCTGAGATCACGTACCCTTTTGTCATGTTCTCGTATCTCCCACACACCTTCCTCTCCCAGGCTGCCAGGCCAAGCTGCACTTTTGTGACTCAGGTCCCTGCAAGAACAGTGGCATCTGCTCAGAGCGCTGGGGTGGCTTCAACTGTGACTGCCCTGTGGGCTTTGGTGGCAAAGATTGTCGGCTCAGTGAGTTGGACAGACAACACAGGGCCGGAGGGGGCTCAGAGGGGAAGGTCTGTTTCTAGGGAGGGGCCTATAACCCTGCTTCTCTTATCCCCCTCAGCCATGGCCCATCCTTACCATTTCCATGGCAACGGCACACTGAGTTGGGACTTTGGAAATGACATGGCTGTGTCTGTGCCGTGGTACCTGGGGCTGGCATTTCGGACACGGGCAACACAGGGGGTCCTGATGCAAGTGCAGGTTGGGCCACACAGCACGCTCCTCTGCCAGGTGTGTCTGTTTTTCTAAATCCTTTCCTATCCCTTTGGTTCCCAGTCTCTGATGAGAAGTCTAGGCCTGGTCACATACCATATTTCTCAGATATCCTGGAAATATGGATAACCCCCGCCTCGGGCCCCTTGACTCTTTTCCCCTCTGCAGGTGCAAGAGATAAGCGTAACTCTTCCTTGTTCTAACTGACCCTTGGTCCTGCCCTTTGCCCCCAACCCATACCAACAACACAATGCCACCTGGCATAGTACCCTGGCTGCAGGTAGATCTTTGACTCTCTTGTTCTGCTCTTTGATCTTCCTGATTGCTGAACCCTCTGATCTGATCTCCTAGCCTCAGCCCAATGTGGGGCTCTAACCCTAGGATTCTACATCTCGACCCACAGGTAGATCAGGGGTTGTTGTCCATAACAGTAACCAGAGGCTCAGGCCGGGCTGCCCACCTCCTGCTGGATCAGATGACTGTCAGTGATGGCCGATGGCATGATCTGAGACTGGAACTGCAGGAGGAGCCAGGTGGCCGGAGGGGCCATCATGTCTTCCTGGTCTCCTTGGACTTCAGCCTCTTCCAGGTCTGACCTCTGACCCGATTCTCAGTCTTCCAATCAGACTTCACCTCATTTGACCTTACCCCCTAGCCCACTTCCTCTCTGTTCCCTCTGATGTTCTTCCTCCAGTCTCTACGCATATCCCTGCTCTAAGCCCACTCTACCAGCCAGGTGAGCCCATGGGGAGGTCTTCATGTCAGGGAAGCTAGTCAGAATCCTGGCCTAGTCTTGAGGAGTCTTTATATAGCCAGAACTTTGCCTGACCTCTTAAAAGCTCCTGATCCCTTCCCTAATCCCACCCTACTTCAGGTCAAGATTGTAATAGTTCAAAGTTGGCTCCAAGAAGGAAAAGCCCTCTCTGAGCACTGGTTCATAGTAGGCTAGAAGAAGGCCAATGCTGACTTTAGGATATGCTAGGGTTCCATTAGGTACCCCACTCTTAGGACTGATGATCTACCTCCTCCAGGACACCATGGCTGTGGGGAGTGAGCTTCAGGGCCTGAAGGTAAAGCAACTCCATGTGGGCGGCCTGCCCCCCAGCAGTAAGGAGGAGGTTCCTCAGGGTCTGGTCGGCTGCGTCCAGGTGGGAATCAGCATGGGAACTTGGTATGGGGGCCATTAAGGGTCATGAGTGGGATATTAGCAGCTCCTAGGGACTTGAAAAGCAGCATTAAAGTAGGTTGACTTGGTGGGGGGGGGGGGGGAAGAGGGAGGGAGAATAAAGATCCAGAGCAATCAGGAATAGGTCAATCCTTTGTGTGTGGTAATGGAGGTGAGAGTCATTAGGAATCTCATTAGGGCAGCATTTCAATGTGTGGGTGCTATGTTAGGGCTGTCTTTAAAGGACGGGGGGAGACTGCATGTCAGGGAATCATCAAACAGAGTGCCTGGCTCTGGAGCGCTTGATGTTGGGGTACCTTGACCTGGGGCTTAACCCCTTGCTGGCTGTATCCACAGGGGCTGTGGCTCGGCTCAACACCTTTGGGGTCCCCAACCCTGCTACCTCCCACCCACCGAGTGAATGTGGAGCCGGGCTGTGTCGTGACCAACGCCTGCGCATCGGGACCCTGTCCACCTCATGCTGACTGCCTTGACCTCTGGCAGACCTTTTCCTGCACCTGCTGGCCAGGTAGGGCCGTGGGGTGGGGTGTGGGGGGTGTGGAGACTGGAGGGCACAGAGGAGACTAGGCCTGGCTGCTGTCCCTCAGCTCTTCAGCTCAAGGCTAACGCTCTACCACTTGAGCCACAGTGCTACTTCTGGCTTTTACAGTTTATATGGTACTGAGAAATTGAACCCAGGGCCTCATGCATGCGAGGCAAGCACTTTACCACTGAGCTACCTTCCCAGCCTCGTTCTAAGCTTCTTGACCCAATCTGTAGGTTACTATGGCCCGGGATGTGTGGATGTGTGTCTCTTGAACCCATGTCAGAATCAGGGGTCCTGCCGGCACCTCCCAGGGGCTCCCCATGGCTATACCTGTGACTGTGTAACTGGCTATTTTGGTCACCACTGTGAACACAGGTGAGAGGCTGGAGACTGAGAGGCTAGAAGGGGTCAGGGAGGGTCACTGAGCTAAAGGGAAGGCCCTTATACCTCATTTCATCCCCAGGATGGACCAGCAGTGTCCTCGGGGATGGTGGGGGACCCCAAACTGTGGGCCCTGCAACTGTGATGTCCACAAGGGTTTTGACCCCAACTGCAACAAGACGAATGGGCAGTGTCACTGCAAGGTTTGCCTGGCCACTGACCTTTTTTTTGGGAGGGGGGCAGGGGAAGACCATATTAGGACTTGAATTTAGGGCCTCGGTTACTGTCCCTTGTTTACCCAAGGCTGATGCTCTACCCTTTGAGCCAAAGCTCCACTTCAGGATTTTGCTGAGATAAGAGGCTCACAGACTTTCCTGCCAGAGCTAGCTTCCCTGTCAGAGCTAGCTTCGAACTGTGATCCTCAGATCTCAGCCTCCTGAGTAGCTAGGATTACAGGCACAAACACTTGGTTCCCCTTGACTTTTTATTTATTTTTATTCTATCTATCTATCTATCTATCTATCTATCTATCTATCTATCTATCTATCTATCTATCTATCTATCTATCTATCTATCTATCTATGTTGGCTGTAGGGCTTGAACTCAGGGCCTAGGCGTTGTCCCTGAACTCTTTCACTAAGGCTAGTGTGCTACCACTTTTTTGGGGGGGATCTGGTTATGGGGCCTGAACTCTGGGCCTGAGCGCTGTCCCTTAGCTCTTCAGCTGAAGGCTAGTGCTCTACCACTTGAGCCACAGCACCACTTCCGGCTTTTTTTTTTTTTTTTTGCTTATGTGGTGCTGAGGAATCAAACCCAGGACCTCAGGCATGCAAGGCAAGTGCTCTACCACTGAGCCACCTTCCCAGCCCCCAGTGCTACCACTTTGAGCCACACAGTGCCACTTCCAGTTTTCTGGTGGTTCATTGGAGATGAGAGTCTTGGGGGACTTTCCTGCCCAGACTGGCTTTGAACCACGATCCTCATATCCTCAGCCTCCTGAGTAACTAGCGTTACAGGTGTGAGCCACCAGCTCTTGGCTTTCCCCCTGACTTTTAAATACCTTCCTTCGACAGCTAGCTAACCTCTACTTCTTGATTTGGGGCTTTTACCTGTGTCCTGTGACTTAATTGCCGCCCCTAAGCCTTCTCTTATCTTCCTATCAGGCTAGTCTTCCTTTGGGCCTGTGAACCCCTAATTCTTTCACCCTTTGAACCAAAGGCCTAAGATCCCTACCTTAAACCCTGACCTCTGACTTCAGGCCCCTGACCTATCCTCAAACAGGAGTTCCATTACCGACCTCGGGGCAGCGACTCCTGCCTCCCATGTGACTGCTACCCGGTGGGTTCCACCTCGCGCTCCTGTGCACCCCACAGTGGCCAGTGTCCCTGTCGCCCAGGAGCCCTTGGCCGCCAGTGTAACAGCTGTGACAGTCCTTTTGCAGAAGTGACGGCCAGCGGCTGCCGAGGTGAGCAGACTCTACCCAGTTCTACCTATAGCTTCCATGCCCTACCTTCTCCCTCCCCCTCCTCCCCACTGGTTATGGGGCTTGAACTCAAGGCCCAGGTGCTGTCCCTGAGCTCTTTTTTGCTCAAAGCTAGCGCTCTACCACTTGAGCCACAGAGCTACTTCTGGCTTTTTCTGCTTATGTGGTGCTGAGGAATCGAACCCAGGGCCTCATGCATGCAAGGCAAGCACTCTTACCTCTGAGTCACCTGCCCAGACATCTGGCCTGTCATCTTCAGTGCTTTTTCTCTCCGTAGTGCTCTACGATGCCTGCCCCAAGTCCCTGAGATCTGGTGTGTGGTGGCCTCAGACCAAATTCGGTGTCTTGGCAACAGTGCCTTGTCCCCGGGGGGCCCTGGGTGAGTATGTAATGATGGGCAAAACATAGCTCAGGGAAGGAGCAGGGACTGTTCCCTGACTGCTAGAGCCACCTCTTTTCCTAAACTGGGGGGGCCTTGTATCTGCCAAGAGGTGGGAGTCGGGTAGGAATGTGTGTGAGGTCCTTCCTACCCTCTGGGGACTCTGGGTCTCGCCCTTACACCCTCATTAAGCCTCCGTCTGTTTCTCTTGGCTTCTGGGCAGGAATGCGGGGTGCAGGTAAGGGGTACGTGTTTGCTCAGGTGCGCTGCCCCCCCCTCCCACTGCCAGAGCTTTTGCAGATCCCTCGTGCTGCTTAAGGTCCTTGCAGTCCCCCTTCCCTACTGCCGGAGGTCCCTAAAAAAAAAATCCATTCCCTATTACCAGAAGTCTCTGGAGGCCCCTACTGGTTGCCAGATCTCCTGGGTTCCCTTCAGATTCCTCCCTACTGCCTATAACCTATGGAGACCTTGCTCCACTCCCTGAGGCTCTTCCCTAATTGGCTGAGCTGCAGCCCTACCCCTCTGGCTGAGGCCGCCAACAGCCCCTCCCTGCTGCTTGGGATCTGTGCCATGGCTGAACAGAGATAATCTGTGTGCGCATGCTCCTGCATATGTCATTCTGTGCCTGTGCATGCGTCTGTGGGTCTGTCTTGAGGGGATTCAGGGTTCTGTATCTAGGTTAGGGTCCCTTCTGTTTGCTAGTTAACAAGCCCAGGTCACCTTCCATCCCAACCCCACAGACAGTCACCATTGGGATAACTAATTAAAATGTATGGAGGACTCTAAATCCCACCCCCACATGGGTCCCACATAGTCCTGGAAGACCTTGTCTGTGTTGGTGTGTTTGTGTGTAATTGAGAGAGTACTATGTGTCTGTGTGCTTGCTGTCACATATGTGTGTGTGAGCAAAATGTGTGTGTGTGTGTGTGTGTGAATGTGAATCTGGCCTGTCTGTGAACTCATCCTGGCCCGTGTGTGTGTTGGAATGAATGTGTGTGTGCACGTGCGCGCATGCTCAGTTCATCCTTGTGCCCTATTATGTGTGTGGTGGTGAGCATGGTCCACAAAACCTCTCAGGTTTTGGCCAGCAAAGCAAGCCCCTGGGCACCCATCTGGATCTGGGCTGCAACATCTAGGTATCAAGCCATAGAGGCCCATACTGCAGGGCGTCCCCCCCAGAATTAGAGGGGGCTGTGGTCACCCTGTTAGCAAAGGTAAATCAAGGGGTTACCTGCCCCTAGGTGCTGCTGTGCGGTTGTGTGATGAAGACCACGGATGGCTGGAGCCCGACCTTTTCAACTGTACGTCCCCTGCCTTTCGAGAACTCAGCCTGCTGGTAAGGCTCTGCCCAGACTTGTACTCAAGGTTTGGGGTGGGCTCCAGATCCCACATCCTATCTCTTGATGACCCCCCCAACCCTGGGCTTTTCCTTCAGTCTAGTCAAACCTTTCATCCTGTAAGCCTGTGGTGTGTGTGTGTGTGTGTGTGTTCTGGGGCTTGAACTCAAGGCTTGGGTACTGTCCCTAAGCTTTCGTGCTCAAGGCAAGCACCCTACCGCTTGGGCCACAGTGCCACTTCTGGCTTTTTTCTGCTTATGTAGTGCTGAGGAATCAAACCCAGGGCCTCATGCATGCGAGGCAAGCACTCTACCACTGAGCCACCTTCCCAGCCCCAATATTTGCATTCTTGTCCCGGCAGCTGGATGGTCTAGAGCTGAACAAGACGGCACTAGATACGGTGGAGGCCAAGAAGCTAGCTCAGAGACTACGTGAAGTGACTGGCCAGGCCGACTACTACTTTAGTCAAGATGTCCGCGTCACTGCCCGCCTGCTGGCTTATTTGCTGGCCTTTGAAAGCCGTCAACGAGGATTTGGCCTGACAGCCACACAAGATGCCCACTTCAATGAGGTAGGCCTACATCCTGTGTTCCCATAAACTAGCTCTGAGATTCCCCCTGTTCTTTTGCATCCCAGCTCCCTCATCTCCCAGCCCTAGATCCTCAGCTCAAGAACAGACCTGCAAGCCAGGTGCTGGTGGCTCCTGCCTATATTCCTAGCAACTCAGGAGGCTGAGATCTGAGGATCGTGGTTCAAAGCCAGCCCAGGCAGGAACGTTAGTGAGACTCTTCTCTCCAGTTAAGCACCAGAAAACTGGAAGTGGAGCTATAGCTCCAAGTGGTAGAGCACTAGCCTTGAGCTGAAGAGTTTAGGGACAGCATTTAGGCCCTGAGTTCAAGCCCCATGACTACAATTGACCTGTAAGAGATCATTAAATCAGACCTGTGGGGAAATAAATGTTCTGGATTGTTTCCCTTCCTTTGCACTATCCAGCCCGCCTTCTTGCTTCCTGGTTCCCTTTCTGAGTAACTGGGCAGTCCTCTCATATCTGCCCTATCTCTTTAAACATTCTCACTACCTAGTTAAACCCAACTGTATTATCTCCATCCTTCCAGAATCTACTGTGGGCTGGCTCTGCACTGCTTGCTCCAGAGACCGAGGACTTGTGGGCAGCCCTGGGGCAGCGGGCCCCCGGGGCCTCCCCTGGCAGCGCAGGCCTGGTACAACATCTGGAGGAATACGCAGCCACGCTGGCGAGGAACATGGAACTCACTTACCTGAATCCCGTGGGGCTGGTGACACCCAATATCAGTGCGTGGTGGAGAGGGTAGGGCGGGACGGGGATGGGAAAGAGCAAGGGCTGCTGGGTAGCCTAGTGGCTCACACCTGTCACCCTAGCTACTCAGGAGGCTGGGCTCTGAGGTTACTGGATTAAAGCCAGTCTGAGCTGGAAAGTCCGTGAGCCTCTTATCTCCAATGAACCACATGAAACCGGAAGTGGAGCTATGGCTCAAGTGGTAGGGCACTAGCCTTGAGCTCAAAGAGCTCAGGGACAGTGCCCAGGCCCTGAGTTCAAGCCCCGCAACCACCAACACCAAAACAAAAAGACAACCTAAAGAGGGGGTGGGGGGAGAGCAAGAATTTGTAGATCCAAAAGGCTGACACTACTGATGCCATCAGCACTTGCTAGAAAAAGGCCCTGCACTAATAGCAAGGAAAATGTGGCTCAGAAAAGTAAGGTGCAGGGGCTGGGAATGTGGCTTAGTGGTAGAGTGCTTGCTTAGCACGCATGAGGCCCTGGGTTCGATTCCTCAGTACCACATACACAGAAAAAGTCAGAAGTGGCGCTGTGGCTCATGTGGTAGAGTGCTAGCCTTGAGCAAAAAAGAAGCTCAGGGGCAGTGCCCAGGCCCTGAGTTCAAGCCCCAGGATTGGCAAAAAATAAATAAGGTGCACCATGGGGTAGATGGGAGTGAGACCCTTGTTATAGGAAGAAAGGTCCTTGAGGGGGTCACTTTTCTCTCTTCTGGGCAGTGCTCAGTATCGACCGCATGGAACACCCTAGTTCTGCACAGAGTACCCATCGCTACCCTCGTTACCACAGCAACCTTTTTCGGGGCCAGGATGCCTGGGATCCTCATACCCATGTGTTACTGCCTTCCCAAACTCCACGGCCATCCCCATCCCAAGGTAAGAGCCCTTGAGGGCTGGGTACATGGCTTAGTTGGTAGAATGCTCGCCTAGCATGCAGGAAACCCTGGGTTCGATTCCTCAGTACCACATACACAGAAAAAGCCGGAAGTGGCACCATGGCTCAAGTGGTAGAGTGGGAGCCTTGACCACAAAGAAGCTCAGGGACAGTGCCCAGGCCCTGAGTTCAAGCCCCAGGATCAGCACAAAAAAACAAAAACAAAAAACCTTGAGTAATCCCCACAACAGGTCCTGTCTCCCTGTCCTTCCCTACAACAAACATGTTGCCTTCTATTTTAATTTTAATTTTTTTGGTTTTGTGCCATCCTGGAACTTGAACTCAGGGCCTAGGAGCTGTCCCTGAACTTTTTTTGTTGTTGGTCATGGCTAGCACTCTACTACTTGAGCCACACCACCTTTCCCCTCCCCCTTCCCTCTTCTCCCCCTTTTCCCTCCTCCTCCTCCTCCTCTTCCTCCTCCTCTTTTTTTCTGGCTTGTTTTTTGGGGGTAAATTATTGGAGAGAAAAGTCTCACAGACTTTCCTTCCCAGGCTGCCTTTAGGCCACGATACCCAAATTTCAGCCTCATGAGTAACTAAGATTACAGGTATGACCTACTGGTATATGACTCTTCTTCATTTTTTTTCCTTTTTTTCTATTTTCTTTTCCTTTTTCCCTTTTTTTAAAATTTTTTCTTTTCTTTTTGTGCCACTACTGGAGCTTGAACACAGGACCTGAACACTGCCTCCTACATTTTTCACTCAAGGCTAGCACTGGGCCATTTGAGCCACAGTGCTATGTCCTGCAGTTTTCTTTTTGTTTTGCTTTGTTTTTTCAGTTGTGGGGTTGAACTCTGGGCCTGGGCACTGTCCCTCAGCTCTTCAGCTCAAGGCAAACACTCTACCACTTGAACCACAGCGCCACTTTTGATTTTCTGAGTGGTTTATTGGAGATAAGAGTCTCAGGGACTTCCCTGCCCGGGCTGGATTTGAACCATGATCCTCAGATCTCAGCCTCCTGAGTAGCTAGGATGACAGGCATGAGCCATAGGTGCCTGGCTTGAACGTTTCTTTAATAGGCCCCTTCCCCACTTCCTAGCAGTGGACCTGCAGGGACCAGATCCCCATGCTTGGTACTGGGATTGTGGGTGCTCGGGTTCAAAGGTCACTGACAATGACTTTCCCTTCTGCCCCAACAGTTCTTCCCACAGGAAGCAGCACAGAAAACTCCAGTGTCTCCAGTGTGGTTCCCCCACCGGTTCCCCCAGAACCCGAACCGGAACTCGGCATCTCCATTGTCATCCTCCTCGTGTACCGCACCTTGGGGGGTCTGCTCCCTGCCCAGTTCCAGGCTGAGCGCCGAGGTGCCAGGTACCATGGGTAGAGCTACTCCCAGTTTGGTCCTGCCCCCAAACTTCCTGTGAGTTTCTACCTGGCCTAACTGGCTGATAGAGATAGGCAGACACTGACTGTTGGAGTCCTAAGGGTGATGGAAGGGAAATTTTGAGGCAGAACTGACCAGACAGAGTTACTCAGGCCTCAGTCCTCAGTCCGGGGAGTGAGTCTTCAAATCCCAGCAACCCAGCAGAGGCTGGAAGTTTTCTTAGAAAACTTCCTAGATCCTAGATCCATGGTTAGCTATAACAACTGGTATGGGGTGGGTAGATTGTCAGATCTTATGTGGGTGGGGTTGGAGGTGTGGCTTAGCTGGTAGAGCACCAGCAAATGAGCCAAAGCGTCAGGTACCAAATTCAAGACCTGGTCTTGCACTTTTAAAACAAGAGCTTAAGTAGGTGTGTTTGGTGGTGGTTGGGGCAGGAGCGGGGGTAGTGGTATTGTAGGTGTCCAAACTCAGATGTGTGTTTCCTCAGGCTGCCCCAAAACCCTGTAATGAACTCTCCGGTGGTCAGCGTGGCTGTGTTCCATGGACGCAACTTCTTAAGGGGTGTCCTGGAGTCCCCCATCAGCCTTGAGTTCCGCCTGCTACAGACAGCTAATAGGAGCAAGGCGATCTGCGTGCAGTGGGACCCACCTGGCCCGTGAGGACTCCATTCTGGAACTCTTTTGGTCCCTCTGTTAGGCCCTAGGAAGCCAACTGATTGTCCCCCACTCCCCCGCTTGAGGCCCCTGTCTGTGTCACTAAACCCGTTAAGAATCTTCCTATAGCTGCGAATGTGGCTTAGTAGTAGAGCGCTTGCCTAACATGCATGAAGCTCTGGGTTCCATTCCTCAGTACCACATAAACAGAAAAGGCCAGAAGTGGTGCTCAAGGGGTAGAGCACTAGCCTTGAGCTGAAGAGCTGAGGGACAGTGCCCAGGCCCTGAGTTCAAGCCCCACGACCAAAGGCTCAGCTCCTCTCCCATGAACCTCTTCCAAGACCGTCCTTCCTTGTGGTGGGGCACAGGCGGGGAGGAGAAGGCAGGGCTATGTGTCCTGTGGTTTCAGGGAAGAGCAGCATGGCATGTGGACAGCGCGGGACTGTGAGCTGGTGCACAGGAACGGGTCCCATGCCTGGTGTCGCTGCAGCCGGACAGGCACCTTCGGGATTCTCATGGATGCCTCTCCACGTGAGGTGAGACTGTATGCAACATCTGGAAAAATGGGGCAAGGAAAGTTCTGCTCCCATTCCCAGTGACCATCTCTGTGTGTCCCCAGCGGCTGGAGGGCGACCTGGAATTGCTGGCTATATTTACGCATGTGATCATAGCCATGTCAGTGGCTGCCCTGGTGCTGACAGCAGCCCTCCTACTGAGCTTGCGCAGCCTCAAGTCCAATGTGTGTGGGATCCATGCCAATGTTGCAGCAGCCTTGGGGGTGGCCGAGCTCCTCTTCCTCTTAGGGATCCACCGGACCCACAACCAGGTTTTCTTTTTTCTATTTTTCTCCTGTCAGTCCTGGCATTTGAACTCAGGGCCTGGGCACTGTCCCTGAGCTTTTCAGCTCAAGGCGAGTGCTCTACTACTTTGAGCCACAGCTCCACTTCTGGTTTTCTGATGGTTCATTATAGATAAAAGTCTCATGATCTTTCCTGCCTGGGCGGGCTTTGAACCACGATCCTCGGATCTCAGTCTCCTAAGTAGCCAGGCGTCAGCCACTGGCACCTGGCTTAGGTTTTCATGTTGTCCTGTTGTCTCCAATCTGGGGGGAGTTGAAAAGGACTGGGGGCAAGGCTCAGCGTCCGAGTTCAGGGACTAAGGTTTGGGGTAAAAGATGCTGCGGTTTTGGGGGCAGAGGTGGGAAGCAGATGTTTGGGGAGGGGTCAGGAGAGGTCCTGACCACCACCCCACCCCCAACATACACGCTCTGCCTTCAGCTGGTGTGTACTGCGGTGGCCATCCTCCTGCACTACTTCTTCCTCAGCACCTTTGCGTGGCTCCTGGTGCAGGGCCTGCACCTCTACCGCATGCAAGTTGAGCCACGCAACGTGGACCGTGGTGCCATGCGCTTCTACCATGCCCTGGGCTGGGGCGTCCCCGCTGTGCTGCTGGGTGAGGCCACGCCCACTCACCGTTATGACCCCGCCCCCAACCTCTGTCCATCACTTGATCCGACCCAGTTCCATGCTCCTCATTCTGGATCATATTCGCCAACATTAACCTCCCGGCAGCTTCCTTCCCCGCCCCCCATCTCCACAGGGAGGAATCCACTTACTCTTACCCTTTTCTGCTGCTCACTCGTAGGCAGTCTGAACTCTCGGTCTATCCTTTCTTTTTTCCAAGGTCTCGCTGTTGGCCTGGACCCCGAGGGCTACGGGAACCCTGACTTTTGCTGGATCTCTATCCACGAACCTCTCATCTGGAGTTTTGCCGGCCCTGTCATCCTTGTCATAGTGGTAAGTGCCCGGCGCTAGGCACAACTTGTGTGCCACCTGTGGGCTTCCCTCCCAAGGGGAAGGGAGGGTGTGAGGGAGAGTGCTGAGGGCACCAGGTTGGCTGTCTATACATTTCTTGGGCTCCTTTCTTCTCCAGTGTCTGGTCCTAGATTCAAGTTCTAGGGAGATGGGAGCAGGCACTATGCCAGGCTTAGCACTTCTCCTGCCTCCTTCTTTCTACATCTCTGTCTCTGTCTCTCTCTCCCTCTCTTTCTCTTTTGGTCATTATTTCTTTTTTGTTGTGTTGGAGCTGCTGCTCCTGGGGCTTGAACTCAGGGCCTGGCTACTGTCCCTGAGCTTTTTCATTGAAGACTAATATTCTACCATTTTGAACCACAGCTCCACTTCCACTTTCTGGTGGTTCATTGGAGATAAGAGTCTGACAGACTTTCTTACCCAGGCTGGCTTTGAACCTTCATCCTTAGATCTCAGCCTCCTGAGTAGCTAGGATTATAGACATGAGCCATCAGCACCTGGCTTTGGTCACTCTTTCTTTCTTTCTTCCTTTCTTCCTTCCTTCCTTTCTTTCTTTCTTTGTCGGTTGTGGGGCCTGAACTCTGGGTGCTGTCCCTCAGCTCTTCAGCTCAAGGCTAGCGCTCTACCACTTGAGCCACAGCACCAGTTCCAGTTTTCTGAGTGGCTTATTGAAGATAAGAGTGTCACAGGCTTTCCTGCTTGGGCTGGCTTTGAACCATGATCCTGGGATCTCAGCTTCCTGAATAGCTAGGATTACAGGTGTGAGCTATCGACACTGGCCCCGTGTGTGTGTGTGTGTGTGTGTGTGTGTGTGTGTGTGTGTGTGTGTGTGTGTGTGTGTGTGTGTGTGTGTGTGTGTGTAAGCCTTTTTTGCTCAAGGCTAGTGCTTTAACAATTGAGCCACACCTTCACTTTCAATTTTTTGGTGGTTAGGTGAACAAGAATCTCATAGACAGCTTGGCACTGGTGGCTCAAGCCTGTCATCCTAGCTAATCAGGAGATCTGAGGATTGAAGTTCAAAGCCAGCCTGGACAGAAAAGTCCGTAAGACCTTTTTTTTTTTGCCAGTCCTGGGGTTTGAACTTAGGGCATGAGCACTGTCCCTGAGCTTCTTTTTGCTCAAAGCTAGTGCTCTACTACTTGAGACACTGGGCCACTTTCGGCTTCTTCTGTGGATGTGGTACTGAGGAATCAAACCCAGGGCTTCATGCATGCTAGGCAAGCACTTTACTATTAAACCACATTCCCAGCCCCCATAAGACTTTTATTTTTTTTTGGGTCCGGTCATGGGGCCTTAACTCTGGGCCTGGGCACTGTCCCTCATATCTTCAGCTCAAGGCTAGTGCTCTACCACTTGAGCCACACTGCCACTTCTGGCTGTTTTCTTTTTGCTTATGTGGTGCTGAGGAATCGAACCCAGGGCCTCAGGCATGTAAGGCAAGCGCTCTACCACTGAGCCACCTTCCCAGTCCCCGCATAAGACTTTTATCTCCAAATAATCACCAGAAAACTAGAAGTGGAGCTGTGACTCAAAGTGGTAGAGTACTAGCTTGGAGTAGAAAAGCTCAGAGACAGTGCCCAGGCCCTGAGTTCATGCCCCACAACTGACAAGGAAAAAATAAATAAAAAACCAAAGACCAAAAAGTAGAATCTCATAGACTTTGTTTCCCCCTGGCTGGTTTGAACTGTGATTCTCTGATATCAGCCTCCAGAGTAGCTAGGATTACAGGCATAAGCTACTTGGTGCCAGCTCCTGTGATTTGAAGCTCCTTTATCTCTTTTTGTTTCTGATCTCTTCCCCCCCCCCCCCCTCCTCCCCCACCACCTCAAGGAGCATGATTGTGTGTATGTTTCTCACTTTTTCTGCCTTTCAGTATCACTTGGTCTGTGTCTCATTGTCTCTCACTATTCCTCTCTCTCCTTTTCCATCCTGCCTGGCTGGACACGCCGATCATGGGTCCAGATGAATGGGACCATGTTTCTCCTTGCTGCCCGCACAGCCTGTTCCACAGGGCAGAGGGAGGCGAAGAAGACCTCTGTGTTGTGAGTTGGCTGGGATCATTGTCAGGATGACACCTGCATGGGTGGGGTCAGGCCCAGACCCCCACTCCCCATCCCAGAAGACCCCTGGTGTCGTTTGAGCTCCAAATTCTGCATGAAGGGAAAAAGTCACACCTGCCTGGCCTGTGGTCCCTCTCTGTACCTTTGTCGTATGTTGCTCCACATTCCCGTTCTTCTGTCTTCATGGTTCTCCTGACCTGTCTTTATTTATTTATTTATTTTGGTCAGTCGTGGGGCTTGAACTCAAGGCCTGGGCGCTGTCCTCAAACTCTTTCATTGAAGGCTAGCACTCTAGCGCTTGAGCCACAGCACCACTTCCGGTTTTCTGGTGGTTCATTGGAGATAAGAGTCTCATGGACTTTCTTGCCCTGGCTGGCTTTGAACCGTGATCCTCAGATCTCAGCTTCCTGAGTAGCTAAGATGACAGGCATGAGCCACTAGCACCCAGCTTGCCCTGTCTTTTCTTTCTTTCTTTTCCTTTCCTGGGGCTTGAACTCAGGGCCTGGGCGCTGTCCCTGAGCTACTTTTCCTCAAGGCTAGCACACTACCACTTGAGCCACAGCGCCACTTCTGGCTTTTTCTGTGGACATGTTACTGAGGAATCGAACCCAGGGCTTCATGCATGCTAAAGCAAGCATTTTACCACTAAGCCACCTTCCCAGCCCTTGCCCTGTCTTTTCTGTGATTTCAAATCGCTCCATATTCCTGTGTCTTCCCCATGTTTTTCCATGGCTCCCATAGTGCTCTTCCCGTTCTTTGCGTGACTGCTCCTCTTCCCTAGTCTCCTCAGTGCTCCATGTTTCTGTGTGAGTTCTTTCTCTTCCACATCTCCATGTGACCCCCGCCCTGTTGTGTCCTGGCGTGGCCTTCCTCCAGCCCTGCTTGACCTCTGCATGTCTTCCCGCCACAGCAGGACACTGCGCAGTTCCTTTCTGCTCCTTCTGCTGGTCAGTACCTCCTGGCTCTTTGGCCTCCTGTCAGTTAACCACAGCATCCTGGCCTTCCACTACCTCCATGCTGGACTCTGTGGCCTCCAGGTACCTTCGGCACCCTAGATAGGGCATTGTCCTAAGGCCTGGAGCTCCTATTGACTGGATGATGGGTGCTGGTTGGGTGTTCTTTTCAGAACCAGACAGGACAGCTGGAGTTCTCAGCTAGATCCACTGAGGTCAGGCTGGGTATTGACCTTGGATTGACCTTAACCCTACAGCTCTCCTTTTTTTTTTTTGTTGGGCATGGGGCTTGAACTCTGGGCCTGGGCACTGTCCCTGTGCTCTTCAGCTCAAGACGAGCGCTCTACCGCTTGAGCCACAGCACCACTTCTGGTTTTCTAGTGGTTTATTGGAGATAGGAGTCTCACTGACTTTCCTGACCAAGCTGACTTTGAACTGTGATCCTCAGATCTCAGCCTCCTGAGTAGCTAGGATGACAGGCGTGAGCCACCAGCACCCGGCTGCAGCTCTCCTGATCTCCAGTTGACCCCCAGATTGTCAATGACCCCATGCACTCCTGCCTTTGACCCCTTCCCTCCCCCCCCCGCCCTCACTGCCTCACTGCCTTTCCCCAAGTCCCTTTCTGAGCCCCTTTTCCCCCAACTTGGACTCATCACTGACTCCCTACAGTGACTTGATACCCCACTGTTGACCTTTAGAAATGTCTACTGGCCCCACTAGACCTCCCAATGGGCCCTCCTTTGACCTTCTGTGATCTCTCAATGACCCTTCTTTGATTCTCGCTGACCCACAGGGCCTGGCCGTGTTACTGCTCTTCTGTATCCTGAATGCAGATGCCCGGGCCGCCTGGACACCAGCCTGTCTAGGCAAGAAGGCAGTACCAGAAGAGCCAAGGCCAGCACCAGGGCCGGTGAGGGACTGCCAGGGCCCAGAGAGGTTGGGATTCAGAGTCCAAGGAGGTCTCCCCGTTTTGTCCCCCCCCTTTTTTTTGCCACTCCTGGGGCTTGAACTCAGGACCTAGGCACTGTCTCTGAGCCTCTTTTTGCTCAAGGCTAGCACTCTTGCCACTTGAGCCACGGTGCCATTTCTGGCTTTTTCTCTGTCTATGGTACAGAGGACTTGAACCCAGGGCCTCATGCATGCTAGGCAAGCATTCTACCCTTAAGCCATATATACCCCAGCTTTCAGTTTTGAGGTTTCCTCAAGCCTGGCCTCACATCCCTGTCCCACCCATCTTCCCCTCCTCCCCAGGGGCCTGGGGCCTATAACAACACGGCTCTCTTCGAGGAGAGTGGCCTCATCCGTATCACTCTGGGTGCCTCTACTGTCTCGTCAGTGAGCAGTGCCCGTTCTGGCCGGGCCCAGGACCAGGACAGCCAACGGGGCCGCAGCTACCTCAGGTAAATGATCACCACCCAGAGCTTAGTCCAGTTCCATTTCCCCAAAGCTTCTTAGCATGATCCCCTCTTCTGCACTTCCAGGGACAATGTCCTGGTTCGACATGGCTCGGCTGTTGACCACACTGAACACACCATCCAGGCTCATGCTGGCCCCACTGACCTGGACGTGGCAATGTTTCATCGAGATGCTGGTGGAGTTAGAGCCCTGGGTCAAGGGAGGAGGGAGGCAGTGGGTCTCTCCCTGATCCCATTTCTTTGGCTAAAATTGGGGAGCTGTGGCTGAGTGGGATGAGTACTCCCCCCGCCCCCCCCCCCCCCATCATTACCTCAAGGAAATCACCTAAAACCCAGCCCTGGCTCTCCCAACCCACTGTGAACTCATCCCTAAGAAGTCCCAGCTCTGTTGCTGCCAATTCTATTCCAAGTTCTTCCTAGTCTCTTATCCTAGGGCTTTAATTCAGGGCCTAGGTGCTTGTCTCTGAGCTTTTATGCTCAAGGCTAGAGCTCTCCCACTTGAGCCACAGCTCCACTTCTGTCTCTGGGATGGTTCATTGGAGATAAGAGTTTCATGGGTCTTCCTGCCCAGGACTGACTTTGAACCACAATCCTTAGATCTCAGCCTCCTGAGTAGCTAGGATGACAGGCGGGAGCCACCAGTGCCTGGCTTCTTGCCCTGTTCTATCCCCTGGGACTCTCACCTCCCCAGGCAACTGCTGTACTTTCCTCCTGCCTTTTCCAACTCCAGGAGCAGACTCTGACTCTGACAGTGACCTGTCCTTAGAAGAGGAAAGGAGTCTGTCCATCCCATCTTCAGAAAGCGAGGACAATGGCCGGACACGAGGGCGCTTCCAACGTCCACTCCGCCGGGCCGCCCAGAGCGAGAGGCTCCTTAGCCACCCCAAAGGTGACAAGAATCCTCTGACCCCATGGATGACGAAGGGGCACCTCATATTTCACTTGGATGTGAATCAGGGACCCTGTCTGTCCTCAGGATGTCAGGATGTCTGGGTCTGAGACCCATTGGGATCCTCTCATGTACAAGCTTTCGTGTGTGTGTGTGTGTGTGTGTGTGTGTGTGTGTGTGTGTGTGTGTGTGTGTGTGTGTGTGTGTGCGCGCGTGCATGCGCGCACTGCTGGGGCTTGAACTCAGGACCTAGGCACCATCCCCTGAGGTTTTTGCTGAAGGCTAGTGTTTTGAGCCACAGCGCCACTTCTGGTTTTCTGATGGTTCCTTGGAGATAGGAGTCTCATCATCTTTCCTGCCTAGGCTAGCTTTGAACCGTGATCCTCAGATCTCAGCCTCCTGAGTAACCAGGATGACAGGTGTGAGCCACTAGCACCTGGCTCCTGTCTAGGTATCTAATGTGTTCAGGGGGTCCTGGGAACTGCAGGATGAGGTCCTGGTTGATAGGATTTCCCTCCAGCTTCTTGGCTTTCCTGTGGATTGGAGTTCAGTCTGGTTTTTCTGATTCCTCAGCCAAACAGCACTTTCTCCTGTTCTCCTTCCTGCTCAGTGCAAATGGCCAGGGTTTAAAGGGTTACAAGAGTCCAGGGGTCAGCTGGGAATGTGGCTTAGTGGTAGAGTGCTTGTCTAGCATGCATGAAGCTGGGTTCCATTCCTCAGTACCCCATATACAGAAAAAAGCCAGAAATGGTGCTGTGGTTCAAGTGGTAGAGCATTAGCCTTGAGCAAAAGAAATTCAGGGACAGTGCCCAGGCCCTGAGTTCAAGCCCCAGGACTGGCAAAGAGAAAGAGTCGAGGGGTCACTGTGTGTGACAACTACCATGATCAAAACCAGATGATCCTGTTCCCTGCTCTGGCTTCACAGATGTGGATGGGAATGACCTCCTCTCCTGCTGGCCAGCCCTGGGAGAGTGTGAAGCAAGCCCCTGTGCCCTGCAGACCTGGGGCTCTGAAAGGCGTCTGGGCCTAGACACCAGTAAAGATGCAGCCAACAACAACCAGCCCGAGCTGGCCCTGACCAGTGGGGATGAAACCACCCTGGGCAGAGCCCAACGCCAGAGAAAAGGTATGATCTCTGACCTTTGACCTTTGGATGCAATTGGGTTTGAGGAAAGGGGGTGGGGGGGGCAGATTTCAGCTTCCTGATCCCAAATCCCAAGAGCTCAGCTTCCTCTGATTTAGAAATCCCTCCACCTCTCTCCCTCACCCCCGTGAGACTCGTATCTCCAATGAACCACCAGGAAATTGGAAGTGGTCGGAAAAGCCGGAAATGGTGCTGTGGCTCAATGTGGTAGAGCTCTAAGAGCAAAAGACCTCACTCAGGAACAGCACCCAGGCCCTGAGTTCAAGCCCCACTACTAACAGGAAAAGATGGGCTGGGAAGGTGGCTCAGTGGTAGAGTGCTTGCCTTGCATGCATGAGGCCCTAGATTCGATTCCTCAGCACCACAGAAGCAGAAAAAGCCAGAAATGGTGCCATGGTTCAAATGTAGAGTGCTTGCCTTGAGTTGAAGAGCTGAGGGACAGCGCCCAGGCCCAGAGTTCAGGCCCCATGACCGACAAAAATAAAAAAAAAAAAGAAGAAAAAAAAAAGAAACACTTTCTGTTCATGGACACTGGGGAGTGAGAGTCAGAGGTGTTGAGTTTGTACTTGGTGTGTCACGGGTGTCTGAGGGATGTCTGGGGGACAGAGAGTGACAGACAACAATTAGAAGTAGCTGGATTCATGAGTGTCCTCTCAGAGTTGCCTCTGCCCTTCCCTAAGTTTTGTTTTGTTTTGTTTATGTTTGGGGTGGCATGCGCGGTTGTGCACCAGTCCTGTGCCTTGAACTTGGGGCCTGAGTGCTGTCTCTGAGCTCTTTTTTTTTTTCCACCAGTCCTGGGGCTTGGACTCAGGGTCTAGGTACTGTCCCTGACCTTCTTTTGCTCAAGGTTAGCATTCTACCATGCCATAGCGCCACTTTCAGCTTTTTCTACTTATGTGGAATCGAACCCAGGGCTTCATGCATGCTAGGCAAGCACTCTACCACTAAGCCACATTCCCAGCCCTATCTCGGAGCTCTTTTGCTCAAGGTTAGCATTTCCAGCATTTTGGGAGATGATTAATAAGAGTGTCACAGGTTTTTCTGCTCAGGGCTGGCTTTGAACCTGGATCCTCAGATCTCTGCTAGGATGACAGGTGTGAGCTACCCATGCCCAGCTCAACTCCATTATAGGGACTCAAATGGCTTGTCACAAGCCCCGATCTAGGGGATCTTTTCCCCTCTTCACCTGCACCCCCACCCCGACACCCCCACCATTCCCTGGCTGCTGTTCTGTTTGTCCCTAGGCATCCTGAAGAACCGGTTGCAATACCCACTGATGCCACAGACTCGAGGCGCTCCAGAGTTGTCCTGGTGCCGGGCAGCCACGTTAGGCCACCGTGCTGTGCCAGCTGCCTCTTATGGTCGCATCTATGCTGGTGGGGGCACTGGCAGTCTTTCCCAGCCAGCCAGTCGCTATTCTTCTCGAGAACAACTGGATCTGCTCCTTCGGCGGCAGCTGAGCCGAGAACAACTAGAAGAGGCCCCTCTCCCTCGACTACATCCCCTGAGCAGGCCTGGTTCCCAAGAACGCCTAGATGCTGTTATACCATGTCGCCTCGAACCCCGAGATCGGGGCAGTACCCTACCACGGAGGCAGCCACCCCGGGACTATCCTGGTACCATGGCTGGTCGCTTTGGATCACGGGATGCATTGGATTTAGGGGCACCCCGAGAATGGTTGAGCACCTTGCCCCCACCCCGCCGTCCCCGGGACCTCGAGCCTCAGCACCCACCTCTGCCCCTCTCTCCTCAGCGGCAACTCTCGAGGGATCCCCACTTGCCATCCAGGCCCCTGGACACTCCGTGTAGGAGTTCAAACTCTCGAGAACCCCTGGATCAGGGGCCTGGTCAGCATCCCTCACGGGAGGCCCTGGGCCCCCCGCCACAGCCGCTCAGAGCTAGGGAGGAGCTGGCCAGCGGCCCCAGCCATGGTCCTTCCACAGAGCAGCTGGACATCCTTTCTTCCATCCTTGCCTCTTTCAACTCCTCAGCCCTCTCGTCTGTGCAGTCATCCAGCACGCCCTCCGGCCCACACACCACCGCCACCCCTTCCGCCACAGCCTCAGCCCTGGGACCCTCCACGCCTCGCTCTGCCACGTCACACAGTATTTCAGAGCTGTCACCTGACTCAGAGTAAGCGAGGCCCAACACCCTCCTCCACTCAGGGCAACTTCCTGCGTACCTGGCTTCCATCACAGAATGGGGGGTGGGACTAGCAGGCAAGTAGAGATGACTTCCGGCTGGCCCCGCATGGTCTCTGGCAGGCAGTGGGAAAGTAACCAGCAGGGACTTGCCAAGCTTGTGATTATTGCAGCCAGCCTCCCTTCCCCCAACCTCCCAGATAAGAGCCTCCCAAAAGGCTGGAGCAAGAAGAAAGGGCAAGTTGGGAGTCAAGGCCTCTAAGTGGGAGGTAACCCAGTATTTGCAAGGGGCAATGAAGAAAAGGGGAGTCTTTGTTCAAGGAGGCTCTGATTAAGAGGTCATGTGGGACCCAGGATATGCCAGACTGAAAAGCCTGCTTTTGTTTGTTTTTGTATTACTGCTGGGGCTTGAACTCAGAGCTTGGGCACTGTCGCTCCATTTTTTTTGTTTTTTGTTTTTTGGGGTTTCTTTGCTAGGTCTGGAGCTTGAATTCTGGACCTGGGTGCTGTCCCTGAACTTCTTTTGCTCAAGTCTAGCACTCTACCACTTGAGCCACAACATCACCTCCAGCTTTTTCTGAGTAGTGTTTTTGGGAAATAAGAGTCTCACAGACTTTCCTACCCAGGCTGGCTTTGAACCACGATCCTCAGATCTCAGCCTCCCAAGAAGCTAGGATGACAGGCGTGAGCCACCGGCACTCAGCTATCCCTTAGCTTTTTTACTCCGGGCTAAAGCTCTACCCATGAGCCACTGTTCCACTTTTGACTTTTTAGTGGTTGATTGGAGATAAAAGTCTCATGAAGGGGCTGGGAATGTGGCTTAGTAGTAGAATGCTTGCCTAGCATGCATGAAGTCCTGGGTTTGATTCCTTAGTACCACATACATAGAAAAAGCCAGAAGTGGTATTGTGGCTCAAGTGATAGAGTGCTAGCCTTGGGCACAAAGAGGCTCAGGGAGAGCATCCAGGCCCTGAGTTCAAGCCCAGAACTAGCAAAAAAAAAAAAAAAAGACTTCATGGACAACTGGGTACTAGTGGCTCACGCCTGTCATCCTAGCTATCTAGGAGGCTGAGATCTAAGGACCACAGTTCAAAGTCAGCCTAGGCAGGTAAGACTGTGAGACTTATCTCCAATGAACCACTACAAAACTGGAAGTGGTGCTGTGGCTTGAAGTGGTAGAGTGCTAGGCTTGAGCAAAAAATGCTCAGGGATAATCCTCAGGCCCCACAACTGACCAAAAATAATGGGTCTTATGGACTTTCCTGCCTGAGCTGGCTTCAGATTGTGATCCTCAGATCTCAGCCTCCTGAGTAGCTAGGATGACAGGCCTGTGCTTCCCCCCCCACCCCCCCTTGCCGGCACCCTGCCATTCAAAGGGCTTTTGTTAAGGGATTATGTGGGGCATCAGGATATGCCACATTGAAGAGACTTACATGAAGGACAAATAATTCATTCACGGCTGTATTCAGTCAATATTAAGTTCCTCCCCACTGGGGGCACTATAGGGTGGGGCTTAGAAGGTTAAATTGCAGCCTGAATGGCAGTTGAGTCCAGTAGGAATGGTAGATGTGGAAAGGGATGAGGGGTTTCCAAATATTGTAAACTAATAGGAGTTTTAAAGATAAGACTTCCGGCTGGGTGCTAGTGGCTCATGCCTGTCATCCTAACTAGTCAAGAGGCTGAGATCTGAGGATCACAGTTCAAAGTCAGCCCGGGCAGGAAAGTTCCTGAGACTCTCATCTCTGATAAACTACTCAGAAAAAGCCAAAAGTGGCCCTGGGGTTCAAGCGGTACAGCACTAGCCTTGAGCAGAGAGGCTTGGGGACAGAACCCAGGCCCTGAGTTCAAGCCCTAAGATCAGCGCGCGCGCGCACACACACACACACACACACACACACACACTACACAAAAGGAAGGTAGGCACCTGTAGCTCATGCCTATAACCCTAGCTACTCAGGAGGTTGAGATCTGAAGATCGTGGTTCAAAGCCAGCCTGGGCAGGAAAATCCATGAGAGTCTTATCTCCAATGAGCCACCAGAAAACCGGAAGTGGCTCTGTGGCTCAACAGCTGAAGACCTCAGGGATAGTAATGCCCAAGTCCAGAGTTCAAGCCCCACAACCAACAACAACAGAAAAGACAAGAGGAGGAAGGAGAGCTCTTGGGATTGGGGTCTGGAGCGCTGAAGGGATGCTGAAGGGTAGGGATGAGAGAGAGCTGATTTACCACCTGGATCCCCTTGTTTTCTAGACTTGGGGTTTGGCCATGTGGCAGGAGGATGGGGGGACTGAGCAGGGGCTCAGAACTCTCAAAACTCTGAGTTTAAGTTTCTGTCAGAGTTCTCTGAGCCTTAGTTTCCTCATCTTTATAAGGGGTCTATAGAGACAAACTCCTTGAGATGTGATGACTGGTGACATTACCTGTGTCACGTGGTTAGTAGGTGCTCTTAAGCCAGGCGCTGGTGGCTCACGCCTATAATCCTAGCTACTCAGGAGGCTGAGATCTGAGGATCACAGTTCAAAGCCAGCCCGGGGAGGAAAGTCTGTGAGACTCTTATCTCCAATAAACCACCAGAAAACCGGAAATGACACTGTGGCTCAAGTGGTAGAGCGCTAGACTTTAGCTGAATAGCTGAGGGATAGCGCCCAGGCCCAGAGTTCAAGCCCCACAACTTGACAAAAAAAAAAAAAAAGGTAGGTGCTCTTAAAAGAAAAGACCTAAGCCAGGCACTGGTAGCTTACACCTGTAATTTTAGCTACTTAGGAGGTTGAGATCATGGTTCAAAGCCAGTTTGGGCAGGAAGTCTGTGAGACCCCTATCTCCAATGAACAAAAAAAAAGATCAGAAATGGAGCTGTAGCTCAAGTGGTAGAGCACTAGACTTCAGCAAAACAACCTAGGCCCTGAGTTCAAGCCCCAGTATTAGCACGAGAGAGACAGAGACAGAGGCGAGATGGACAAAGAGAGAGAGAGGTAGGCAACCATGGAGCCTTGCTGATGAGTTTGGGAGAGTTGGAAGTGGTAAAGCCCAGAACTACCTGACATTAGGTCCTCTCAGCACTGACTTTTCCTTTCTACCTCCAACTCTACAGAGTTCCCAGAAGCGAGGGTCATTCCTGAGGACCAGCCGAGGGCAATGGAGGACTTGGGCCAACAAGAAAGAGACTCCAGGAATCCGGGACATGGATCCCAAGGCAGACTCCAAGGAGCCCTCTCTCAGCTCTCACTGCAGAGCGGAGATTCCTTGCACATCTGCGAGCATGCGCGTGACAGGTGCCCAGGAGGCAGGGACTAAAGGGGAGGACTTTTATATGTTTTGTACCTTTGTAACCAGAGAGAGAGATGCTTATGTTATTTTTCAGCTTTTCTGTCTCCCAAGGGGGTGGGAAGGTGGGAGAGGATGGGGGAAGGGAGGTGGTGGCGTCTGAGGCTGAGCTGGGACGGGGGAAGGGGACAGAGGGAGAGGGAGAAAGATGTCGTTTGGTCCCATTTGACTCCTTAGACCATATGCTCTTTTTTTTCCTCATCTGTCACAGGCAACAGATACAGGCCAAGTCCCCTCCCTCCTCTACCCTACCCTAAGGTTGATCTAAAGATTGTCAGGACCTAAAGTACAGAATTTTATCTTTGGTTTTCTTTTCTTTTTCTTTCCTCTTTTTTTTTTTTTCTTTTACCCTCAGTGACCTACAGACCAAACTTCTTGAACTGCGGTGGGGGTGGGGTGGGTCTTGCAAACAGGTCCTCTGATTTCCTCTTGGGGGCTCATTCGGGCCCATCTTCCCTGTAGATGTGTGTGTTTAGTATATGGGGTCCCTGCCACTTACTGCCTTATGACCTAGGACAGATGCTGCAGGTGCTTGGTGTAGCAGCAGCTGTCATGTTTACAAAGCAAGGCTTCCCTTTCTCCCTCAGGGAGGGGGCTCAGGCCTCTCCCCACACAGCCCTGCAGACAGTGGGTGTAGGCCGAGGCATCTGCTGCTGGCCCCTGCTCCTACCTGAGCAAAAGTTGTGGTGCCATTTGATTCTCTGAGGGTTGGGTGAACTAAGGGAACAGGAACAAGGGAATTCAAGACCTAGAATGTAGATGCTGGGGGGCCTGGGTCTCTCATGTTTACAGGATACCCCCCTCCCCCAGCCTCCCAGTCCCTCTGGTCCCAGGGCTGCAGAATCAAACTCCTTCCATCCCTCTGTTATTTATTCCCTTATAAAGGGGGAAAAAAAGGATTGTTAGGACCTGTTCACAAAACTCACTTGTGTTACTGCTCTTTGTCTGATGTCCAGATCTGTGGACTTAAAAAACAAAAAATTGTTACTTTGTTTACAGGTGGGGATTTATTTTTTTATTTATTTTTTTAACTTTGTTTACAACTTACAGCTTTTGAGCTTTTATACTTTGTTTACAATTGAGAATTTTGTTGTTGGTTTTTAACTTTCCTTTGTCCACACGTGAAAGGTAGGGAAAGTGGGAGAGGGGCTTGGACCTAGCCTTTTTTTTTTTTTTTTTGCCAGTCCTGGGGTTTGGACTCAGGGCCTGGATACTGTGCCGGAGCTTCTTTTGCTCAAGGCTAGCACTCTACCACTTGAGCCACAGTGTTACATCCGGCTTTTTCTGTGTATGTAGTACTGAGGGATCGAACCCAGGGCTTCATGCATGTTAGGCAAGCGCTCTACCACTAAGCCACATTCCCAGCCCAGGACATAGCTATCTTGAGGGGAGTTTTTACCATCAGCCCCTCCCCAAGCTCCCAGGCCAAAGGTCAGTCTTGAACCACCCCCTTTAAACAACACACCTAGGAGGTCTAAAAGTATCCTCTGACCTCCAGGAACTGTGGTTTATGCAGGATTTGGGGTGTTCTGTGCAAAGACCTCCACACCCCTACCCCATGCAAACTTTTTGGAGTAATTTCGGAGGAGATTTAAAAAAAAAATCCTGTTTCACTGACTGGTGCTAAAGCTCACCAGCCAGCAACCCAGCTAGCTCTCCTTTACCCAGAAGAATTCCAGCCTTTGAAGGGCTGTGGCCTGCTGTGGGTGGGGGGGTTTCCTTGCTATGCCCTAGGTTCTGTAGATCCCCCTTTCTGGAGAGGTTCCTCTCCCCCCCCCCCCCCATTCCTCCACCCCAGCAGCCCTCTTTTCCTCTCTGTGTAAAATTGTTCCGTGAAGCCACACGCTCTGTTTTGGGAATAAACTTCTATAGAAAACAGATGGTTGCCTCTTTCTGTTGGGGTTGGATGGTGGCTGTGAAGGGACTGATTGGTCAGACTGACCTTTGAGAGGAATCTGAGCCTTCCTGGCTCAAGAAAACCCAGTTATTTTTAGACTGAGCTTCAAGGGAGAGTGGGACTAGGTTCCCACCTCTTTATACTGTGAAACCTGGCGCCCTTCTTCTTGTGATGGGGGCTCGAAGTTGGATTTACAGATGTTGGAGTTAGGGTACCAAGGGAAACCCCCCCACCTTCCTGATCATGGCAGTAGTATGGCAGGACCTCGTATTCAGGGCCAGGCATTTGTGGCTCTATCCAATTTTCAGTCCAGCTCTCAGAGCTGACCTTACAGTTCCTGCTTTGCCTTACAGTTCCTGCTTTGCCCAAAGGGCAGCACCAGCCCCCCACTAGGCCTTTCTGGCTTGAAGCTAGCCAGAAGATGGACTTCCTCTTAGATCAGCAACATTCAGACTGATTTTTGAGGAGGTGAAGATCCTCATGCTAAGTAGCTAAAGTTGAAAAAAACAGATAAAACAAAACAACTTGGGAATGAACCATCATCAGCTTGAAGGCAGGGGAGGCTCCACAGACCTGGATTCCACCCCCTCCCCCCACCCCACAGGGTTAAGGCCGGATTATTCAGGGATTTTCTCCTCACCCTCTGGCAAACCCAAGACCTAGGACCAGCTCCATCACTCGCTCATAGGGGCTTGGAGGCCCTCGGTTCCCGTTCTTGTATCGTTCCCAAGAGAGGAGCATTTTGACAGGCGTCCATCAGCCAGGCCGCCGGGGAGGAAAGGGTTAAAACCCCCCCCAGGTTCGTCCCTCGGCCACACCCCCCGTGCTCTGATTGGTCCAAAATGACGCATCCTCACTCGCGCCGAGTAGCGGCTTTCTGCCTCGCCCGCGCGTAGCCAGCCGACCGCATCCGGGCTGTGGCGCCGCCTTCCGGCCGGGTGGTCTCTGCGCTCCGAGCCCGGATCCGCAGCCGCCCCCCCCCCCCCCGCCCTCCCCCCCCTCCCCCAGCGAGCAGCCATGGGGCTGGCGGAAGCTTCTGAGTGAGTGCTGGGCGCGGGCTCGGGCGTGGTGGAGGGTGAGGGTGGGGAGGGGCTTCCCGACTGGCCTGGATCGGTTCTGAAAAGGGGAACCGCCGGACCCGGGGCAGCGATTTCCTCCTGCTTTGCAAACACCTCGACGCGTGCGCTGGCGGGTGGCGCTGGAGGCCGGGGTTTCTGCAGCCAGGGATGGGGGCGGGAGCCAGGATGACACCCTCCCCCCCCAACACCCATCCACGTCCCCCCCATCCCCCGGCCCCCCATCATCATCATCCCACCCCTCCCATCCCCCCCTCCCCCCCGATCATCATCCCACCCCCCCCCTCCCCCCGATCATCATCCCACCCCCCCTCCCCCCGATCATCATCCCACCCCCCTCCCCCTGTCCCCACCCACCCATCCCCTTCCCCCGGTCCCCACCCCCACCATCCCACCCCCAGCCCCAGGCCTGAGGCTGCCGGGAGGAGGGAGGGTGCTAGGCCCTCTGGAGATGCTCCAGCTCGGGGGTGCTTGGGGGTGCTTGGGGGATGCTTGGGGCGGCAGATTGCTCACCGCCTCTGGCTGCCCCCCACCCCCTACCCCCGTCCCGGAATCCATAGATGGCGTGGTGCGGTTAGCCCGGAGTAGAAAGGAGCGCTCGGGAGCTGGCCGGCCCTGGGTGTCCTCCCCGGGAGCTCCGCCCTCCAGGCGCGTGTCCCGCCTTAAGGGAGGGGGGGAGGGGGGAGGGAACCCTTTTAAAAAAGACAAGATCGGAGGAGGTGCGGAGGACCGTCCCGGCACCCTGGGGACCAGCCACCCGGTGAGTTCCTGTTCCCTAGGTGGGGACCCGGGTGAACCCCCCCTCGATCAGACTTAAAAGTTTTCTCCCAACACGCTAAAACGGCTTCTCCTCTCCCTCCTCCTCCCCACCCCAAACCTCCTCCACTTATCTGTTCTGGGGCAGAGCTTCTCTCCCCCCGCCCCCACTCCTAGTCCATGAGAGAGATTCCTCCCAGTCAGAGATTTTTTTGGGGGGGGTGCGGGGTCGGTCGTGGGGCTTGAACTCTGGGCCTGGGCGCTGTCTTCAGCTTAAGGCAAGCGCCTCTACCATCTGAGCACCACTTCCAGTTTTCTGGCCCGCTTCATTGGAGATAAGGGTCTCACAGACTTTCCTGCCTGGGCTGGCTTTGAACCATGATCCTCAGATCTCAGCCTCCTGAGTAGCTAGGATGACAGGGCTGAGCTGCAGAAGCCCCTCTGGAGATTTTTTTTTTTAACCCTCAGGTTAGATCTTTCCAACAGATCAGAACTTGTCTTCTGGTGAATACTCTCTCAGGATTCCAATTCCCTCTTGCTGAGACTGGTCCCTTGTAAGCTTCATTTCTAGGTGAGATCATTCCCTACTTAACGTGAGAGCCTCTCCACTCCCCCTTCTCTTCAAATGAGAACTTGCTATTTCTAGAAAGACCCTTTTTCTCAGAGATTCCCCTCCCTCTCCCTACCATTGGCTTTCTCTGTCTAGGCCTCACTTTCTCAAAATCCGGACTTTAGAGGCCAGAGGCTCAGGAACAAAACCATTCTTCCCTACGCAGAGAATTGTCTTATCTGCAGACCTGTAGCTTGCTGCTCTTAGCCAGCAAGCTCATAGGGCATCTGGAGAAGGACTTGGGAGGGATTGGACAAGGATCTGATCCCAGAGGGCAAGGGCCTAGGAGGAGGGAGCTAAGAAAGGCAGTCAGCCTGGACCTAGACCTGGACCTGGACTGGTACTCGGGGCTGGGCAGCCACACCTAAGCTGAATGTGTAGCACTCATCTTGCTATCCCTCTATAAGGGACTTTGGCCCAGAAAGGCTTCTACGAGCCAAAGTTCAGGTACTACCCCTGCCTGGGTGTGAGCATGGGGCCCCGCAGGGACTGAGCTGGGAGCCTGAATCTTTTATTTTTTTTTTTGTCAATTGTGGGGCTTGAGCTCTGGGCCTGGGTGCTATCCCTGAGCTTTTCAGCTCAAGGCTAGCGTTCTACCTCTTGAGCCACAGTCTCAAGAGGAGAGTCTCACAGACTTTCTTGCCCCTGCTGGCTTTGAACTATGTTCCTCCGATCTCAGCCTCCTGAGTAGTTAGGATGACAGGCGTGAGCCTTCAGTGCCGGGCTGGGAACCTGAATCTTAACTTGATCTTTGGGATCTAGTGAGGGAAAACAAATCAAGTAGAAGTATAAAGAAGGTTACACTTGGGAGGTACCCTCACTCAGTCTCTGTTCTTGTCACCCTAGACCAAAGGATACACAGACACTGCTGTCTGCTAGGCCAGATGGAGCTACACAAGCGAGACTATCACGTGGAAAGACCCTTGCTGAACCAGGAGCAGCTAGAGACACTGGGACACAGGAGCTCAGCACCTAAGACCCGCCAGTGGCAAACTTGGTTTCAGTAAGGCCCAAGATAAAAAAAAAAAAAAAAAATTGGGGCGTTCCAATGGGGTCCAAATAATTCCCATCTTTAATAGGTATCAATACCTGTTTCTAGATGCTCTCGATCTCGCGCCCATGCCTTTTTGCTCCAACATCTTCCAGTCTTAGCTTGGTTACCCCGCTATCGGGTGCGTGACTGGCTCTTGGGTGATCTCTTATCTGGCTTGAGTGTGGCCATCATGCAACTCCCACAGGGTAAGTCACCTTGAAAGCACTGGCCTACTTCCAAGTCTAGGATACCCCATGCTTGGAACTCTTCACTTGTGACCCTTGACCTATAGCCCCCTGACCTAGGGTTTGAATTCCTCCCCCCCCCAACCTTTTGAGATCCTCATCTCCAAACTTGTATTGCTTCCATTCCACCTAAGGCTTGGCATATGCCCTCCTGGCTGGATTGCCCCCTGTGTATGGCCTCTACAGTTCCTTCTACCCCGTCTTCATCTACTTCCTCTTTGGAACTTCCAGACATATCTCTGTGGGTAAGTAGGAATCAGACCTAGCCTTCCAGGAGGCTGTCCATCTCTCCCCTGGAGGATAGGGAGACGGAGGGCTGAGCAGACCTGGAGAGCTTGGGGGAGAGGGGAATGTGCATGTCAAGTCACTAGGAAGCTGGCTGATGGGGTATCCCAGACAGAACCATTCCACTAACTGGGGTCCCAGATTAAGGGCATCTCCAACCTCCTGGTATCTAGATTAGGAGGAAGTGAATGGATGAAGCAATTCATGCCCAGTAAGTGTGACGCAGGCCCTGACTCCCTTCTTCATTCCACTGTCCTTAGACTAATAGACACAGGAGGGGCCCGAGTGCTAAGCTAGATGCCAGTGGCTCACGCCTGTAATCCTAGCAACTCAGGAGGCTGAGATCTGAGGATTGCAGTTGGAAGCCAGCCCAAGCAGAAAAGTCTGAGAAATTCTTTTTTTTTTTTTTTGCCAGTCATGGTGCCTGAACTCTGGGCCTGGGCACTGTCCCTCAGCTCTTCAGCTCAAGGCTAATGCTCTACCACTTGAGCCACAGCACCACTTCCAGCTTTTTCTGCTTATGTGGTGCTGAGGAATCGAACCCAGGGCCTCATGCATGCAAGGCAAGCACTCTACCACTGAGCCACTTTCCCAGCCCCATCTTTTTTTTTTTTTTGTCGGTTGTGGGACTTGAACTCTGGGACTGGGCTCTGTCCCTCAGCTCTTCATCTCAAGGCTAGCACTCTACCACTTGAGCTGCGGCGCCACTTCTGGTTTTCTGCTGGTTTATTAGAGATAAGAGTTTAACGGACTTTCCTGTGCAGGCTGGCTTTGCGGGCTGGCTTTGAACCACAATCCTCAGCTCTCAGCCTCCTGAGTTGCTAGGATTACAGGTGTGAGCCACCAGTGCCCCCGGCTTGTTTTTTGTTTTTTTTGTTGGTCATGGGGCTTGAACTCAGGGCCCCTGGCACTGTCCTTGAGCTCTTTTGCTCAAGGCTAGCACCCTACCACTTTGAGCCATAGCTCCACTTCCTGATTTTAAGTGGTTCATTGGAAATAAGAGTCTCATGGACTTTCCTGCCTGGGCTGACCCCCTGAGTAGCAAGGATAACAGGCATGAGCCACCAGCACCTGGCTTGTGAAATTCTAATCTAAACCAGAAGTGGAGCTATAGGCCGGCTTAGAAAGAATGGCACCCAATGCTATTGGTTCACACCTGTCATCCTAGCTGCTCAGGAAGCTGAGATCCAAGGATCAGGGTTCAAAGCCAGCCTGGGTAGAAAAGTCTGTGAGACTCTGATCTCTCATTAACCACTAGAAAACCAGAGATGGTGGTATAGCTCAAAGTGGTAGAGTGCTAACCTTGAGCAAAAGAAGCTTGGGGACAATACCCGGGCCTTGAGTTCCAGCTCCACAACTGATAAAACAAACAAAAACAGAAAGAATGACTCCCCCCCCTGCCCCCAGACCCTGAGTTCAAGTCCCAGTCCTAGTACACACACCCCTAAAGGAACCTTGTTGGGCTGGGAAAATGTGCCTAGTGATAGAGTGCTTGATTAGCATGCATGAAGCCCTGGGTTCGATTCCTCAGTACTACATACACAGATTAAAAAGCTAGAAGTGGCTCTGTGGCTCAAGTGGTAGAGTGCTAGCTGTGAGCAAGAGAAGCTTAGGGACAGTGCCCAGGCCCTGAGTTCAAGCCCCAGGACTGGCAGAGAGAGGGAGAGGAAGAGGAAGAGGGAGAAGGAGAGGACCTTGTGAGCTCAGAGTTCATTTCTGACTTTGGCTTACCTAATTTGCCAGCCCTGACTCCATTTGTATAGCCATAGTCTGATGGCATTCATGAAGACCAAGGCTCTAGAGCACAGCAGACCTCTCTTTCCGTGGTGTCCCCTTTCCATCCAGGGACCTTTGCTGTCATGTCTGTCATGGTGGGGAGTGTAACAGAATCTCTGGTTCCGGATAATGGCTTCGCAAACGGGACAGAGAGTGAGACTCGTGTGCAGATCGCCTCTACACTGAGTGTCCTGGTCGGCCTCTTCCAGGTGTGGAAGGTGTTTGTGTCTGCATTCTCTGATCCCCCCTCCCCCCTCCATTTCCTCCCAGATCTGTCTGATTGTGTCTGATGGCCATCACTTTTCCTGTTGGCACACAGCCTCCTCCGAACCCACCTATCTTGGGCTCTGCTTCCTGGCCTTGACTTCTGGTGTATCTACAGGTGGGGCTTGGCCTGGTCCACTTTGGTTTCGTGGTCACCTACCTGTCGGAGCCTCTGGTCCGCAGCTATACCACGGCTGCATCTGTGCAAGTGTTCATCTCCCAGCTCAAGTATGTGTTTGGCATCTCTCTGACCAGTCGCTCTGGGCCACTGTCCCTCATCTATGTGAGTGAGGGTAGAGGCCGGGTGAGGAAGGTGTGCCCCATGACTTGAGTATTGGCTGACCGCATCTCTCCCCAGATGCTGCTAGAGATCTGCTCAAAACTGCCAGAGACCGTGGTCGGCACGGTGATCACCGCATTGGTGGCTGGAGTGGTGCTTGTGTTGGTGAAACTATTGAATGACAAACTGCAGCGGTATCTGCCCCTGCCCATACCTGGAGAGTTGCTCACGGTGAGAGGGTCGGGGTGTGTGTGGGGGTGGAGGGCAGAGGACAAGGGAACACTTAGAAAGATCCTTGCCAGGGGCTGGGCATGTGGCTTAGTGGTAGAGTGCTTGCCTAGCATGCAGGAAGCCCTGGGTTCCATTCCTCAGTACCACATACACAGAAACAGTTGGAAGTGGCGCTGTGGCTCAAGTGGTAGAGTGCTAGCCTTGAGCAAAAGAGGCTCAGGGACAGTGTCCAGGCCCTGAGTTCAAAGTCCAGGATGGGCACCAAAAGAAAAACGAAATCCTTGCCCAAGGGTGAAGCCTCACAGTATTTCAGAGTGACTTGGGGATGTCTCTGTGGGAGGTTCCTGTGTATTGGGGGTTGGGATTGCAGTAGAAAGCCATCTGGTTGACCTGGCCTCTGTAGCTCATGCCTGTCATCCTAGCTCCTCCAGACACTGAAATAGGAGGATCATGGTTCAAAGCCAGCCCTGGGCAGGAAAGTCCATGAGATTCTTATCACCAATGATCCGCCAGAAAATTGGAAGTGGTATTATGACTCAAAGTGGTAGAGTGCTAGAGTTGAATAAAAGAGCTCAGGGTTAGCACCCGTGCCCTAAGTTCAAGTCCCAGGACCAACATACACACACACACACACACACTTTTCTATCTCTGGGAAGAAGGCTTTATCCTGGTGCTTCTTCCCCAAAATGTCTTTTTTGTGAGGCCTGAACTCTGGGCCTGGGCACTGTCCTTCAGCTCTTCAGCTTAAGGCTAGCACTCTACCACTTGAGCCACAGTGCCACTTCCGGCTTTTTTCTTTTTGCTTATGTGGTGCTGAGGAATCGAACTCAGGGCCTCATGCATGCAAGGCAAGCACTCTACCACTGAGCCACCTTCCCAGCCCACAAACTGTCTTCTTCATCTCCCTGAAAAGAATGCCAGCACCTCCTTACCCCTAACTCTGTCATTCTCCACATTGCCCTCCTCTATCCCCTCCAGCTCATTGGGGCTACAGGCATCTCTTATGGTGTGGAACTAAAGAAAAGATATGGGGTGGATGTTGTGGGCAATATTCCTGCAAGGTAAGGTGGACCTCAGTTGGGGTAGGGAGGTTGGGGCAGCCAGAGGCAGGCCCTTTCTCTGACCTTGCAGGTGTGTGTGTGTCTTTGTAGGCTGTTACCTCCAGAAGCCCCCAAGCCTGAGCTGTTTGCACAGCTGGTGGGGAACGCCTTTGCTATTGCTGTAGTTGGATTCGCCATTGCCATCTCTCTAGGGAAGATCTTCGCCCTGAGGCATGGTTACCGCGTGGATAGCAACCAGGTTTGCATGGTGTGGGCACCACAGCTGGACAGAAGCATCCCAGGAATTGGTGGTAGAGAGGAAGTGGAGAGGGGGGGGCCCAGGTGAGACTCAGGTGGGATTGAGAAGGAGAAAACAAAGATGTGTAGGACACCAAACGCTGATGGCTCACTCCTGTCATGCTAGCTACTCAGGAGGCTGAGATCTGAAAATCCGCTGTTCAAGCCAGCCCAGGCTGGAAAGTCTGTGAGACTCTTACCTCCAATGAACCACCAGGAAACTGGAAGTGGCGCTGTGGCTCAAAGTGGTAGAGCACTAGGCTTGAGCAAAAGAGCTCAGGGACAGTGCTCAGGCTCTTGAGTTCAAGCCCCACGACTGACCAAATAAATAAATGAATGTGTAGGACAAGCAGACACCCAAATCTTTGGAGGCCATTGAGTGGGTGTGAAGGGTTGTGGGTGCGTTAGCCCGATCAGGCACCTCTAAATGAGTTCCTCACATTCACCCTCCCCTACCAGGAGCTGGTGGCTTTGGGCCTCAGTAACTTCATTGGGGGATTCTTCCAGTGTTTTCCCGTGAGTTGCTCTATGTCTCGGAGCCTGGTCCAGGAGAGCACTGGAGGCAACACACAGGTGGGTGTTTTGGAGGTGTGGCTAGAGGGGAAGACATAGCTTGATGTACAAAGATGTAGCCTGGCCTGGGAAGGTGGCTTCGTGGTAGAGTGCTTACCTAGCATGCATGAAGCCCTGGGTTCGATTCCTCAGTACCACTTCAAGCTGGAAGTGGCGTTGTGACTCAAGTGGTAGAGTGCTAGCCTTGAGCAAAAGAAGCTCAGGGACAGTGCTCAGGTCCTGAGTTCCAGCCCCAGGACTGGCAAAGAAAAAAAGAGAAAGGAAGGAAGAAAGGAAGACAGACAGACAGACAGAAAGACAGACAGGAAGGAAGGAAGGAAGGACGATGGATGTGGTCCCCACATCCCCACCCCCATAGCTCCTACCCGGTTCACCTCTACTCCCTTCTTGTCCGTACTCTGTAGGTTGCAGGGGCTGTATCTTCCCTTTTCATCCTCCTCATCATCCTCAAACTTGGGGAGCTCTTCAAAGACCTGCCCAAGGTGAGTTCTCACCCCTCCCAATCAGGCTTCAGGACCTGGGCCAAGCCAGATTGGTCAAGCTTCATTCCTAGTGAAGGACACAGATTCATGATACCATGGGGTTCAAGTTGAGGGCTTTAGGATATGAGTTCAGAAGCAAAGATCAGAGGTTAGAACTTTTCAGAATCATGAGCTGGGAATGTGGCTTAGAGGTAGAGTGCTTACCTAGCATACACAAAGTCCTAGGTTCGATTCCTCGGTACCACTTTGACAGAAAAAGCCAAAAGTGTCACTGTGGCTCAAGTGGTAGAGTGCTAGCCTTGAGCAAAAGAAGCTCAGGGACAGTGCCCAGGCCCTGAGTTCAAGTCCCAGGACTGGCAAAAAGAAAAGAAACAAAGGCTTTTCAGAGTCAGAGCCAAATGGTTAGGGTCACATTGGGTGGTAGTTGCTGTAGGATGGAGCTGTGCCCAGTTTTTGGAGTCAGGCCTGGGTGGTTGGAGTTGTCAGCATCTGGGTACCTCTCAGCCATCCTGGTGACATTCCTACCACAGGCAGTCCTGGCAGCTACCATCATTGTCAACCTAAAAGGCATGATGATGCAGTTTTCTGACATATGCCGGCTCTGGAAGACGAATCGAATGGATCTGGTGAGGCTCAGGCACCTGGGGCTGGGAGCTTCAGGTGCAGTGATCCTTCTGGACCTGTGTGTGTGTGTGTGTGTGTGTGTGTGTGTGTGTGTGTGTGTGTGTGTGTGTGTGTGTGTGTGTGTGTGTGTGTGTGTGTGTGCATTGGAGCTCAAACTCAGGGCCTGAGCCCCTTTCCATTCAGCTTTTCCACTCCAGGTTGGCACTCTGCCACTAGAGCCATTGGAGCTAAGCGTCTCATGGACTTCCCTGCCTGGGCTAGCTTCAAGCCATGATCCTTCAATCTCAGCTTCCTGAATGACTCTTGATTCGAGTTGGGAACCATTAGCTCCCCTGGACCCGCTGACCCTTGGCTTCTCCGTTTTCAGCTCATCTGGCTGGTGACCTTTGTGGCTACCATTCTGCTGAATCTGGACATTGGCCTGGCGGTTGCAATAGGCTTCTCTCTGCTGCTTGTGGTGGTCCGGACCCAGCTGTGAGTCACGTGTTTCTTGCTCACCCCTCAATTCCAGCTGGTGAAGGAATAAGTTCCACACTGGCTCCCGCTAGCTTTGTGGGGAGGTGAGGATCACAGCCCCTTTCTGTGTCTCTTCTTCTTCTTTTTATTCATTTATTTTTGTCAGTTGTGGGGTTTGAATTCACAGCCTGGCTGCTGTCCCTGAGCTCTTTTCCTCAAGGCTAGTACTTTATCACTTTGAGCCACAGCTGTACTTCCAGTTTTTGAGGGAATTCATTGGACACAAGAGACTCATGGGGTCTTTCCTGCCCAGGTTGGCTTTGAACTGCAATCCTCAAATCTCAGCCTATTGAGTGGTGGGATTATAGGCGTGACCCACCAACGCCTGTCTTTTTTGCCTCTTTTCTTCTTGTGCTTACTTTCTCCTCTACAGGCCTCACTACTCTATCCTGGGGCAACTTCCAGACACGGATGTTTACAGAGACGTGACAGAGTACTCCGAGGTGAGTGACAGAGTACTCCGAGGTGAGTGACCGGCTGAACAGGAGATCTGAGGGGTGGAGTAGGCCAACAGAGCAGGATTTTGTGAGTCTGTTCCATATTGACAGGGCCCTGAAAGCACTTTGTGTCTGTGCTTATTTGTTCTGTTTTTATGCCAGGCAGAGAGAAAGCCTAGGTAGGGTTGATATAGAAAGACAAGGAAGCCAGGTGCTGGTGGCTCATACCTGTCATCCTCACTACCCAGGATGCTGAGATCTGAGGATCGTAGTTCAAAGCCAGCCCAAACAGTAAAGTTCATGAGACTCTTATCTCTAGTGTTGATTTGGTTTGTTTTTTTTTATGTGTGTCAGTGATGGGACTTGAACTCAGGGCCTAGACACTGTCCCTGAGCTCTTTGACTCAAGGCTGGCACTCTACCTCTTTGAGCCACAGCAACATTTCTGGTTGTCTGGTAGTTCATAAGAAATGTCTCCCAGCTGGGCGCTGGTGGCTCACGCCTGTAATCCTAGCTACTCAGGAGGCTGAGATCTTAGGATCACGGTTCAAAGCCAGCCCGGGCAGGAAAGACCGTGAGACTCCTATCTCCAATAAACCACCAGAAAACCAGAAGTGGCGCTGTAGCTCAAGTGGTAGAGCACTCGCCTTGAGCTGAAGAGCTGAGGGACAGCGCCCAGGCCCAGAGTTCAAGCCCCACGACTGACAAAAAAAAAAAAAGAAATGTCTCCCAAACTTTTCTACCCAGGCTGGCTTTGAACTGGTATCTTCATCTCAGCCTCCTGAGTAGCTGGGATTACAGGCATGCGCCACTGATGCCTAGCTTCTTATCTCCAATTTTAACCAACAGAAAATTGAAAGTGGAGTTATGGCTCAAGTGGTGGAGCGTTAGTCTTGAGGAAAAACAAAAGTTCAGGGACAGTGCCCAGGCCCTGAGTTCAAGCCCCAGAGCTGACAAAAGAAAGAAAGAAAGAAGAGAGAAAGAGAGACAGAGAGTCAAGGTGCTACCATAAGGCTCATAGTTCAGGCTCTGGGAAAGGCATGAACTTTAGGCTGGGGGACAGAAGGTAGGGTGATGTGTATCAGGTACTCTAGATGGGAAAAGGAGATGCAGCAGAAGGCAAGGATGGTTTAACCTCAACTACACTTCATTCCCAGGCCAAGGAGGTCCCAGGTGTGAAGGTCTTCCGCTCCTCAGCCACCATGTACTTTGCCAATGCAGAGCTCTATGGCGATGCCCTGAAGAAGAAGGTGAGGCTGGACTTCCCCCAGGGAGTATCCAAGGATCCTTCACTTGCCCAGAATACCCCCCAACCCCCACCTTTGACTCTTGCCTTTAGTGTGGTGTGGATGTGGACCATCTCATCGCTCAGAAGAAGAAGTTGCTGAAGAAGCAGGAGAAGAAGTTAAAACAACAGCAGAAAGATCAGAAGTCTCAGAAAAAGGCAGGCCCTCCTCAGAATTCTCAGTATCTGAGTCTTGACCCTGCCCTCTGCTTGCCTCCTGCCTTGCTGTGGACCCCAGCCAATCTGTACCTTGACCTCTACCTCCTGCCCTGCTGTTGCTCTTCCCAGGCTTTTCTTTTCTTTTTTTTTTTTTTGTCGGTCGTGGGGCTTGAACTCTGGGCCTGGGCACTGTCCTTCAGCTCTTCAGCTCAAGGCTAGTGCTCTACCACTTGAGCTACAGCGCCGCTTCCGGTTTTCTGGTGGTTTATTGGAGATAGGAGTCTCACGGTCTCTCCTGCCCGGGCTGGCTTTGAACCGCGATCCTCAGATCTCAGCCTCCTGAGTAGCTAGGATTACAGACGTGAGCCACCAGGGCCCGGCTTTCCCAGGCTTTTCTATCAGGCCTTTGTTATTTATTTTCTTGGTCAATTGTGGAGCTTGAACTCAGGGCCTAGGTATTGTCCCTGAGCTCTTTTTTTTTTTTTTTTGCCCAAGGCTGATGCTCTACTACTTTGAGCCACAGTTCCACTTCTGGTTTTCTGGTGGTTGATGAAAGATAAGAGTCTTATAGACTTTGCTGTCCAGGTTGGCTTTGAACCTCAATCTTCAGATCTCAGACTCCTGAGGAGCTAGGATGACAAGTGTGAGCTACCAGCACCTGGCTCCCTTTTCCATTGTTTTATGACTATTCCCAGGATTTAATCAGAACCCTGACATCATCAGCCTGGCTGCCCCAGATCCTGAAGCTTTGAGTCCTGGCCTTACTATTTGCCCACAGCCAGAGAATGGTGCCTCTCCTGCCTGGTTATAGGCAGCTGGACAAGTTCTACAATGTCTCTCCTTTTCCCCGGTTTAGGCTTCCCATTCCAAAGGCACGTCGGTTTCCATCAATGTTGACACCAGCCTTGGAGATATAAAGAACAATGATGTAGAAGGCTCCAGAGTCAAGGTGAGGAGAGAGGAGCAGAGGAGGGGCCAGCCATGCGCTGTAGATCCACACATGCACTGTGAAAAAAGCCAAGGAGCTTTGGTATCAGTGGTGGGAGGAATGGAATGATGGCTGAGACACCACAGGAAGATTGCTGATAATGTAGAATGCTATGTATTGACACTTTTGTCCATAATCTCAACTTTAGGTGAAAAAGACCTAGAGTTGCCCAGCCCTCGTGGCTCATACCTGTTATCCTAGCTACTCAGGAGGCTAAGATCTGAGGATGGCAGTTCAAAACCAACGCAGGCAAGGACGTCCATGAGACTCTTATCTCCAATTACCCACCAGAAAACCGGAAGTGGTACGTGGTTCAAAGTGGTAGAGCACTAGCCTTAAGATAAAGAGCCCAGGGAACAGCACTTAGGCACTGAGTTCAAGCCCTGTGACCAACAAAAAACAAGCAAACCTAGAGTTATAGAAGCCCTAAGATCCTAATCTGGTAGTCAGGCACTGGTGGCTCACATCTGTAATCCTAGCTACTCAGAAGACTAAGATCTGAGGGTAATGATTCAAAGCCAGCCAGGGCAGGAAAGTCTATGAAACCCTTCTCTCCAACTAACTACCAAGCAAAGCCTGAAGTGGAGCTGTGACTCAAGGTAACATGCTAGCTTGAGCTAAAAAAGGTCAGGCCCGATGTGGAAAATGGGCTGTATAACTTGTGGGTAGGGACAGGAGAGAAAAACTGGGAAAAAGTAAAGAAAGGGTGACATTGTCCAAAAAGAAATGTACTCATTACCTGACTTAGGAAACTGTACATCACCTTTATAACATTGAAAAAAATATTTAATTTAAGGGTGGCAACGTGGCTTAGTGATAGAGTGCTCACCTAGCATGCATGAAGCCCTGGGTTCAATTCCTCAGTACCACATACACCGAAAAAGCTGGAAGTGGCGCTGTGACTCAAATGGTAGAGTGCTAGCCTTGAGCAAAAGAAGCTCAGGAACAGTGCCCAGGCCCTGAGTTCAAGCCCCAGGACTGGAAAATAAAATAAGAGCCAAATTCAATTCAAGACTTAGCCAAGTTGGGGTACCAAGGTGTATGAGTGCACGGTTTTGTTTTTGCCTGTCCTTGGCTGGCTGAGGGTAAGCTGTGATCTCCCCAACTTCTTCCCTTCTTGTGTCTTCAGTAAGCCTAGAACAGTTGCGCATGTATGTTAGGCTCTCCTGTCCTGTATCTCTTGCTGGTCTTTTTGTTGTTGTTGTTCATGAGGCTTGAACTCAGGGTGTTGTCCCTGAGCTCTTTTACTCAAAGCTAGTGCTTTACCATTTAGAGCCACAACACCACTTCTGCTTTTCTGGTGGTTCATTAGAGGTTAGAGTCTCGTGGGCTTTCCTGCCCAGGCTGATTTTGAACCATGGTCCTCAGATCTCAGCTCCCTAAGTAGCTAGGATTATAAGTGTGAGCCACCAGCACCTGGCTCTCTTACCTGTCTTTGTGTTTGTGCTAGCTCTGGGACTTGAATTCAGGGCCTAGATGCTGTCCTTAAGCTTTTGTACTCAAGGCTCATGTTCTACCACTTTGAGCCACAGCTCCACTTTGGGATTTTTTGGTTCACTGAAAATAAGATTTTCAGGGGTTTCCCTGCCCAGAGCTGGCTTCAAACAGTGATCCTCAGATCTCAGCTTCCTGAGTAGCTAGGATTACAAGTGTGAGCCACCAGTGCCTGACCCTAGCTTTGTCTATATTCTGTTCCCTCCACTATCTCAGTCCTCAGAATCTCTGATTTCACCCTATTGTTAGGGGTGCATTCAGCATGTGTATCTTCCCCACACAGGTGAACACAGGGGACGAGATAGAAGATCCAACAGTCAACGATCAAGAAGCTAGCAAGACCCCCAATGTGCCCACACTGAAGTCCCTAGGTCTGCCTCAGCCAGACTTCCACACTCTTATCCTGGACCTGGGCACACTCTCTTTCGTAGACACTGTGTGCATCAAGAACTTAAAGAATGTAAGGGGGACTGGCAATGTGTCTGTGGCTTAGTGGTAGAGCGCTTGCCTAGCATGCATGAAGCCCTGGGTTCGATTCCTCAGTCCCACATCCACAGAAAAAGCTGGAAGTGGCCCTGCGGCTCAAGTGGTAGAGTGCTAGCCTTGAGCAAAAGAAGCTCAGGGACAGTGCCTAGGCCCTGAGTTCAAGCCCCAGGACTGGCAAATAAAGAAAAAAAAATAGTAAGGGACCAGGTGCCATTGGCTTACTCCTATAATCCTAGCTACTCAGGAGATTGAGGTCTGAGGATTGTGGTTTGAAGCCAGCCCTGAGCAGGAAAGTCCATGAGACTTTCATCTCCAATGAACCACCACAAAAGCCAGAAGAAGAGCTGTGGCTCAAAGTGGTAGAAGGCTAGCCTTGAGCAAAGGAGCTCCAGGACAGTGCCTATGCCTTGAGTTCAAGCCCCATGACTGACCAAAAAAAAAGAAAAAGAAAGAAGAAGCTCAAAGACAGCACTCAGGTCCTGAGTTCAAGCCCCAGGACCAGCCCTCTGAGCCCTCTGGTCCCTCCAATCCCACAAGCTCCCCCATCGTGGGTCTTGAACTCTGGACCTGAGCACCGTCCCTCAGCTCTTCAGCTCAAGGCTAGCGCTCTACCATTTGAGCCACAGCACCACTTCTGGTTTTCTTGGAGACAAGAGTCTCATGAACTTAATTTCCCAGGCTGGCTTTGAACTGCGATCCTCAGATCTCAGCCTCCTGAGTAGCAAGGATGACAGGTGTGAGCCATCGGCGCCCAGCACCTCTCCCCCTTCTTAAGTCTGCCTGACTGCTCCCCTGAATCCAGCCCCTTTGTTGCTACAGATTTTTCGTGACTTCCGGGATTTGGAGGTGGAGGTGTACCTTGCGGCCTGCAACAGTATGTTGAGTGGGGGGTCAGTGGGAGAAATTGAGGAAGAGCAGATGGGACTTGTGGGCAGTGCTAAAGACTGAACCAGGGTTTTGTCCTTACTAGCTGAAGATCTTCTATTATGTTTAGTTTTTCTGAGATATGATCTTGCTTCACATTGCCTGAGATGGGTCAGAGTATCTTCCTGCCTATCCCTCCCAAGTAGCTGAGATTACAGGTAGGGACCACGCTACTTGGCTTAGAGGTTAAGACTCTGTGGGCTAATCAGTTAAGCATTCAACACCGAGAAACTGGAGGTCAGAGATAACCTGGGGGTCAGGAGTCAAGAAGGGTTGGGTGGCAAGGTGTTGGTAGCTCACACCTGTAATCCAAGCTACTTAGGAGCCTGAGATCTTAGGATCCTATTTCCAAACTAGGCCAGACCAGAAAGTTTGTAAGACTTATCTCTAATAAACTACTCCCCAAAAATATGGAAGAGGAGCTATGGCTCAAGTGATAGAGGCTTAACTTTGAGCACAAAAGCTTAGGGGCAGTGCCCAGGCTCTTAAGTTCAAGCCCAAGGACTGGTACCAAAAGAAAGAAAGAAAATAAAAGCCAACCATAGAGCTGTGGCTTAAAGGGTAGAGTACTGGCCTTGAGTAGAAAAAGCCAAATGAGGAGCTGGGAAGGTGGCTTAGTGGTAGAGTGCTTGCCTTGCATGCATGAGGCCCTGGGTTTGATTCCTCAGCACCACATAAGCAGAAAAATCCAGAAGTGGTGCTGTGGCTCAAGTGGTAGAGCGCTAGCCTTGAGCTGAAGAACTGAAGGACAGTGCCTAGGCCCAGAGTTCAAGCCCATGACTGGCAAGAAAAGAAAAGAAAAAGTCAAGGTGAAGCTAAATGCTGGTGGTTCATGCCTGTCATCTTAACTACTCAGAAGGCTGAGATCTGAGGATCGTGGTTCAAAGCCAGCCTGGGCAGGAAAGTCTGTTGGACTCTTAGCTCCAATGAGCCACTTAAAAACGGGAAATAGCGCTATGGCTCCAGTATAGAGGACTAGCTGGCCTTAAGCACAAAGAGGCTCTGAATTCAAGCCCCACAACCTACCCCGCAAAAAAAGAAAAAAGCCAAGTGATAGAGCATGAGGCCCTGAGTTCAAGTCCCAGGACCAACACACACACACACACACACACACACAAATAAAACAGGGGCTGAAAGGTTGAAGAGGGCCAGAACATTCTAGAAGGGTCGATGAGAGGTGGGGAAAGGTTGCAGTTCCTCATGGTCCCGAGAGTTAAGAATGACTTTCTTCTTGCCTATAGGTCCCGTGGTGGCCCAGCTTGAGGCTGGGCAATTCTTTGATGCTTCCATCACAAAACAGCATATCTTCGTTTCCGTCCATGATGCTGTGACTTTTGCCCTTCAACACACCAAACCTGATTCCCTCACTTGCACTTTGGTAAGCTTTCTGGCTCACTGAGCTATTTTAGTGGGGTTTGTTGTTGTTAATTTGTTGTTTGGCCTAATTCTGAGACACCCCCTCCCACCAACTCTAGCTGCTCCATGTCAATAACCATAGCTCTGTCCCCAGGAGACATATCATACCTTTTCCCTTCCTGCCCTTTGAGGGGAAAAATCTGTTCCCTTCAGGGTGGGTGGGGGTGGGGTGGCAGTCCCCAAGAGAAGAAATTGGAGGGGGTCCATTGGAAAACTAACTAGAATCTTCCTTCCTCTGCCTACTCAGGCCACCAAACTCTGAACATGCTGCTACCCAGCCCACCACTGCCTACCTCGGGAAATTGGAACTGGTCATTGGTGAGAAACTCTCCTGCCTCTTGGCCAGGTCTAGGTGCCACCCAGAAGAATCCTCCATGAACAAAAACGTCATAACTCAGGGACAGAGAGCCTGGAATTCTGCAATCACTGCTGCAGGCCTGAGACAGGGCGCTGAAGTCAAGCCGGTCTTGGCTGGATTACAGGGAGGAAGCAGTGTCTATTTTCAGCACCAGAAATAAAGACTTGTGTACATAAGTCCAGGCTGTACTATAAGCATGGTGGCCGTCTGGCTGGGAGAGGGGTAGAAGTTGGGAATATCTGGGAGAGGGCAGTGTCAGGGAGACATCATAAAGAACCAAGGAGAATGGATGGGAATGTGGCTCAGTGGTAGAGTGCTTGCCTAGCATGCATGAAGCCCTGGGTTCAATTCCTCAGCACCACATAAATAGAAAAAGCTGGAAGTAGTACTGTGGCTCAAATGGTAGTGCTAGCCTTGAGCAAAAGAAGCTCAAGAACAGCACGCAGGCCCTGGTGCCGGTGGCTCATGTCTGTCATCCTAGCTACTCCGGATGCTGAGATCTGAGGATTGAGATTCAAAGCCAGCCTGGGCAGAAAAGTGAAAGACTCTTATTTCCAATGAACCATTTAAAAACCATAAGTAGGGCCTGGGAATGTGGCTTAGTGGTAGAGTGCTTGCCCTAGCATGCATGAAGCCCTGGGTTCAGTTCCTCAGTATCACATAAATAGAAAAGGCTGGAATGGTGCTGTGGTTCAAGTGGTAGATTGCTAGCTTTGACTAAAAAAAAAAAAAAAAAATGCTAAGGGAGCCGGACGCCGGTGACTCACACTTGTAATCTCAGGAGGCTAAGATATGAGGATTGCAATTCAAAGCCAGCCCAGGCAGGAAAGGCTGTGAAATTCTTATCTCCAATAAACCACCAAAAAAAACAGAAGTGGTGCTGTGGCTCAAGTGGTAGAGCGCTAGCCTTGAGCTGAAGAGCTGAGGGACAGTGCCCAGGCCCAGAGTTCAAGCCCCATAACTGACCAAAAAAAAAACAAAAAAAAGCTCAGGGACAGTGCCCAGGATCTGAGTTCAAGCCCCAGGAGGCAAACAAAACACTTCAGCTAAGAAGCAAGTACAGATTTATAAAATATTAACATTCCCATGTGGCCCTGGGAGAAGTGGGGCTTCTTTTCTGATCAGCTAACACGAATGACTGGAAAGAACCCTTGGATCCTTCTAGGCTTCCGTGTTGTCCTGATCAGTAGAGGAATGGCTGTATTGACCTCATGGGCTGTTCGGTAAATATTATGTGACTAAAGTATCTGGGCATACTTTGAACACTGTAGGGTTCCGATCACCTGCTCAACAGGTGAACTTTGCCATTCATTAGGTCCTGATCGGGTACTGCCCAGGCGCCAGGCTGTGTGCTGGGCACTAGGCAAGATCTCCAGGGTGAACAGAGGCTGTCCTGTCCTCCAAGCCACCCAGGCGCCTTGCCCGCTTCTATTTTTAATCATGGCCTCTGCCAGTGCCTGGCACTATATTTACACACCCCTTGTCCTCCTTCCCCTCCACCCCCTGCCAACCTCAGCCCAGGAAGTCAGAACTTTTTGTCTGTTTCTGTCCCACTTTCCTTTGGCGCCAGGAATGGGCAGTTGGTAAATATTGGCTAAATAGAAGGCAGGCTAGAAAGGGGAATTGGAATAGAATAGCAAATAGAAGAGCTTTGAAGAAAATTGCACAGGTCACACTAGAGAGATGGGTCTGAAGAGGAGTTAACTATTAGGAGGTGATTTTATTATTATTATTAATCTTTGTCAGTCATAGGGCTTGAACTCAGGGTCTGGGAACTGTCCCTGAGCTTTGTCACTCAAGGCTAGCACTCTACCTATTGGAGCCACAGTGCCACTTCTGGTTTTCTGGTGGTTCACTGGAGAAAAGAGTCTCATGGACATTTCTTCCCCCTGGCTGGCTTTGAATCCTGATCCTCCGATCTCAGCCTTCTGAGTAGCTAGGATGACAGGCGTGAGCCACCAGCACCCTGCACTAAAAGGTGACTTTCTGGGGCTGGGAAGGTGGCTCAGTGGCAGAGCGCTTGCCTTGCATGCATGAGGCCCTGGGTTCGATTCCTCAGCACCACATAAGCAAAAAGAAAAAAGCCGGAAGTGGCGCTGTGGCTCAAGTGGTAGAGCGCTAGCCTTGAGCTGAAGAGCTGAGGGACAGCGCCCAGGCCCAGAGTTCAGGCCCCACGACCGGACCCCCCCCCCCCCAAAAAAAAAAGGTGACTTTCTAAGAAGTAAAACATGCCAGAAATCACAAGCCTGCTGGATTCTTCAGGAAGTTAAGAAAGGAAGCCTTTTTCCTTCCTTCCTTCCTTCCTTCCTTCCTTCCTTCCTTCCTTCCTTCCTTCCTTCCTTCCTTCCTTCTTTCCTTCCTTCCTTTCTTTCTTCCCTCCCTCCCTCATCTTTTCTGTATGGGTAATGGCTCCTTCATCTGAGACACGAAACCCCTGATTGCAGGATAGGAAACAGTGAACATTAGAGATTGTGGAAGGTGTTTTAGATTTTTAGAGGGGTGATAGTTGAGGGTGGAGATACAGAAGGAGGTAGGAGACTCCTTCAAAGCCAAATGCTAATGGCTCACACCTGTTATCCTAGCTACTCAGGAGACTGAGATCTTAGGATCATGGTTCAAAGCCAACCAGGGCAGGAAAGTCTGTGAGACTCTCCAACTGCAACGAACAACCAGGAAACCAGAAGTAGCACTGTGGTTCAAAGTGGTAGAGCACTAGCGTTGAGCAAAAAGAGCTCAGGGGCAGTGCCTAGGTCCTGAGTTCAAGCCCCATGACTAACCAAAGAAAAAAAGAAAAAGAGAAAAGACTCCAGGAAGAGTCTTTTGGAAGAGTGGTACCCACCCTCAGATCTGTGCGCCCCCCACCCCCACCCAGTTACCCTACCACCTCTGATTTTTCTGGCCAGGCTGCTTCATTAAAAACTTAATTAATTGCTGGGTGCCGGTGGTTCACGCCTGTAATCTTAGCTACTCAGGTGGTTGAGATCTGAGGATCGTGGTTCAAAGCCAGCCTGGGCAGGAGAGCCCTTGAGACTCTTATCTCCAGTAAACCACTAGAAAACTGGACGTGGCACTGTGGCTCAAAGTGCTAGAGCACTAGCCTTGAGCAAAAAGAGCTCAGGGCCAGCACTCAGGCCCTGAGTTCAAGCCCCATTACTGACCGAAAACTAAATAAATAAGTAAATAAATAAAAAGGGCCATGGGCCCAGCTGGAACTTGGTACCTCAGAGCTGACCCTGCCCTTGGGGGAGGGGTGTTTGCCGGTTGCCAGGCAACCAGGTTCCGGCCTCTTGACAGTGGCCGCAGCTATGCTGAGTGTTCAGTTCTTACTGCCGCTGCTCTTACTAGCAATGTCTGCCCCAACCCATGCCTGGTCACGCCCCGTCTGGTATCAGGTGGGGCTAGACTTACAACCCTGGGGATGCCAACCGGAGAGGCTGGATGGTTGTAGAGGTGGTCTGGGTTGTCCTGGCTATTGGATGGGCCTGGGAGGGAACCGCATCTACCCTGTGGCTGGGGTCACGATCACTACCACCATGATGCTGGTGATCAGTCGTGTGATGATGCAACGGAAGCGATCTCCCCAGCTCACTACAAATCAGGTGAGCTGCTTCCACTCATGCCCAGAAGACCCGTATCCTCCACCCATTCCTCTCCCACCAGCCTTCCTGTCAGACCTCACTCACCCCCCCCCCCCCCATCTCCTTTCTTGCATCTGTCCACGTGTCCTGACCATTCCCTAGGAATGGATCAGCTGCCCGGCTTATTTGTCTCCCTTCTTCCCTCCTTTTTTTTTGGGGGGGGGGGGTAAGTCATGGGGCTTAAACTCTAGGCCTGGATGCTGTCCCTCAGCTCTTCAGCTCAAGGCAAGGGCTCTACTACTTGAGCCACAGCACCACTTCCGGTTTTCTGGTGGTCCATTGGATATAAAGAGTCTCATGGGCTTTCCTGCCCGGGCTGGCTTTGAGCTGCGATCCTCAGATCTCAGCCTCCTGAGTAGCTAGGATGACAGGTGTGAGCCATTGGCACCCGGCTGAACATTTTTGCTCAAGGCTAGTGCTCTACCACTTTGAGCCATAGCTCCACTTCTGGTTTTCTTTTTTCTTTTTCCTTCTCCCTCCCTCCCTCTTTCCCCTCTTTCTTTCTCTTTCTTTCTTTCTTTCTTTCTTTCCTTTCTTCCTTCCTTCCTTCCCTTCCTTCCTTCCTTCCTTCCTTTCCTTCCTTCTTCCTTCCTTCTTCCTTCCTTCCTTCCTTCCTTCCTTCCTTCCTTTCTTTCTTTCTTTTCGCCAGTCCTGGGGCTTGAACTCAGGGCCTAGACACTGTCCCTGAGCTGCTTTTGCTCAAGGTTAACCCTCTAACACCTGAGCCACAGCACCGCTTCTGGCTTTTTCTCTGTGTGTGATACTGAGGAATTGAATCCAGGGCTTCATGCATGCTAGGCAAGCACCCACCCGGTTTTCTGCCAGTTAATCGGAGATAAGAGTCCCACAGACCTTCCTGCCTGTGCTGAGTTTGAATCATAATCCTCAGATCTCAATCTCTTGAGTAGCTAGGATGACAGTCATGAGCCACAAGCATCTGGCTTATTTATTCTCTTCTAGTACTCCTCCCCATCCAACCCATCCCTCCCCTAGCCATCCATGGGTCCCATGCCCACCTAGTTTCATGACACCCCCCCCCCACCCCTGCCATCGGTCTATCCTCCTAAGCCTCCCTCCCGATCCATCCCCTTTAATCTACTATACCCCCATCATCCTATGGCTTTTCCCGAATTCTTTTGCTGACATTTGCCTTCCTCCCCCTCCCCCTCCCTCCTGTCTTTTGCTCCTAGTCTCAACAGTCACAAGTGACCCCCAACCCCAGTTGTCCCTGGAAACGGCGGGCCACCGTCTCAGACCGCACCCTCCTCCTAGGGGTCCTTCATATGTTGGATGCTCTACTGATTCATATCGAGAGTCACCTGCAGTGCCTAGCCACCAAGCAGCAAATTCAAATAAAGGGGAATCCCTCCCAGTGTGGGTGACCAACATGTGCATCCTTTTTTTTTTTTTGTCGGTCGTAGGGCTTGAACTCTGGGCCTGGGCGCTGTCCCTCAGCTCTTCAGCTCAAGGCGAGCACTCTACCACTTGAGCCACAGAGCCACTTCCGGTTTTCTGGTGGTTTATTGGAGATAAGAGTCTCATACACTTTCCTGCTCGGGCTGGCTTTGGATCACGATCCTTAGATCTCAGCCTCCTGAGTAGCTAGGATGACAGGCCTGAGCCACCAGCACCCGGCATGCCTCTTTTTCATGGCTCGCCAAGCTGAGGATGGTCCATAGCTCCTGGGCCCCACAACTCGAGACTATGTGTCCATTATCCCTCTGGGTCCTTATCTAGATTTAGTGGCTTCTGTTCCCTCTCTAAGAGGCCACATCTATGCTGTAGGAGGAACATCCGGGTAACTCCACTGTCATGATGTTGGTGATACCTGTACAAGGCTGTGATGTTAGACAGGGATATTGCCAATTCACTGAAGGTGAGGTGAGCCCAGAATTCCTTCAAGGACGGGATGCCAGGATGGGTGTAATCAGATAGGCCCTGGGGAAAGCACAAACTGTACATCAGCCACACCAATCTACCTCCTCCTCCTCTAAGGACCATGCACAAACACAGCCTGAACCGTAGTTAAGCACCTGCTAGGAAGGTGGCCTAGTGGTAGAGTGCTTGCCTAGCATGCATGAAGCCCTGGGTTCGATTCCTCAATATTACATACTCAGAAAAAGCCGGAAGTGGCACTGTGACTCAAGTGGTAGAGCACTAGCCTTGAGCTGAAGAGCTGAGGGACAGTGTCCAGGCCCAGAGTTTCATGGACTTTCCTGCCTGGGCTGGATTTGAACTACAATCCTCAGATCTCAGCCGCCAGAGTAGCTAGGATGATAGCCATGAGCCCCTGGTGCTCAGTGCAATATGGAATTTCTGATAAATGCTACAATATGGGTAAACTTGAAGACAGGGGCTGGAAATGTGGCTTAGTGGTAGAGTGCTTGCCTGGCATGCATGAAGCCCTGGGTTCAATTCCTCAGCACCACATAAATGGAAATAGCCAGAAGTGGCTCAAGTGGTAGAGTGCTAGTCTTTTTTTTTTGGGGGGGGGGGGGCGTCCAGGGGCCTGAACTCTGGGCCTGGGTACTGTCCCTCAGCTCTTCAGCTCAAGGCTAGTGCTCTACCACTTGAGCCACAGCACCACTTCCAGCTTTTTCTGCTTCTGTGGTGCTGAGGAATTGAACCCAGGGCCTCATGCATGCGAGGCACATGCTCTACCACTGAGTCACCTTCCCAGCCACTTCGTATATTTTTGAAAAGAAGAAAAAAAAATGTAGGAAAAAACACAGGTGAATGTATGTTATAAATATCAAACAAGCCAGGCACTGGTGGCTCACGCCTGTAATCCTAGCTACTCAAGAGACTGAGATCTAAGGATCTGGGTCCAAAGCCAGCCCAGGCAGGAAAGTCTGTGAGACTCTTATCTCCAATGAACCAGCAGAAAATTGGAAGTGGAGCTGTGACTCAAAGTGGTAGAGTGCCAGCCTTGAGCAAAAAAGCTTATGGACAGGGGCTGGGAAGGTAGCTCAGTGGTAGAGCGCGTGCCTTGCATGCCAGAGGCCCTGGGTTTGATTCCTCAGCACCACATAAGCAAAAAGAAAAAAAGCTGGAAGTGGTGCTCTGGCTCAAGTGGTAGAGCGCTCGCCTTGAGCTGAAGAGCTGAGGGACAGCGCCCAGGCCCGGAGTTCAGGCCCCATGACCGGACCCCCCCAAAAAAAGCTTATGGACAGTGCCCAGACCCTGAGTTCAAGCTCCAGGACTGACTAATAATACTAATTATAACGATAACAATAATAATTTTATGATGGCTGATACTATATGCCAGGTTCTATTCATAAAGTCACATTTACCTTAAGGACAGTGCAATCTTTGAACTGTGTCATGGAGTATTGATTGTCATCACTGCTTGGGTAATGGAAAATTTAATGAAACCAGCTATGCTATTGGTAAGCAACTGAATTTTATGGTACCACCGCCATATATTCCTCTGTTATAGACTGAAAAAAATCAATATGCAGTGAATGTCTGCATTATGTAGCTTAATTCCTCATCACCCTGTGATGGCAAATATTGGAGCTAAAAAGACAATACAGAGAGGTTACCTAGGGGCTGGGAATGTGGCTCAGTGGTAGAGTGCTTGCTTAGCATGCATGAAGCCCTGAGTTTGATTCCTCAGTATCACATATACAGAAAAGGCTGGAATCGTGTTGTGGCTCAAGGAGTAGAGTGCTAGCCTTGAACAAAAGAAGCTCAGGGAGAGTGCCCAGGCCCTGAGTTCCAGCCCTAGGATTGACAAAAGAGAAAGAAGGAAGGAAGGAAGGAAATGAAGGGAAGAAGGAAATGAAGGAAGAAAGGAAGGAAGGAAGGTTACCTAGCCTTCCATAAATTCCACAGCTAATGGCAGTCCATTTTTCATGATCAAGTGCCAGATATTTCACTTCTTGAATGCTCTTCTTCTTTGGACTTGTGTGTGTGTGTGTGTGTGTGTGTGTGTGTGTGTGTGTACACCAGTCTTGGGGCTTAACCTCAGTGTCTGGGCACTGTCCCTGAACTTTTCTGCTCAAGGCTAGCGCTCTACCACTTGAGTCACAGCTCTACTTCCGTTTTTTTTTTGGTGCTTAATCAGAAATGGTCTCACAGACTTTCCTGCTGGGCCTGGCTTTGAATCATAATCCTCATGTCTTAGCCTCCTGAGTAGCTAAGATGACAGGTGTGAGACACTGGTGCCCGGCTCATCTGTCTAGTAGGTGACATTTGTTTCCCCATTAGGATCTGGGTATGGGCTATCTTCCCATTTCTGGTAATTTCCAATCACTACTATAATTTTCCATATACCAGTCACTCAAGATATTGAACATTTTCACTCTTTTGTTCAATGTGTGTGATCAATCCAGTTCCAAATAGATGCAATATTTATTCTTGTATAATGTTAAATTATTGTTCAAAGCATACACACACATATACACATGTGTAACAAAGAAGAAGAGCCTAAGAACACAGACAAGTACAATGTGTGCACTCATGGCTCATACTTATAATCCTAGCTACTCAGGAGGCTGAGATCTGAAGACCATGGTTCAAAGCCAGCCCAGGCAGGAAAAGTCCATGAGACTCTGATCTCCAGTTGACCACCAAAAAGCCAGAAATGGAGCTGTGATTCAAGTGGTAGAATGTTAGCTTTCAGCTCAAAAGCTCAGGACAGCACCCAGGCCCTGAGTTCAAATCTCAGGACTGGCCCACTAAAACAAAAAACAAATGTAATGTGGTTTCCTGAATGGGACCCTAAAATGTAAAAAGGATTGTAAGGAAAAGAAAAAGTTGTGTAAGCCTGAACAAACATGATGGACTTTAGTTAATAATGGTCAGATAAAAGTCCATTGATTGTAACAAGTGACTGGGTGTGGTAGTATACACTGATAATTTCAGCTACTGGGAAGATGGAGTTACAAGGACTGTGTCCCAAGTTTGAGAGCCTATCTGAAGAATAAACTCAAGAAAAAAAAAAGCTGGAGGTGTAGTTCAAATGGGAAAGGCAAGATCCTGAGTTCAAATATTGTACTGAGAAAAAAAAATGTAACAGATAAATTGAGATAATATGAAGTATTAATATGGGAAACATATATGTTTGTGGGCTTGTATAAAAGATTTGTTTTTTTATTTATTTTTGTCAGTTGCTGGGCTTGAACTCTGGGACCTGGGCGCTGCCCCTCAGCTCTTCAGCTCAAAGCTAGTGTACTATCACTTGAGCCGCAGTGCCAAAACTTCTGGTTTTCGGGTGGTTCATTGGAGATTGGAGTCTCACAGACTTTTCTGCCTGGGCTGGCTTTGAACCACGATCCTCAGCTCTCACCCTTAGTAACTAGGATGACAAGTGTGAGGCCTTGGTGCCCGGCTATAAGCGATTTCTATATCAACTGCTCAACTGTTCTGTAAAGTGAAGATGGAGTTTGGTAGATTTTTCTGCCCCAGCCACCTTCAGACCTTTAATCTTCCAGGTCTCAGACTCGTGAGTAGAATTGCAGATGTGAGCAACTATCACCAGGCCCCACAAAGATATTAACACACACTAAACATCCCATTTATCCCATTTATTTTTATCCCATTTTATTTTTATTTTATATTTATTTTTATCCCATTTATTTGGGGGGGGGGGGCAGTCCTAGAATTGGGTTCTGTCCCTGAGCCTCTCTGTGCTCAAGGCTAGCACTCCACCACTTAAGCCACAATGCCACTTCTGGCTTTTTCTCAGTAGTTTATTAGAGATAAGAGTCTCACAGAAGCGGGCTCTGGGGCGCGCTGGTCCGCCTGCCATCAGATGAACTTGACAGACAGACACCTTTGCAGACAGACCCAGCTTGGGACTGTAAAGGTGTATATACTCCTCGCTCCCGCTAGGGGGAGACCGAGCGCCACGCTGTCCGTACTGCGCCTGCGCCTCAGGCTCCCACCGCCGCCCTTCCGCGCCTGCGCGACGCACGGCGTCACGTTTGACGGAAGCTGCAAGATGGCTGCGTCTGCGGTTTGCCGGGCGGCAGGCGCCGGGGCCCAAGCGTTCCTGCGCACCCGCCGTTCGGTGAGACGGCGAGGAATACCCTCCTTGGGGTCAGGGTTCGGAGCTTAGGGCCACCATGGACGAGGGACGAGTCGTTCGCGGGGGCGAGTTGTGGCGGGAGGCGCGCGCGGGGTCAAGGGTCGGGGGAAGGTCACGCCGCTGAGGGCCGGGCTGGGCGGGCGGGGTGGGGGGGGCGGGGTGGGCGGGCGGGTTGGGGGGGACGGGGTGTGGGCGGGCGGGGTGTGGGAAGGCTGGGTGGGGGGGCGGGGTGGGGAGGCCGGGCTGGGCGGGCGGGGTGTGTGTGGGGCAGGTGGGGGGGGGCCGGGCTGGGCGGGCGGGGTGGGGGGGGCGGGCTGGGCGGGCGGGGTGTGGGGGGACGGGGTGGAGGGGACGGGGTGGGGGGGGCGGGGTGTGGGAAGGCTGGGTGGGGGGGCTGGGTGGGGGGCGGGTGGGGGGGGCGGGGTGTGGGAAGGCTGGGTGGGGGGGCTGGGTGGGGGGCGGGTGGGGGGGGCGGGGTGTGGGAAGGCTGGGTGGGGGGGCTGGGTGGGGGGCGGGTGGGGGGGGCGGGGTGGGGGGGGCCGGGCTGGGCGGGCGGGGTGGGGGGCCGGGCTGGGCGGGCGGGGTGGGGAGTCGGGCGGGGGGGCCGGGCTGGGCGGGCGGGGTGGGGGGGGGGCGGGCTGGGCGGGCGGGGTGTGGGGGGACGGGGTGGGCGGGCGGGGTGTGGGGGGACGGGGTGGAGGGGGCGGGGTGGGGGGGCGGGGTGTGGGAAGGCTGGGTGGGGGGCGGGTGGGGGGGCGGGGCGGGGGGGGACCGGGCTGGGCGGGCGGGGTGTGTGGGGGGCAGGTGGGGGGGGCCGGGCTGGGCGGGCGGGGGTGGGGGGCCGGGCTGGGCGGGCGGGGTGGGGGGTCGGGCGGGGGGGGCCGGGCTGGGCGGGCGGGGTGGGGGGGCAGGTGGGGGGGCGGGGAGGGCTTCGGGCTGGGGGGGGATCCCCAGTTGCCAGGGGAGGCTGGTCAGGTGAGCCCCCCCCCTCCTGTGGTCGCTCTGCCCCCGCAGCCGGCCTTGCTGAGGACGCCCGCCCTGCGCCACACGGCCACCTTCGCCCAGGCCCTGCAGAACGTGCCCGAGACGCAGGTCAGCGTGCTGGGCAACGGGCTGCGCGTGGCCTCGGAGCAGTCCTCCCAGCCGACCTGCACGGTGAGCCGGGCGCCAGGGTCCGTGGCGGGGAGGGGTGTTTGTCTGTCTGTCTGTCTGTCTGTCTGTCTGTCTGTCTGTCTGTGTGTCTGTGACCTTGGGTTCCAAGTCTGGGTCATTCACTTCCGGATTGGTCCCCATCCATATCCCCACAGCCCTACCTTTCTCCCCCCCTCCCCCCACCTCCCGTCCCCCTCTAATCCTGGGGCTTGAACTCTGGGCCTGGGCGCTGTCCCTGAGCTGCTTTTGCTCAAGGCCGACCAAACTTGAGCCCACAGCACCACTTCCAGCTTTTTCTGTGGATGTGCTACGGAGGAATCGAACCCAGGAGCTTCGTGCATGTTAGGCAAGCACTCTACCACGAAGCTACCTTCCCAGCCCCAAGCCCTACCTTTTTTTTTTTTGGGGGGGGGGGGGTGTCCAGTCGTGAGGCCTGAGCTCTGGGCCTGGGCGCTGTCCCTCAGCTCTTCAGCTCAAGGCTAGCGCTCTACCACTTGAGCCACAGCGCCACTTCCGGCTTTTTTCTTTTTGCTTATGTGGTGCTGAGGAATCAAACCCAGGGCCTCAGGCATGCAAGGCAAGCGCTCTACCACTGAGCCACCTTCCCAGCCCCCCTTTTTTTGGGGGGGGTCCGGTCGTGAGGCCTGAACTCTGGGCCTGGGTGCTGTCCCTCAGCTCTTCAGCTCAAGGCTAGCACTCTACCACTTGAGCCACAGCACCTCTTCCAGCTTTTTCTGCTTATTTGGTGCTGAGGAATCAAACCCAGGGCCTCATGCATGCAAGGCAAGCTCTCTACCACTGAGCCACCTTCCCAGCCCCCCCCCCTTTTTTTTTATTGTATGGTGTGTGTGAGGGAGGAGGACGGGTTGTAGGGGGTGCTAGTCCTGGGACTTGGACTCAGGGTCCAGGTACTGTCTGGAGTTTTTAGTTTTTTTTTTTTCCATTTTATTTATTTTTGGTCAGTTGTGGGGCTTGAGCTCAGGACCTGGGTACTGTCCCCGAGCTTTTGTGCTCAACGTTAGTGCTATAACCACTTTGAGCCACAGCTTATTTGTTTATTTTATTGTCATTCATGGGCTTTGAACTCAGGGCCTTACCACTGTCCCTGAGCTTTTTTTTTTTTTTTTCTTATTTTCCTCTTAAGGTTAGTGCCCTACCACTTTGAGACACAGCTCACTTTCATTTTTCATTTTTATTTTTATTTTTTGTCGGTCATGGGGCCTGAACTCTGAGCCTGTGTGCTGTCCCTGAGCTCTTCAGCTCAAGGCTAGAGCTCTACCACTTGAGCCACAGCACCACTTCCAGTTTTCTGGTGGTTTATTGGAGATAAGAATCTCATGGACTTTCCTGCCTGGGCTGGCTTTGACCTGTGATCCTCAGATCTCATCCTCCTGTGCAGCTAGGATTATAAGCATGAGCCACCAGCGCCTAGCCCCTCATTTTTCTTAAATGTATTAATTTTTTTTATTAAACAGTTTTATCGTTATAAACGTGAATTACCAGGCTAGCACTTTACCACTTGAGCCATAGCCCCACTTCTGGTTTTTTTGTTGTTAATTAGAGATAAGAACTTCACTTTCCTACTGGCTCAAACCACAATTCTCAGGAGTGCGCCACTGGCAATCCTCACAACCCTGCTTTTAACTTCATAGGGCAACCCTCACTATAATTAGTAGTCATGGTGGCTATGGAAGCGGAGTGAAGGGGGCGTGGCAGGTCAAGTTTTGTCCAGCTTTTTGTTCATTTGTTATGAGAGATGTGTTCATGTTTCTGTCTTACAGTAAAGACAGAAACCTAAAATTGATAGCACATGGCTGATGCCATAGGAGGTTGAGATATGAGGACTGAGGTTCGAAGCCAGCTCCAGAAGATAAATTTGAGACTCTTTATCTCTAGTTAATCACCAAAAGGCTGAAAGAGGAGCTGTGGATCATCGGTAGAACACAAAAAGCTCAGGGACAATGCCCAAGCTCTGGGTTTAAGCCCCAGTACCAGCACCAAAAAAAAAAGCCAGGTAGGTGGTATAGCCCCTGCCTGCCTTCCAAATGTGAGGCTCTGAGTTCAGACCCCAGTGACAGACAGACACAGGCACGTGCACGCACATGCACACACACAAGTTACTGGAAGGTTACTTAATATGGTAAAAAAAAAAAATACATACCAGTAGCATAGTAACTTAAACCAGAAACTAGCTAGTTTGTTTGCTTGCTTTCTTAATTTCCTTCCTTCCTTCCTTTCCTCCTTCTCTCCCTTCCTTCCTTCCTTCCTTCCTTCCTTCCTTCCTCTCTTTTTCTGATGGCACTGGGGTTTGAACTCCTGAGTAGCTATACAGCTTGAACTACTGGTGCCCCACTGAGCTTTTTTGTTGTTTATTTGGATAGTCTCAGGATTTTCTGCCCACTGTAGCTTTGAAGTGAGATCCTCAGGTCTTAGCTTCCTCTAATACATAGGATTACAGATGTGAGCCACCATCACTTGATTTTTTTTAAATTATCATTATTGTTATTTTGTTTATGTGGCACTGAGGAATTGAACCCAGGGCCTCATGCATCATGCTAGAGAAGCACTGTACCACTAAGCTATGTTTGCAGCCTCATTGTTTTTTTGAGACAGGATCAAGGCTGGCCTCAAACTTACTCCTTTTGTCTTTGCCTCCCAAGTACTGGGATTATAGTATACGTTACCATGCCAAGCTTCTATACAGTTTAAAAAAATTTTTTTTCCAAATTGATTGTGTGTGTGTGTTGGTATTGGGTCTTGAACTCGGGTCTCATATTGTCTAGGCTGGCTTCAAACCGCAATCCTCACATCTCAGCTCCTGAGTAGATAGGGATAACAGGTTTGGGGGTTATAATTTTTTAAATGGAGAAAACAAATTATTGTGGCAAACAGTAGACATTGTGCCTAGGACAAGTATTGAAAAGAGACTTAATTTCTTTATTGTGATAGCACCAGGTAATTGGCCACAATTTAAAATATCCTTGGATACTCTTGATAACTAGTCAGGAAATAGGGTGGGAAGGACCAGTGTGACTAGTCATTTGGTTGACCCTTCTATTCCTCCAACCATAGGAACTCTACTGGTACACTTGCCTCTACCTTGGGACCCATGAGATCCTCTGTGGGGATTGTGTTGAGCTTACTCAGGCTGGCTTATGAGTGGGGACTAAGGGTGATTTGTTTGTTACCTTGGTTGGTGGCTGCTTGTCCAGGTGGGAGTGTGGATTAACGCTGGCAGCCGCTATGAGAACGAGAAGAACAATGGGGCAGGCTACTTTGTGGAACATCTGGCATTCAAGGTGAGACTTGTAAAGTTTGTCTTCTCTGGGCTTAGCACTTCTTGTTCTTTTGTTTTGTTTTTGTTCAGTCGTGGAGCTTGAACTCTGGGCCTGGGCACTGTGCCTCAGCTCTTTAGCTCAAGGCTAACACTCTACCACTTGAGCCACAGCACCACTTCTAGTTTTTCTGGTGGTTTATTGAAGATAAGAGTCTCACAGACTTTCCTGCCTGGGCTGGCTTTGAACTACCATCCTCAGATCTCAGCCTCCTGAATAGCTAGGATTATAGGCATGAGCCACTGGTGCCCACCTAGTGCTTCCTGTTTTGAGGATGGAGGTCAGAAACAATTTACCTCCTGATTGTGGGCCTCAGTTGGGGGAGTGAGCTGGCTGGTCTTTCTGGAAGGAACCATATGGACTTAAGCTTCCTCTGAGTAATGTACTTTTATGTTGAGCCTCTGTATGAAGCCTGAAGAGCTGAGAAAACCCAAGATGCTACAGGCACTTTTTGCCACGTAGAGCAGGCCTGTGGTTTGTACATGACGACTTAAAGAATTTGCCTTATGGGCAAACACATGATAATAAACTTATGAGCATAAGGCTGGGAATGTGGCTTAGTGGTAGAGTGCTTGCTAACATGCATAAAGTCCTGGGTTCAATTTCTTAGTACCACATAAACAGAAAAAGCCAGAAGGGGCACTGTGGCTCAAGTGGTAGAGTTCTAGTCTTGAGCAAAAAAAAAAAAGCTCAGAGACAGCACCCAAGCCCTGGGTTCAAGCCCCAGGACTGGCCAAAAAACAACAAAAACTTGGGGTCATAGGATGTGGAATACCTAGAGATTCATTTATTTTTTATTTATTTAGCCAATCATGGGGCTTGAACTCAGGGCCTGGGCACTGTCCCTGAACTTCTTTTGCTTAAGACTAGCACTCTACCACTTGAGCCATAGCACCACTTCTGGCTTTTTCTGTGTATGTGGTACTAAAGGATCGAACCCAGGACTTCATACATGCTAGGCAAGCACTCTTGCCACTAAGCCACAGTCATATTCCCAGCCCCCTGGAGATCTTTGATTAAAGAGATGGTGATTGTTGGTTGTGGGCCTTGAACTCATGGCCTGGGTGCTATCCTTGATTTTTTTTTGCACTCAAGGTTAGCTCTACCATTTTGAGCCATGACTAGTCTTCTTGTTTTCTGTGGTTAATTGGAGATAGAAGAGTCTCACTGAATTTCCTGTCTGAGCTAGTTTCAAAGCTTACTCCTCAGATCTCAGCCTCCTGAATAGTTAGGATTACAGGCATGAACCTGTGATCCCAGCGTCCAGTAAGGCCCATGAATTTTGAAAGTGGTGAAGAAAAAATGGAAAAGGGGTATATGATTGTCAGGAATACTGAGTCAGAGTAGGGAATCTTGGAAGCACAGGTGTATGCTCAGTTGTATTGTGTGTGCTTGCCTGTCATGAGACAGAACCTGAGACTACCCTTCTGCCCCTGTACACACCTGGGACTAGGGATGAGACCTCCGAAGGTGACAGCTAGTATACACACAAAGTTGCGTGAATGGCATGGTTCAGAAGGTAGATCTCCTCACTTGAAAACTGGTGTGTGTGGTGAGGTGGGGGGAGGGCTGGGAATGTGGCCTATTGGTAAGAGTGCTTGCCTAGCATGCATGAAGCCCAGGGTTCCATTCCTCAGCAACACATAAACAGAAAAGCCTGGAAGTGGTGCTGTGGCTCAGATGGTAGAGCGCTAGCCTTGAGCAACAGAGCCCAGGCTTTGAGTTCAAGCCCCAGGACAGACAAAAAAAAAAAAAAAAGGTGTGGTCTTACCTGACCATGGCTGTCAGTTAGGTGGTAGGGAGTACTAGTCAAGTCAGGCTGTTGAAGAAGCTCTGAATATTAGGTAGCCTTGTTCTGGGTATGTCTTTTCTCCTGACTGGCTGGCTCCAGTTTTAGGAGAAACTGTGACCTCAGTCAGCTCAAGACCTGCTTACTGCTCAGTGAATATAGCACTAAAGAAAGTACATGTGCACTACTGCTCCTGCTGGGTCTTTAGCCTGTAAAGATAGGGTTCCTGGGCTCATGGATGGCTCCTGATTGGTTCCTGATTGGTCTTGTTGATGCCTGGACCCAGGGAACAAAGAATCGGCCTGGAAATGCCCTGGAGAAGGAGATAGAGAGTATGGGGGCCCATCTGAATGCCTATACCACTCGGGAGCACACAGCCTACTACATCAAAGCACTGTCTGAGGACCTGCCAAAAGGTAACATCTGGAGAGGGATTGATCACAGTAGGGCAGGAGTCTAGAGGAGCAGAGGACAGAACCAGATGTCCCATGACTTGTAGCACTGCCCAATGTCAATCAGAAGAGAGAGCACAGTAGCCAGAGATGCCAAACCTGGGAGTTGGTGCTGTCATGAATCTGCACTGGCCCCACTGGGTCCCTAAACATGTCTTTGTGTCCAGCTGTGGAGATTCTGGCTGATATTGTGCAGAACTGCAGCTTAGAAGACTCTCAGATTGAGAAGGAACGGGATGTGATCCTGCGGGAGATGCAGGAGAATGACACATTGATGCGGGACGTGGTCTTCGATTACCTGCATGCCACAGCGTTCCAGGGCACACCTCTAGCCCAGGCTGTGGAGGGCCCCAGTGAGAATGTCAGGTGAGAGCCAGCACAGATCATGGAACCATGATGCCTTCTGGCCATGTTTTGAGTTAGCCAGCTGTTGGTGGTGTTTCTTTTCCTAATTCATATAATTAGAGACAATGTCTATGTGGCCATGTGGTTCCCACAAGCCCTTCTTTTGAATAACTGTGTGGTCTTCACTTAAATCTAAGGCTCTGTTTAGGATATGTTTTCCCTGCGTGTTCAGACAGTTTGAGGGAGAGAGCCCCCTCAGTATCCCTTCCATGTGGTTTCCTGTTCCCTGGTGGGGAGTGGGCTGGGAGAGCTCACACCCTCCCCAGAACAGGTTGTGAGGCTGCCCTTTGTCTTTGGAAGAGTGGATGGCAGACCAAGGGGGAGGGACCTGTTCTTCAGAGAAGCCATGCTCCTTCCTGATCCCATTTTGTCAGCCAACTTGCTGTGGGTTGGGAGAGGAGTTGAAAGGCCCATCCACATGTAGATGTGTACACCACACAGACTTGGCTTCCCTGGTGAACAATGGCTGCATCTCTTGCAGGAAACTGTCTCGTGTAGACTTGACTAACTACCTCAACAGTCATTACAAGGCCCCTCGCATGGTGCTGGCAGCAGCTGGAGGTAAGTGATAGGCTTGTTGAAGCCCTAGACAGGTGAGCTCTCACCTTGGTCCTTGAAGTCAAGATCCCCTGGTTCTGATCATAGGAGGTCTTTCACTCCAAGAGAATCTGTTGTGAAGCTGGGATTGGTGGCTCATGCCTGTAATCCTAGCTGCTTGGGAGGTTGAGATCTGAGGATCTTGGTTCAGAGCCAGCCTGGGCAGGAAAGTCCATGAGACTTTATTTCCAATGAACCACCAGAAAACCGGAAGTGACACCGTGGCTCAAAGTGGTAGAGTGCTAGCCTTAAGTGCAAAAGGTCAGGGACAGCACCCAGGCCCTGAGTTCAAACCCCATGACTGACTACAATCACAACAAAAAAAGAGAACCTATTATACTTGACCAATCTTAGCGAGGAATGACTTTCCTTGTGTGCTCTCAGTGGAGGCAGAGAGTGGGGAGGTGGCCGACTGAGAGCTGGATTCTATTCTGCAGCCACTCCACCACTGAGACTGGACATAGGAGAGCACACCTCCTTCTAGTGTATGCCTCAGTTGGGCTGCTAGCCCCTCCCCAGACCTCTCTTAGTCTCCTAGGTAAACAGGATACCCAGTCTGTGAGCAGGTAGACATCAACTCCTAGGCCCATTCCAAGCTTGCGGCCTTGCTGTTGGCTGAGTTGTGAGATGATGCACACTTGATGATAGACAGGGAGGGCCTTGAAAGGAAGACACAGAATAGTAGAGGAGTGGGCTGGAAATATGGCTTAGTGGTAGAGTGCTTGCCTAGCATGCATGAAGCCCTGGGTTTGATTCCTTAGCACCACATAAAAAGAAAAAAGCTGGAAGTGGCTCTGTGGCTCAAGTGGCAGATTGCTAGCCTTGAGCAGAAAAATATCAGGGACAGTGCCCAGGCCCTGAGTTCAAACCCCAGGACTGACCAAAAAAAAAAAGAGACTTCAGTGGGCACCCAAAGGTAGACTTATATTGAGGGTGAGGGGTATTGTAGCCCATCAGAAACGTGAAGGACGGTTGGTGTTTGTGGGGGGACATGGATTGCTGTATGTTTTGAGGCTTGCTCTACTGCTAGGGGTGGGGCCAGAGCAGAGGCCAGCCAACTAGGGAAGGTATGGCATGTATCCAGGGAGATGCCAGGAAGCCGCAAGCCAGCGACTCATACCTGCCATCTTAGCTACTCAGGAGGCTGAGATCTGAGGATCGTAGTTCAAAACCAGCCTGTGTGGGAAAGTCCATGAGGCTTATCTCCAATTAACCACCACAAAACCGGAAGTAACCCTGTGGCTCAAGTGGTAGAGCACTAGAAATGAGCTGAAGAGTTCAAGGACAGAGACCAGGCCCAAAGTTCAAACCCCGTGAGAGATGACAGGAGCTAGGGAGAGAAGTGGATGGACTCAGAATGGTTTTCTGATACAAGTCTGAATATGAGTGATATTCCTTATTTATGGCCCTGGGAACTTGAGTGTGGGAACAATTGAAAAAAAAAAAAGGCTGGGAATGTGGCTTAATTCAGTCAGGGATAGTGCCCAGGCTCTGAGTTCAAGTCCTGGGACTGGTAAAAGAAACAAAAAATCTTAGCTGCTGGGCATCAATGGCTCACGCCTGTCATCCTAGCTACTCAGAAGGCTAGATCTGAGGATCAAGCTTCAAAGCCAGCTGGGGCAGGAAAGTCTGTGAGGCTCTTATCTTCAATAAACCACCAGAAAACCAGAAGTGGCACTGTGGCTCAAGTGGTAGAGCACTAGCATTGAGTTGAAGAGCTCAGGGACAGTGCCCAGGCCCAGATTCAAGCCCCATGACCAACAATAAAAACAAACAAAAAACCTTAGCAGGGTGCTGATGGTTCACACCTGAGATCTGAGGATCATGTTCCTTTTTTTTTTTTGCCAGTCCTGAGGCTTGAACTCAAGGCCAGGGCACTGTCCCTAAGCTGCATTTTGCTCAAGGCTAGCTCTCTACTACTTGAGCCTCATTGCTACTTTCGACTTTTTCTGTGTTTGTGGTGCTGAGGAATCAAACCCAGGGCTTCATGCATGCTAGTAAGCACTCTACCACTAAGCCAGTCCAAGGATCATGTTTTGAAGCCAGCCCAGGGCAGGAAAGTCAGTCCATGAGACTTCCTATCTCCAATGAATCACCTAAAAAACAGAAATGGAGCTATGGCTCAAGGTGGTAGACCACTAGCCTTGAGCACAAAAGCTCAGGGACAACGCCCAGGTCTTGAGTTCAAGCCCACAACCTACTAAAATGAACTTGAGTGGCATCTTTGGAGCCAGGAACCTAATAAACTCCTGACATGTCTGACTATTGGGTCCTTTCAGGACTGGGGCAAGTTGTCCAGAGACAGTACTTATCAGTCAAGGCACTTGACTTGCTGAGGCGAAATCCACCATGGGCCCTCAGGGCATGAGTTTGTCATGTGTGGCTTGTCAGTGACCCCAGTCTCTGGGGATCCCAGAGCTAGTCAGGACCCCACTGTAACAGCTCTTGGTGCTGTCCAACTTGCCACCTCCTTCAGAGCCAGCAGATTGTAGGTGAGCTTGAGCGACAGGCACCCAGGTGGCCTCATGCCAGTTTTGCTTCTAGAAAGGAAGTTTGCACTTGGGTCACATGGTAGCCCTTTTTTTTTTTTTTTTAAGTTGAGAGTGTTGCTTCTGTGTGTGTCTGAAGCCAGGGAAACCTTTTAGCCCTTGAAGCAAGAACTTCCTGAAGGATCCTCTTCCTGTCCTGATGTATCATCTTTCCCCTGGTGTTTCCCACCCAGGCAGGATCTCGGCCCTGTGTGTTGTGATTTGGACTCAGGCTGATCACTGGTAACTACTGTTTGTCTCCTCAGGAGTAGAGCACAGGCAGCTGCTAGACCTGGCCCAAAAGCACTTCAGCAGCGTCTCGGGGAAGTACGAAAAGGATGCCGTGCCCAGTCTAATTCCATGCCGCTTTACTGGGAGCGAGGTATGCCTGATGGGTGGGCATGGCACTTGGGGCTGGAGACCTCTGGGAAGACCTGCTGAGGGCATGGTTCTCTCTGTGACTCCAGAGATGCCTCAGGAGTTGGCAATGGGTTCCTGTGGCGGCGGCTGCTCACCGAGCAGGTGCGCGCACATGCCCATGCACGCTCCACCCACACCAGCTGTCCTTTCTGTTCGCCCAGGAAATGCAGGCTGTCCTTCAGCCTTGACCTCTGCTGTTTCAGATCCGTCACCGAGACGATGCCCTCCCTTTGGCCCACGTGGCCATTGCAGTGGAGGGACCTGGCTGGGCCAGCCCAGACAATGTGACTCTCCAAGTGGCCAATGCTATCATTGGTCACTATGACTGCACTTACGGTGGTGGCAAGGTAAGTGCCAAGAGCAGGCCTGGGGCCTCGGCTTCAAAGAGAAGGGGCTGGGTTGGGGGCTCCGGAGCTGTGGGATTGCATGGGCTGCAGACAAGAGGGGAGGCCGACCCCCCCACCCTTGTCCCTGGCAGCACTTGTCCAGCCCACTGGCTGCAGTTGCCGTGACCAACAAGCTGTGCCAGAGTTTCCAGACCTTCAACATCTGCTATGAAGAGACTGGGCTCCTGGGTGCACACTTCGTCTGTGACCGCATGACTATCGATGATATGATGATCTTCTTGCAAGGCCAGTGGTGAGTGCCAGCCCAATGCTAGTGGGTGGGTTAGGGGCCTTTGACCCAGGGTAATGGGAGGCCAAGAGACCACACACCTCCCAGCATGAACACCACTTACCAGCTGTCTTTTCATTCTTGCTTCAGGATGCGTTTGTGCACCAGTGCTACAGAGAGCGAAGTGACACGGGGCAAAAACATCGTCCGAAATGCCCTTATGTCTCATCTGGATGGTGAGCTCTGTGGCCCTGTAGGGAGAGTGTATGTCCTGGCAGCAGCGATCTGGTATGGCCACCATTCCTAACAAAGTGGGAAAGGACCAAGTGGCTCTGTGGCTCAAGTGGTAGAGCACTAGCTTTGAGCACAAAACCTCAGGGACAGCACCCAGGTCCCGAGGGCAAGCCTGAAAGACCAGCAGAAAATGAAAACCAAAACCAACAAAGGAGAGTCTTGAAGATCATGCTATACTCCCTCCCACTGGGTTTGGAGCTTCAGGTGTAGGTGGAAGTGAGAGTGGCTCAGGTCAGCAGCTTGTCACCATAGTAACTAAAAGCTGTCATTGTAGTTGGGGTGAGAGCAAATTCCTAGAAGTCCTCATCAACCTGACACCAGAGGCTGTGTGACTGTGGGCCCCTGATTAAACAGGATGGACCTCTTAAGCCTTCTCCCACCCCTGAAGGTACCACTCCAGTGTGTGAGGACATCGGGCGCAGCCTTCTGACCTATGGCCGCCGTATCCCCTTGATTGAGTGGGAGAGCCGGATTGCGGTAACACGGGGCCCTGCGGAAGACCTGGGTGGGGGCAGCTGCTTCTCTAGGCATCCCTGTCGTCCCAGGCCGTCGCCCAGGGACAGAGGGCCTTGAAGGGCCGTGGGAATAGATGGGGCCCATAAACCTCCACAGCAGGGAGAGCCATCCACATTTCCCCTCTTGTGTTGGGGGCCAGCTCCATGGTACATGTGAGAGATCTTGGTCAGCCGAGATGGTGCCCGGTACCTGCCATTTAGTGAGCCCTCTGCTGTCCCTACAGGATGTGGATGCCCAGATGGTGCGGGAGATCTGCTCCAAGTACTTCTATGACCAGTGTCCCGCTGTGGCGGGGTTGGGTAGGTACTCCAGGAGGTCTCTGTCCTTTGTTCAGGCAGGCCATCGTTGTGGCCTTCCCTTTCTGCTCTGTTCCCCACCCCCAGTCTACACTGAGGGATGCAAGTTGAGGCTCCCAGGACCCCCACCCCACCCCCAGTAGCCTGGCTGCCAGGGAGTTCTTGCTCAGAAAACCTGTTCCAGCAGCTCCCTGACTCCTTGCCAAGCTGCCTCCACTAATACCACCCCCCCCACACCCATCAGGTAACGGGGCACCCTGGGCATGAGGTGGGGCTCCCAAGGCCAGAGCATGAAGGGACAGGCTCTGTACCCTTTGGGGAATGTGCTCTTCCTCTTTTCACTCAAAGCCTGTCTTGTGCTGCCCTGGGCAGCAGTTCTGAGCTGGGTGTGGCACAGGGCCAGGTGTCCCTGTGCAGGCCAGGCACCCCACCCTGACACCCCACCCTCTCCCCACAGGCCCCATCGAGCAGCTCTCAGACTACAACCGGATCCGTAGTGGCATGTTCTGGCTGCGCTTCTAGGCAGAAAGCCTGTGCAGGCAAGAGTGCGGGGCCAGGGTTTATGGTGCCCCCCCTCACCCCACCACAAACATACCACTCTGGCTCCTCAAAACCCCTTAGCCCGTTACAACCAATAAAGTCCTCTGTTGAGAGTTGTGTGTCCTTCCTCTGGCATCAGCATGGTATCCATCGGGCAGCAGGTTGGGGAGCAAAGACGTCTTTCCCAGTTTTATGCCCCCCCTGGATCATTCTGGCTTCTCACAGGCTGATGTGTCCTCAGCCAGGGGCAAGCGTGGGGGCCGCCACAGAGAGGCCGGAAGCCTTTGATGATTGCAAGGAACTGAGCCCAGATGTTTCCACTCAACTCCATGGGGGATGTTCCTTAGCAGCCTGTTTCAAGAGTGGGATATGGGAATCCCTGAAAATTAGAACCCTAGCCTGTGTTCTTGTAGGGGTCCCCATTCTGGAAACTGGGGGCTCCTGTAGGAAACTCCTCACTGCAGACCCTGTAGGGTTGCCTTCTGGTCTCTGGTCTAGCCTGGAGGTGACTAGGAAGAGCCTAGGCTATCCCTAAGGAAGCCTGCTGTGTTTACTCAGGATTTTGAGGGAGGATAGCCTGGGGCACAGTGTTCCCATTGCGTTTCTACTGCTGCCTAGACAGGCAGGGCAGGAATCCTTTGCTTCCATTTGCCACTGACTCAGGCTCCAAGAATAGTCGTGAGCTCAGTGAGCTCTGAGCCCCCTCCCTCATCTAGATCTGTCCCAGGCAAGTCCTGAGCTGTTGGCCTGCCGATCCCCTCCCCATCTTCCTGAGGCAGCCAGGACCTAGTGGAACTCCCAGTTGCTTCGTCCTTACGCCATGCCTTGGAGCTCTGTTTCCTAAGTCAGGGGAGCAAGTAGGCCTCTTTTCCTGCACCCCCTATCGTCCCTCCACACCCAGATTCCTGGGGAGCCCAGTGGAAGTAGAAGGGCCTTTTTCCTGTGAGCAGAGGTCCTTGGACAAGGTTCGTTGAAATCTGAAGTTTTCCTCCATTATCCTAGCCTAAAAAGTAGCTAAAACTCTGTCCCAGTGCCTTGACTTCATCCCTTCTTGTTGCCATAGGTATTTATCAGATGGCTTCCAAAGCCTAGGATTGGCACACTAGGCAGATCAGCTTCCTACTGTGTGGCTGGAAGGAGAGATACTGTTCATCAGTGAGAGCCCTGACTGGCCTAACCCTAGCTACTTGCAGATGTGGCACCCAGGTACAGGGAACAACTGCCAAGTCTGATGCCTTCCTAGCGAGCTTCTGGAGGATGGAACTTGATTTCTCCCCCCTATCAGTGTCTTAACCATAAACATGCTGGACAAACATGCCACAGACATGCTGGACATAGGAAAACTTGAGCTGTGCTGAGTGGTCTTGCATTTCTTTTTTTTGGGGGGGGGGGCGGGCGCTAGGGGGCGAGGAAGAGGGACAGTCCAGCTTTTTTAGCTTAAAGTTAACACTCTACCACTTGAGCCACAGCATCACTTCCGGCCTTTTCTATGGTACTGAGGAATGGAACCCAGGGCTTCATGCATGCTAGGCAAGCACTCTACCACTAAGCCACATTCCTAGCTCTAGTCTTGCATAGCTAAGCCAGGGTATTTGATCTTTCTTCAAGACATCTTGAGGTGCACTGGAAGTTACTATGAAGAGAAATGACTTGTTCAGAATCGAGAACTATTACTATGGGGACTCAGGCATTTGACAGCTAGTGACTGAAGCCAGTCTGGGAAGTATGGGAGGGATTTGAACTCAATGAACCCCTATTGTCCTGATGGTATGCTACAGGTAGACATTTACTTCCAGGGTTGTGCCAGGAGGCTGCAGCCAGTGCCCTCAAGTCACACTCCTGCTCCAGAGACTCAGTACCTGCAGACCTGCACTCATCCCAGCCTTGCTTCTTGCCAGTAGCCTCTCCTAGCATCCTTGTGTGTGATGCCCGCACCACAGCAACCTCTCCTTTCTGTGGGTACTTTAGTAACCTGCATCCCTTAAAGGCATGTCCATATTGTCCATGCCATCTCTGCTCACTACCACCTACCCTTGCAGTACCTGAGGGCAGCTCCAGCCTTCCCGGGCAAAAGGACTATTTAGTCAGCGTTGGATGGACCTCACTAGCTGTGGGTCTGGCCACACAAGAGCCTGACCCTTGAGATGATCCAAGGGAAACATATGTCACAGTTCCCACCATTCCCATCTCTCCACTCAGCCTGTGGATCACCAAGGGAGCGTGGCTGCCAGGGCTAGGTATATTGGAACAGGCCCGGAAGCAATGGGGACTATAGATGTGTTTTGAGGTTGTTTTGTTTTGTTTTTGCCATTCCTGGGCTTTGAACTCGGGACCTGCACACTGTCCCTGAGCCTCTTTTGCTCGAGGCTAGCACTCTTACCACTTGAGCCACAGCACCACTTCCGGCTTTTTCTGCTTATGTGGAACTGAGGAGTGGAACCCAGGACTTCATGCATTCTAGGCAAGCACTCTACCAGTGAGTCACACTCCTAGCCCATGTTTGTGTTTTTAATCAGTCATGGAGGGCTTGAACACTGGGCCTGGGTACTGTCCCTCAGCTCTTCAGCTCAAGGTGAGCCCTCTACCGCTTGATCCACAGTACCACTTCCAGTTTTCTGGTGGTTAAATAGATAAGAGTCTCATGAACTTTCCTTGCCTGGGCTGGCTTTGAACCACAGTCCTCAGACCTCAGCCTCCTGAGTAGCTAGGATTACAGGCGTGAGCCACCAATGCTCAGCTCCTTGTTTGTTTTCTTTTTGAGATAGGGTCTTATTTTGTATCAGATTGGACTCCAAACTCACCATCTTCTTGTTTTCATCTTCCCGAGTACTGAGATTACAGTAGTGCACCACGATGCCTAGCTTGTGCTTTTCTGTGCCTGTCCAGAATTACCTAGGCAAGAACATAAAAGAGGGCAGGGTCCAAGTGAAGGCTGGCTTTTCTTGGGGGGTTTCTTTCTGCCTTGGTATTGTCCACCTAATGAACAAATCTGCATATAGAAAGATTTCCTCAGGGCAGCGGCCCTGACCTTGGTGGGATTGGGAAGGAGGGACTGTCCACAGTAACATGTCAATCAAAGAATGATCAGTAGTGAAATAAAAGGAATAGAAACCTCGAGGCAGTGGGGAAAGGGTAAGGGAGTTGGGTACACAGAGTCTACCAAGTAGAGTTGATGTAAAGGACTCCTACTAGCCAGAATGAATCTAGGTGGGGGGGGGGGGGGGCGATGGGAGGGAGACCCGGCCCAACAGTGAGGGCTTGGGCAGTAGGAGGTGAATTGCTGAGAGATGAGTTGTCATCGTGGGTGGCCCAAACATAGGGACACCCCCTCCCTTGCAAACACAGCTGGATGGCATCTGCCTGGGACCGCTCAAAGCATGGGGTAAGAGGCCCTGGGATGAACATGTATGCTTAAACATGACACACATCCTTTCCTCCTTGGCTTCCCTCTCCAGGGAAGGAGGGCCTGGGTGGGGGGTGGGGGGACAGAGGGGAAGCATCTATGACTTAGATCCAGCCCAGTGGGACCCTTGATCTTCCTAAGATAGCCTAGGGTCTTCCTCATTTGTTGGGAGCTGCTCTTTCCCATCAAGGGCATTGGGGTGGGGCACAGGAGGTCCGCTAGACAGAAGGATGTCTGATTCACGGGAGTGGCCTTAAGTCGGGACCCATGGCCTGTGGGCTTGTCTGGGCACCCCCCCCCTTACAGGGTTAGGGGGGTGGCTGAGTCATCTCCAGCTGTAGCCTCCTCCTTATCATGGCATTGCCACCCTTTGGTCCTCAGGAACCTAGCCACATTGACTTAAAGCAGCTGTGTGACCTTCAACATCTGTCAAGAGCCTGAGTCAGAGGCTGCATGCAGCAGGGCAAGGGCAAGTCATAAGAAGGGGACCCTTGGCTCTTAAATGCATCATATTTGTTGAGGAGGGGGTGGGCGGCAACCTCTCCAGGAGGTGGGTGAGGGCGGGCTGAGCCCCAGCCTGCTGCTCCACCTCTTGGGCTCAGGGACTTTCTGTGCCGGCAGTAGGCGGGACTACAGCTTGCAGCGGGGCGGCTGGCAGAGGCGGCGGCGGCCGGAGAGCAGGAGGGCAGCGGCGGTGCAGGCAAGACTGGAATTTCGGGGTGCAGTGGGGGCAACAGGGCCTGGCTCAGACCGGCCAAAGCCCCAGGGGCAGGGGAGGTGCGGGGGCAGAGATCCTGGCTGATCTTTTCTATCATCCAGGATGAGGCTGCAGCTTCTGATGGCTGTGCTCTGCGCCGGGATCCTGACAGAGGTGCCCCGAGTTTGGGCCCAGCCCAGGGAGAGAGGTGGGCATGGCTAAGGAACGAACCTATCTGGGGGTACTGCACCCTGTCACCCTGTGTCATCTCTGGCTCAAACTCAGCTTTCAGCCTTCTCACCCCACCTGCCTATTCCTTCTAAGTTAGTCACTAACTTCCAACTCTGCCCCAGATTCTCCTACTCTGCACTGGGTTTCCCCAAATACTTCCTATCATATCCCACTGGGGCTATGGCCCCCACAGACACATGCTTTATCTCCTGCTCCAAGTCACTCCTGGCCAGGCCCCTGAGGCTGACAGTCCCACATCCATGCAGATGACCTACTCTCCACCCTACCCTTAGTTCCAGGGGACTCCCCAGTACCTGGAGGGAGTTGGGGGTTGGGGGTTGTCTTAGAAAAGGTCCTGATCTCCCCTCCTGGCTTCAGTGACCTGCACGCGCCTTTATGCTGCCGACATCGTGTTCTTACTTGACGGTTCTTCATCCATTGGCCGCAATAACTTCCGTGAAGTCCGGGGCTTCCTGGAGGGGCTCATGCTGCCTTTCTCTGGGGCAGCCAGTGCCCAGGGCGTACGCTTTGCTACAGTGCAGTACAGTGATGATCCACAGTGAGTAATTGGCCCTGGGGTGGAGGTGGGGGACAAGATCGTAGACCCCATCAACACCCCTTCTCTAGACAAGGGCAGAGAGCCCAGAAATCCTCAGGATCTATCTTTCCCAAGTCAGCCTTTGGAAAGTCCAGGAGCACCCTCCTCCACCCCATCCACCACCCCCCCAAGCAGCCAGGTCCTTAACTGGCAACAGAGGATTCACGTGGAAGAATGCTTATGCCGTGCATGAAATAACCTCAGCACAAAGCAGCTGTGTTTTCTGATCTGAATGGAGGTGGGGAGCCCAGGAGTCGTCCCAGATTCCCCCCAGAAGCCCTAGATGCCTAGTATCTGTTGGACTCTATATTCTAGCACCCTGACCACTCAACCCCCCCGCTCTGTACACCAGGAATGGGGGCTTCCAGTCTGACCAATATCTCCCTTCCTACAACTGGACCCTTCCTCTTGTCATTATTCAACTAGGCATCCTGTCTTTCTAGGCTAAAAACACCAAAGGGCTCTAGGCCTGCCCAAGCCCAGCTACAGGTGGTAAACAGAGGTACATCTAGAGAATCTGTTAAACTTAGAGGTTCAGTGGTAGGGGACAGGAGTTCAAAAATACTCTGAAGGGTCATTACACTGCGAGGCCTTGTGTGTGTGTGTGTGTGTGTGTGTGTGTGCGCGCACGTGCGCACACGCATGTGTGTGTGTTATTGATGGTGGTAGTCATCATGGGACTTGAACCCAGGGCCTGGGGTGCTATCCTTGAGCTCTTTTGCTCAAGGCTAGCACTCTACCACTTTGAGCCACAGCTCCACTTCTGGTTTTCTGGTAGTTAAATGGAGATAAGAGTCTCACAGACTTTCCTGCCTAGGCTGGCTTTGAACTGTGATCCTCTAATCTCAGCCTCCTGAGGAGCTAATATGATAGGCACGAGCCCACCAGCACCTGTCTTCCAGAGACCTTTTAAAGGCCAGAGCTGGAAGAAGTCATAACCTGTTGCCTGTTACTCCTTCTTTCCTCTTGCTATTCATCAGGACAGAATTTGGCCTAGATGCTCTTAGCTCGGGGAGCGATGCAATCCGTGCCATCCGGGAGCTCAGCTACAAGGGAGGCAACACCCGCACAGGGGCTGCACTTCTCCACGTAGCTGACCATGTCTTCTTGCCCCATCTGGACCGGCCTGGCATTCCCAAGGTTATTCCTAAACTACCCTATCTCACCCTGGTTATTCCTCATGAAGTATTCAAAGCAGTAGCCCTAACTTGATCTCCTATACTTTCCCAGGTCTGCATCCTGATCACCGATGGAAAGTCCCAGGACTTGGTGGACACAGCTGCCCAGAAGCTCAAGGGGCAGGGGGTCAAGCTATTTGCTGTGGGTAAGCACTGAGCTAGGGTGAAAGGTCAGCCAGAGTAGGTAGAGTCCATTCAGAGGACATGGGACCAATTGGATCTTACTGATCCCATACAGGAATCAAGAATGCGGACCCTGAGGAGCTCAAGCGGGTGGCTTCACAGCCCACCAGCGATTTCTTCTTCTTCGTCAATGACTTTAGCATTTTGAGAACACTCTTACCTCTCATTTCCCGGAGAGTGTGTACTACGGCTGGTGGCGTGCCTGTGACCCTGCCTCGTGAGTTCCCTCCCTGCCCACACTGCTGCGTGTGCCCTGCTTCTTTTCCTTCTTATAATCCCAGCGTGGGAATGCTGAAGCCATCCCACAGTGCTCCTGACCTGTGACCCTTCCTTGCCCCGCCCTTGACAGCTGATGACTCCACCTCTGGCCCCCGAGATCTGGTGCTGTCTGAGCCAACCAGTCAATCCTTGAGAGTACAGTGGACAGCGGCTAGTGGCCCAGTGACAGGCTACAAAATTGAGTATACTCCTCTGACTGGGTTGGGCCAGCCACTGCCAAGCGAGAGGCGGGAGGTAAAGGGATGGTACCATCAGGAGGGACAGATGATGGGTGGCTGGGAACTTGGAAGGAACAAGATAAGGTGACCTCTGACCCCTGGACAGGTGAATGTCCCAGCTGGTGAGACCAGCACGCAACTACAAGGTCTCCGGCCACTGACCGAGTATCAGGTGACGGTGTCTGCCCTCTATGCTAACAGCATCGGGGAGGCCGTGAGAGGGACAGCTCGCACCAGTAAGCAATTCTCCCATCCTCTGAACCCCATTTCCCTAACCATCCAGCCCCATAACCATCCAGTCCCATAACCCACCCCTGACTCTCCTAATCCTCGGTGGGACTTTCCTCCAGCTGCCACAGAAGGCCTAGAGTTGGCCATCCAGAATACCACAGCCCACAGCCTCCTGGTAGCTTGGCGGAGAGTGCCAGGTGCCACTGGCTACCGTGTGACGTGGCGGGCCCTTGGAGGTAAGTGCGAAGTACGGGCTGCTGAACAAAGACCCTTATGACTCAGACAAGATGGTAGTGGAGTCCCTGAGCACTCTTGTAATCCCGAATGTAGGTGGGCCAACCCTGCGGCAGGAACTGGGCCCTGGACACGGGTCAACATTGCTGCGTGATCTGAGGCCTGGTACGGACTATGAGGTGACTGTGAGCCCCTTCTTTGGCCATAGGATGGGACCTGCCACTTCCGTGACTGCTCGCACGGGTAAGAGAAGGCTGGGTGTTTTCTTCTCCAGGCTGGGGTGATTGGGCAGAGCAGGGTTGAGGTCACTGATGTCCTTTGTACTCTGGGACAGACTCTTCTGTGGAGCAGATCCTACGTCCCACCATTTTGGGCCCCACATCCATCCTGCTTTCCTGGAACTTGGTGCCTGAGGCCCGTGGCTACCGGCTGGAGTGGCGTCGTGAGAGCGGTCAGTGCAGATGAAGGGACTGGGTGGCCATGAATCAAGCCTTTGGTGGCTTTGGCTAGCCCTGTCTGACCCTGCCATCTTGTAGGCTTAGAGCCACCACAGAAGGTAATGCTGCCTTCTGATGTGACCCGTTACCAGCTGGATGGACTACAGCCAGGCACTGAGTACCGCCTCACGCTCTACACTCTGTTGGAGGGTCGAGAAGTGGCCACGCCTGCAGCCGTGGTCCCCACTGGTGAGAGCTGGGTGGGTCTGGCCAAGGGATTGAGGAAAAGATGGAGGTTCCAGGCTGCCTCTCCATGCTGGGCCATCCTCTCTGACAGGGCCAGAGCAGCCTGTAAGTGTCGTGATGGATTTACAAGCAGTTGAACTGCCCGGACAACGGGTACGCGTGACCTGGAACCCCGTCCCCGGTGCCTCTGAATACCGCATCACTGTGCGAGGGACTCAGGGTAAGATGGAGCCTGCTAGGGAAATCCACATGCACTAAAGTTCCAGCCCACAGGGTATAATTGCGCCACCATCTCCTTCCATTCCTTCTACTGGGTCCCTTTAGCCTTCTAGTCTCTTGTGTACCTCCTATGAGGCCCTAGACATAGAAATATTTCAGGGTATAGCTGGGTGCCAGTGGCTCATGCCTGTCATCCTAGCTACTCAGGAGGCTGAGATCTGAGGATCATGGTTCAAAGCCTGCCCAGGCAGGAAAGCCCATGAGACTCTTATCTCCAATAAACCACTAGAAAACTGAAAGTGGTGCTGTGGCTCAAGAGGTAGAGCACTTGCCTTGAGCTGAAGAGCTAGGGTCAGCACCCAAGCCCAGAGTTCAAGCCCCACAACCGACAAAAAAAAAAAAAAAAGAAATATTTCAGGGTCTGTCTACCCTCTCCCCTACCCTAGTACCTCTCTTCATCTACCTCTGTCTATACTGCCTGCCATCCATCCATCCATCTTTGTCCATAGTTTTCACCTTCCCTTTTTCACAACCACTAGCTCCCTGACCTGCAACACTAGTTACAACTATAACTTCTCATGTCTTTGTGTGTGCGTGTGTGTGTGTGTGTGTGTGTGTGTGTGTGTGTGTGTGTGTGTGTGTGTGTGTGTGCTGGTCCTGGGGCTTGAACTCAGTGCCTGAGTGGTGTCCCTAAACTTTTTTTTTTCTTTTACCAGTCCTGGGGCTTGAACTCTGGGCTTAGGCACTATCTCTGAGTTTCTTTTGCTTAAGGCTAGCATTCTAGTGCTTGAGCCACAGTGCCACTTGCCACTTCTGGCTTCTTCTGAGTTTATTGGAGCTAAGAGTCTCACAGACAGATGTTCCTGCCTGGGCTGGCAGATCCTCAGATCTCAGTCTCCTGAGTAGCTAGGATTATAGATATGAGCCGTCGGCACCCGCCATATCCTTAAACTTCTTTTTGCACAAGGCCAGTGCTCTACCACTTTGAGCCACAGCGCCATTTCCCGTTTCCTGGTGATTCATTAGCAGTAAGAATCTCACAGACGGGCTGGGAAGGTGGCTCAGTGGTAGAGCGCTTGCCTCGCATGCCTGAGGCCCTGGGTTCAATTCCTCAGCACCACATAAGCAGAAAAAGCCAGGAGTGGCGCTGTGGCTCAAGTGGTAGAGCGCTGGCCTTGAGCTGAAGAGCTGAGGGACAGCGTCCAGGCCCAGAGTTCAGGCCCACGACTGACAAAAAAAAAAAAAAAAAGAATCTCACAGACTTTTCTGGGCTGGCTTTGAGCTGCGATCCTCAGATCTCAGCCTCCCAAGTACCTAAGATGACTGGCGTGAGCCACCAGTGCCAGATGCCATGAACTTTCTTATCCTATCTCCCTACCCATCACTAACTGCTACCATCCCATATTCCCAACCTCTGCCTGCCAACCTTGTCTTCTCTCTTAGGGGTTGAGCGGACACTGGTGCTTCCTGGGAGTCAGACAGCCTTTGACTTAGACGATGTTCGACCTGGCCTTACCTACACCGTGCGTGTGTCTGCTCGTGTGGGTAACCGGGAGGGAGGTGCAAGTGTCCTCACGATCCGCCGAGGTGAGGACTATATTGCTGGGGCCGGGGAGCGGGGGAGGGGAGAGGGGGAGATTGTCTGACTTATAACTACCCAGGTCTTGACCTCGGACTCCTATCTTTAACCCCTAGAGCCAGAACCCCCACTTGCTGTCCCAGGACTGCGGGTTGTAGCCTCAGATGCGACGAGAATAAGGGTCACCTGGGGGCCTGTTCCTGGAGCCAGTGGATTTCGGATCAGCTGGAGGACAGGCAGTGGTTAGTGTGGGGTGTGTGGGGAATCGCTAAAGGGGAAATGATCAGAGTATGGGGGGGACTGAGGAGACAGGCAGAACGAGATGAATGTTTCTTTCTGATCACAGCTCCAGAGTCCAGCCGGACTGTGCCTCCAGATTCTAGTGCTACAGACATCCTGGAGCTGCAGCCTGGAACCTCCTACCAGGTGTCCGTGTCTGCACTTCGAGGAAGAGAAGAGGGCCCTCCTGCGGTTATCGTGGCTCAAACTGGTCAGCTCCTGCCCCAGGCCCTTAGTTCTCTGCCATTGATTTCCCTTCCAACTCCCAAGCTTTCCCTCTCAGCCTCCCAGTTCTCCCCAGAATCCCACTCTCCTCCCCCCGTGACATACCAGTGCCGCCTCCCTGAGAGCCTCCGCTTCCTTCCTCCACATCCATAAACTTCCCCTTCTTCAGATTCTTATCTCTCTCTCCCTAAGACCTCCAGTGTCTCTGCCCTTGAATTCCCACACACAGTTTTTATACCCTTACCACCTTTGTGTGTGTGTGTGTGTGTGTGTGTGTGTGTGTGTGTGTGTGTGTGTGTGTGTTAGTACTAGGCTTGAAACTCAGGGCTTGGATGCTGTCCTTTAGTGTTTTCTTTTTTCTTTTTTTGTCAGTCATGGGGCTTGAACTGTGGGCCTGGGCACTGTCCCTCAGCTCTTCAGCACAAGGCTAGCGCTCTACCACTTGAGCTACAGCACCACTTCCGGTTTTCTGGGGGTTTATTGGAGATAGGAGTCTCATGGCCTTTCCTGCTCAGGCTGGCTTTGAACCGAGATCCTCAGATCTCAGCCTCCTGAGTAGCTAGGATTACAGGTGTGATCCCCCGGCGCCCATCTCCTTTAGTGTTTTCATTCAAGGCTGGTGTTCTACACCTGAGCCACACTCCACTTCCTGCATTTTAGTGGTTAATTGGAGATAAGAGTCTCACTGAGTTTTCTGCTTAGACTGACTGAACTGTGATCCTTAGATCCCAGTCTTCCTGAGTAATTAGGATTGCAAGCATAAACCACTGTCACTTGGCTCACTTAAAAAATTTTTGGGTGGGAATGGCTACTAGGAGTGTAGCTTAGTGGTAGAGTGTTTGCTTATTATGCATGAAGCCCTAGGTTCGATTCCTCAGTACTACATAAAAAGAAAAAGCCAGAAATGGTTCTTTGGCTCAAGTGATAGAGTGCTAGCCTTGAGCAAAAGAAGCTCAGGGACAGTGCCCAGGCCCTGAGTTCAAGCCCGAGGAATGGCAAAAAAATTATTTTGGAGTGGGTGTAAACTAGATCTTGTTGGACTTATACACTCTCTTCCTAAGAATGTTTTCATTAGATTCCCCCTCCTTTGTCAGACCTTACGCATCTGCCAGCTCAGATTGCTCTCAAAATTCCTTCAGTCAGAACCCCACTTATTCTCCATCTGACCTACTTACTACCTCTTCTTAGCTTCTTCCATCAGATCCCTGCCTCTTGTTAGGTTCCAAAGCCCTCCCTTATCAGGTGGTCCTTGCTACCTGCCTCCCCGCCTCCCCGCCTCCCCCTCCCCCCCTTCGCCCCAATCAGCTTCCTCCATCAGATTTCCCATTGCTTCTGTCCATAGATGCACTGGGCCCAGTGAGGACAGTCCATGTTACTCAGACTGGCAGCTCATCAATTGCCATTGCCTGGACCAGGGTTCCTGGTGCCACAGGATACAGAGTTTCCTGGCGCTCAGGCCAAGGTAGGAAACTGGAATTTGGGAGGATTATGAGAAGCAGGTCTAAGTAGAATTGAGGCTAGTCTTTCTTTCTTTCCTTCCTTCCTTCCTTCCTTCCTTCCTTCCTTCCTTCCTTCCTTCCTTCCTTCCTTCCTTCTTTCTTTTGTTGAGCATGGGGCTTGAACTCAGGGCCTGGGCGCTGAGCTTTTCTGCTCAAGGCTAGTACTCTATCATTTTGAGCCACAGTGCTACTTCTGGTTTCCTAGTGGTTCATTGGAGATAAGAATCTCACAAGGCTGGGAATGTGGCTCAGTGGTAGAGTGCTTACCAGCATGCATGAAGCCCTGGGTTCAATTCCTCAGTATCGTATACACAGAAATAGCTGGAAGTGGTGCTGTGGCTTGAGTGGTAGAGTGCTAGTCTTGAGCAAAAGAAGCTTAGGACAGTGCCCAGGCCCTGAGTTTAAGCCCTAGGACTTGCAAAAAAAAAAAAAGTCTCACAGACTTTTGTGCCCAGGCTGTCTTCCTACTGTAATCCTCAGATCTCAGCCTCCTGAATAGCTAGGATTGCAGATGTGAGCCGCCAATGCCTAGCTAGAGTTACTTTTTCTTTTTCTTTTTTGACTTGTTCTGGTTTTGGACTTGAACTCAGGGCCTGGATGCTGTCCCTGATCCTCTTTGTGCTCAAGGCTCGTGTTCTACCACTTGAACCACAGTTCCACTTCTGGGTTTTGAGTGGTTTAGAGAATTAGAGATAAGAGTATCAGGGGGACTTTTCAGTCCCGGCTGGCTTTGAACCATGATCCTCAGATGTCAGTCTCCTGAGTAGCTAAGATTACAGGTATGAGCCACCAGCGCCCAGCTAGAGCTTTATGAAGGGTGTTAGAGTTTGGCTAGTCCTGAAACTCCTTTCCATCCTTGTTCCCAGATCCAGAGAAATCTCAGTTGGTTTCTGGGGAGGCCACAGAAGCTCAGCTGGATGGGCTGGAGCCAGATACTGAGTACACAGTCCACGTGAGGGCCCATGTGGCTGGCATAGATGGAGCCCCTGCCTCTGTGGTTGTGAGGACCAGTGAGTAGACCCCACTTATACTAGCCACACCTGATTGGCTAACCAACCCTGTTGTGTATTCCCAACTGCTCCAGCTACTCCATTTGCAGTGACCCACCCTGTCCACGTTGAACCAGCAACACACTGACTCGATGTCCACCTACGCTCAGTTCTTGATGGTTCCTCATCACCCAACCCTCTTCCCTTTGGGGGCTTCCTATACTGCCCCTCTCTTGTAACCTTACCTCACCCTCCGATTCACCCTGCATGGACCAAGCATACCTAAGAGGTCCTGATCCCTCCTTGTGCCTCTGTCCCTAGCCCCCGAGCCTGTGGGCAGTGTGTCAAGACTACAGATACTCAATGCTTCCAGCGATGTTCTGCGAGTCACCTGGGTAGGGGTCACTGGTGCCACAGCTTATAGATTGGCTTGGGGCCGGAGCGAAGGTATGACTCCATGGGTCCTACGGTACCCTCGTCCTGCCTGGCCAGGATGGCCTCACCTGCTTAGCTATCCCATCCCATCCCTGATGGATGTTACTCTTTGCCGGCCTGGCCAGGTGGTCCCACGAGACAACAGATACTCCCGGGAAACACCGAGTCTGCGGAGATCCGCGGTCTGGAAGGTGGAGTCAGCTATTCTGTGCGCGTGACCGCGCTTGTGGGAGACCGCGAGGGCGCACCTGTCTCCATTGTGGTCACCACACGTAGGTGGGGCCTGGGCTGGAGCGAGCCGTGGATTGGAGCTTGGATACTCGAGGGGGCGGGACTGCTGGAAGAGGGAGCCAATGGAGGCGGAGGGGTGGGGGGGTCTGAGGAAGTGCGCGTGGGGGATTGGTGCAGAGGTGGGTGGGGGCGGAGTCTCCTTGATTCCCACGTGCTCTGGCTCTCCCTAGCGCCCGAGGCTCCCACACCCCTGGCGGCGACGCTGCAGGTTGTGCGGCGCGGGGAACACTCGCTGAGCCTGCGCTGGGAGCGGGTTCCTGGAGCGCACGGCTACCATCTGCGTTGGCGAACGGAGGGTGAGAGGTGCCCCCAATAGGAGGTTAGGGTTACATGGGGGTATTATGGACTCATGGGATCCCCGACAGTAGGTAGAATTCATCAAAGAGGTGGATGGGATCAATGGTGTCATTAAGGGTCAAATGGATCTATCAACTGGCAATCAGTGAAGTGATTGGGGTCATCAGTAAGGTTGTAAGGTCAATGAGGTGGGTGAATCCATTAGTACTGGGAGGTATTGTTTCCTCTCCATCCACCCTGGCATACTCACGTTCCTACTCTCCTTCCTCCCCTAGGTGGCCAGGAACAATCCAGGGTCCTGGGACCTGAGTTCAGCAGCTATGACCTGGATGGGCTGGAGCCAGCGACATTGTACCATGTGCAGCTGAGCGTCCTGGGACCCACTGGAGAAGGGCCCCCCAGGGAAGTGACTGCACACACTGGTGAGCTGAGAGCCCACCTCACTCCTGTATGCTTTTACTCCCACTGACCATCCACCCTGATTTCTTGGATCTTAGATCAGAGTGACTTTTTTGTGTGTGTGCCAGACCTGGGGCTTATACAGAGCATGGATACTGTCTGTGAGCTTCTTTTGCTCAAGGCAAGTACTGTACCACTTGAGCCACAGCTCCACTTCCAGCTGATTTGGGTAGTTTATTGGAAATCAGAGTATCACAAGCTGGGCACTGGTGGCTCACGCCTGTCATCCTAGCTACTCAGGAGGCTGAGATCTGAGGATCATGGTTCAAAGCCAGCTTGGGCAAGGAAAGTCCATGAGACTCTTATCTCCAGTAAACCACTAGAAAACCAGAAGTGGCAGTTGGCTCACGTGGTAGAGTGCTTGCCTTGAGCTGAAGAGCTGAGGGACAGTGCCCAGGCCCAAAGTTCAAGCCCCATGACCGACCAAAAAAAAAAAAAAAGAGTATCATCACAGACTTTCCTGATTAGTCTGGCTTCGAACTATGATCCTCAGATCTCAGCCTCCTGAGTAGCTAGGATGACAAGCTTGAGCCACTCTCAAATTGACTTCTGTAGCCTCCTAGTGGCTATGATCCTGGAGTGATCCCAGCATGACTTCCTCTGACATTTTGCTAAAAATGAATCTGCTTGGGCCTTTCTCCTCTTGTTCCTGATCTTCTCTCTCTCTCTCTCTCTCTGTATACACACATATACACCAGGGTATTTGAACTCAGGACCTCTTGCTCTTATTTTTTTTTTTTTCACTCAAGGCTGGAACTTTACTATTTGAGCCACGCCTCCAGTTCTGGCTTTTTGCTGGCTACGTGGCAATCAAAGATCTTACAGATTTTTCTTTCTGTCTGGGTTGGCTTTGATGCATGATTCTGAGAACTCAGCTTGGATTAGAGGTGTGAGCCACCAGCCCCTGGCCCATCTCTGATTTTTTTTTTCAAATTCTTTATTGTGATTAAGTGATTATGTAATCTCCCAAATTTCACCGGAATTGTGGGATAGTGACGCTTAGTTAAAGTCACAAACATATTCTAACGTTCATGGGGCAACTTGTCTATCATGGTCTATAACATTTATGAGTTCCCCTGCTGTGGATCCGCAGCATTGGGCTCGCCTCTGGCTTCTCCTCCGTGCCATGACCCCCAAATGCCAGTCCTTCCTCCTGCCTCTGCCGAAGAAAGCCCAGCACAGACCAGGCCCGAAGTCGGCAGATGCCTCCTCCTCTCCCAGCTTGCCCAAGGGAGAAAAAGAACAGCAAGAAGCAATTGAACATATCGATGAAGTACAAAATGAAATAGACTTAATGAACAAGCCAGTGAAGAGATTTTGAAAGTAGAACAGAAATATAATAAACTCCGCCAACCGTTTTTTTCAGAAGAGGTCAGAATTGATTGCCCAAATCCCAAATTTTTGGGTCACAACATTTGTCAACCATCCACAAGTGTCTGCACTGCTGGGGGGAGGAGGATGAAGAGGCCCTACATCACCTGACCAGAGTTGAAGTGACAGAATTTGAAGATATAAAATCAGGTTACAGAATAGATTTTTATTTTGATGAAAATCCTTACTTTGAAAATAAAGTTCTCTCCAAAGAATTTCATCTGAATGAGAGCGGTGATCCATCTTCAAAGTCCACTGAAATCAAATGGAAGTCTGGAAAGGATTTGACAAAGCGCTCCAGTCAAAGCAGAATAAAGCCAGCAGGAAGCAGCAGCATGAGGAACCAGAGAGCTTCTTAACTTGGTTCCCTGACCACTCAGACGCTGGTGCAGACGAGTTGGGAGAGGTCATCAAAGACGACATCTGGCCAAACCCATTGCAGTACTACCTGGTTCCTGACATGGATGAGGAGGAGGGAGAAGGGGAAGAGGATGATGATGATGATGATGATGATGAAGAGGAGGAAGGATTGGAAGATATTGATGAAGAAGGGGATGAGGACGAAGGGGAAGAAGATGAAGATGATGATGAAGGGGAAGAAGGAGAGGAGGATGAAGGAGAAGATGACTAATAGAAAACACTGATGGATTCCAACTTTTTTTTTTTCTTCTTAATTTTCTCCAGTCCCTGGGAGCAAGTTGCAGTGTTCTCCCCCTCTGTGCTCAGTTGCCCTGTTCTTGAGGTCTCTTTTCTCAAAACACCATGATTCTCAACTTATTTGGGGGGGGAATACCTTGCTCAGAATATAACGGGAAAAGAATCTCCACACACCTCTGTTCTAAATTCATTTTTATCCCTTTCTGTCTCAACAAAAACTGTACGGAATCACCACCACCACCGCCACCTGCTCTGTGGGAAACAAGAAAAGCCTCCGGTTGCTCTGCTCTGCTCAGGCCTTGTGTACTAGTGCATAGATTCTAGCTTTTCTCCTCCTTTCTCTGTATATTGGGCTCAGAGATTACACTGTGTCTATGTGAATACAGACAGTTAGCATCACCAACATGTATCTGTTTACTTTCTCTTGTTAAAAAAAAAAAGAAAAAAACTTTAAAAAATGGGGTTCTAGAAGGTCAGCAAAGGGTGGGTTTGAGATGTTTGGGTGGGTTAAGTGGGCATTTTTGACAACATGGCTTCTCCTTTGGCATGTGTAATTGTGATGTTTAATGGACATCCTTGCAGTTTAAGATGACACTTTTACAATAAAATTCTCCTAGTGATGACTTGAGCCCTGGCACTACAGGAGAATCAGCAGACCCTGTAGGATCTTATTTGGAATTGACATTCTCTATTGTAATTTTGTTATTTATTTTTAAATTTTCTTTTGTTTTCACTGGAAAGGAAAGATGATGCTGAGTTTTAAATGTTAAAAGTGTACAAGTTGCTTTGTTACAATAAAACTAAATGTGTACACAAAAAAACATTTATGAGTTCTATGAGCTTTGCAATACAGTTATTTCTTCCACATTGGGTGATATGTACATTTCTTTTGTTTTGCATAACATCAGCTGTTCCCTTTTTCCCACTTGTTTCCTCCCTCCCATCACTGCCATTGAGTTGCTTAGTTCATTTTGATCAATGTCCAGAGCAGCTGATGGGTCCCACTGTTGTATGTTTTTCCCTGATTCCCTCTAGTTCTGTGTTGTCCTCCTGGTTTCCCTCCAGTGTGCATATTTATACCATATATGTGATCAGCAGCATGGGGTTATTTAGTAGTGATTTGACCAGATGAGTGGAAGTCCTTTGTTTCTTAATTTTGTCGTATCACCTTACATTTTGGATTTAATATCCACTTATCAGGGAGACCATATGCCATTTGTCTCTTTGCTCTTGGCTTATCTCGCTCAACATGATTTCTTCTAGCTCCATCCATTTCTCTGCAAATGCATTATTTTGTCCTTTCTATGGCTGCATAATATTCCATGTGTATAGATACCACAATTTTTGGATCCATTCATCTGTGGTGGGACATCTGGGTTGTTTCCATATCCTGGCTGTTGTGAACAGTGCTGCAATAAACATGGAGGTGCACGTGTCCTTGTAGACTGGTTCCTGTTGTTCAGGATAGATGCCTAGAAGTGGTATGACTGGGTCATAAGGGAGGTCAATATTTAGCTTTCTGAGGACCCTCCAGACTGCTTTCCAAAGTGGTTGTATAAGTGTACATTCCCACCAGCCCATCTCTGATTTTTGTTAAATGTTTCTTTCAGAGTCTCCTCGTGCTCCAAGCACGGAACTCCACGTGATAGACACTTCCATCAACTCAGTGACCCTCGCATGGACCCCAGTACCTGGAGCATTGGGCTATATCCTATCCTGGCGGCCACTCGCAAGCACCAGCCAGGGTGAGGGACAGGCTGTGGTTGGAAGGGGCTCCCTGGACGACCTCCTTCAGGACCATGCAGGATCTGTTTAACTAAGTTCTCCTCTTTACAAGTACCCGGAGATTCACAGACACTTCCAGGGACCTATAGCTCCCAGCGGGTGACAGGCCTGGAACCTGGTGTCTCCTATGTCTTCTCTCTGATACCTGTCCAGAGGGGTGGACAGGGTCCTGAGGCCTTGGTCACACAGAACCCAGGTATGCTGGAAAACAGTGGGAGAGGTCAAAGAGGGCTGCTGGACTAGTCCATATCAGTGACTCAACACCTTCCCACAGCGTGTCCTGGAGGTCTAGTGGACGTGGTGTTTCTACTGCACACCACTCAAGACAATGCTCATCGAGCAGAGGCTGTGAAGCGGGGTCTGGAGCGGCTGGTGTCTGCACTTGGGCCTCTCGGGCCACAGGCTGCCCAGGTTTGGCCCCGAGGCATCCAAAACCCTAATCTCTCCCTGCCTCTCTGCACCCCAAGTTCCACACCAGCCACCATCTCTCTGTCCTAATATAGTTTCAGGGTTTCTTCCAGCTCCCAAGCTTCAGATCATCTCATTGCTGGCGGATTCCCATTCTACCACCTAATAAGCCCTCCCCGCACTACCTCTGTCTGCTCTGTCATGCTCTCCAGGCTTTACGTCTCTCCTCATTCCAGGTTGGCTTGCTGTCCTATAGCCATCGGCCCTCCCTGCTGTTCCCATTGAATAGTTCCCATGATCTTGGCACCATCTTGCAGAAGATCCGGGACATTCCCTATTTGGACCCAAGTGGAAACAACTTAGGTGAGGCCTGCAGTTGGCATGGATTCCTGGGGCTTTCCTGACAGAAAAACTCTTATGTCCCGTGGCTCTGATGTGACTTTCCTCTCAGGCGCGGCGGTGATCATGGCTCACAAGTATCTCCTGGCACCCGATGCTCCAGGACGCCGTCAGCAAGTACCCGGGGTGATGGTTCTGGTGGTGGACGAACCATTGAGAGGTGACATATTCAGCCCAATCCAAGAGGCTCAGGCTGCTGGTGAGGAATAGAGGAAGCTGAGGATGGAACCTGGGAATAGGAATAGCCCTGGTGGGATTGTCATGACAAGATGCTTGGATTCCCTCCTTAGGGTTCAGGGTGATCATCTTGGGTTTGGCTGGAGCTGATCAGGAGCAGTTGCGTCGCTTGGTGTCAGGCGTGGACCCTGTCCAGCACTTCTTGGCGGTGGATGACGGGCCAAGCCTAGGCCGGGCAGTCAGTGATTTGGCAGGAGTGCTGTGTCAGGCAGCCATGACAACTCAGGTTTGGATGAAGCCTCTGGGCGTGGCAGGGAGGAGACCTAGGGATTTAAAGAGAACTGCTTGGCTTCAAAGAGCACCTGTGTCCACAGCCACCTCCAGAGCCTTGCTCCGTGCATTGCCCAAAGGTAAGTGTCGAGGGTGGAGTGGGAAGATGAATGCTGCACCCGAAGCTAGCCACTGGGAGCCTCATCTGACATGTTCCCCCAACCCCCCCCCCACCCAGGGCCAAAAGGGGGAGCCTGGAGTAACGGTGAGTGGCCTTGTGGGCACAAAACTAGGTTGGGTGTTGATGGGATGGGGTGGGGTGGGGTGATTGTCAGCACAAGGCTTGCTGATGATCTTTCTTAGGGCCGGAATGGACAAGCTGGGCCTCCAGGACCTCCCGGCCTCCCAGTAAGTGCCTCCCCACACCCATCCTTACCCTGACTGGCTTACTGCCTCTTTATCCTGATCTCCTCTTTCAGGGAAGGACTGGTCCCCCAGGCCCCCCCGGTCCTACCATCCAAAAAGGCGAGAGGGTGAGTAAGGCCTTTGTGCTTCACTTAGGGTGCATCCTGTAGGAAAAAAAGCCCAGACACTATATGTTCAGGAGGCTGAGATCAGAGGACCGCAGTTCAAAGCCATTCTGGGCAGGAAAGTCTGTAAGGCTCTTCTCTCCAATGAACCACCAGAAAACCGGAAGGGGCTCAAGTGGTAGAGCACTAGCCTTGAGTGAAAGAGCTCAGGGACAGTGCCCAGGCCCTGAGTTCAAGCCCCACAACTGACAAAATAAACAAACAAAAACAGAGCCACAGGATCATCCTAGAAATCTGAATGGAGACTTGTAGAGAAAGCTGTCAAGTAGAAGGGCTATAGGGGGGACTTGAAGATCCCTTAGTGTTTTAGCCTCTGCTTATCACTGCTTTGTGCCTGGGATTGGGTTTCATGCAATTCAGATAGACCGCTTTTGTACCCTACTTCTCCATCCCTAACAACACTGGAGGCGTATGGGATGAGAACCCCAGTTAATGGGGTAGAGATCTGCTAGCTAATCTTTGAATTCTTTGTCTCTTTAGGGTTTCCCTGGAGCAGATGGACCTCCAGGCAGCCCTGGTCTCCCTGGGACTCCCGGCATAAAGGTGTGCCAGCCTTGTCCTTACTGATGGGGCAATTGCTGGAGATGGTAGGGGTGATTTTGACCTGTTCTGACCATTGGTTCCATTTACAGGGCTCCCCAGGGTGGCCTGGTCCTCCTGGGGAACCGGTAAGTGCCTTCCCTTCTTTGCCAGTACCTTCCCCAGGGTTCTTTTTATAAGGATGGGGAGCCAAAGTAGGTGGAGTCCATGGGGACCACCCTTGACTTGAACCTAAGCATTATCTTCTATTCTGTTTTGTTCTCAGGGAGACCGAGGGCCCCGAGGCCCTAAGGGGGAACCGGTAAGTGGAGAGAAAAGGGGGAGGGGCCTCCAGAGAGTACAGGGTTGCACCTAGACCTATGTAAGGCCTGTGGCATGATAAGGAATAGCTGGGAGCCAGGTGCCCGTGGCTCACGCCTGTCATCCTAGCTACTCAGGAGGCTGAGATCAGAGTATCACGGTTCAAAGCCAGCCCGAGCAGGAAAGTCTGTGAGACTCTTGTCTCCAGTAAACCACCAGGAAACCAGAAATGGCACTGTGGTTCAAGTGGTAGAGCGCTAGCCTTGAGCTGAAGAGCTGAGTGACAGCACCCAGGCCTAGAGTTCAAGACCCATGACCAACAACAACAACAATAAAAATAGCATCAAAGGGCATCTATGGGTACTTTTTTTTTTTTTTTTGCCAGTCCTAGGGTTTGAACTCAGGCCCTGAGCGCTGTCCCTGAGCTGCTTCTGCTCAAGGCTAGCACTCTACCACTTGAACCACAGCACCACTTCTGGCTTTTTCTGTATATGTGGTACTAAGGAATCAAACCCAGGGCTTTATGCATGGTAGGCAAGCACTTTACCACTAAGCCACCTTCCCAACCTCTGGGGACTTTTATCTACCTTGAATTCTGCCCAACACTCTCTGACTTTTTAGGGAGAGCCTGGGAAAATCGTCACGGGTGATGGGCCAGGGATTCCTGGCAAAAAAGGAGACCCGGGACCTTCGGTAAGTTTCAGGGCCTGAGTCATGATGTGAGATGGGGTCGGGGGAGTGAGTTGTGTGGGCTGTGTCTTTATGTTTTGTCTCCTCCATCAGGGGCCCCCTGGACCTCGTGGCCCTTTGGGAGACCCAGGACCTCGTGGTCCCCCAGGGCTTCCTGGAACAGCTATGAAGGTGACAGCATGACCCCATTTGGTCTTAGGAGCTCCATGTGATTCAGGGCCCCGGTGACCCCATTGGAACCCACATAACACATACTGATTCCTACCCATGCTATTGACGCCCCTGTTTTCCCATGATTCTTTGAGTCCACCCTCCTACATCCGGGTATCTTGGGAAAGGAGGTATAGTGGAATCACAGGGTCATGATCTGTCTTCCAGGGTGACAAAGGTGATCGTGGAGAACGGGTGAGTGAGGGCTAAGTATGCTGAGGGTGGGGTGGAGTCTGACTCCCCCAGTCTGCCCCTGACCTGATGTTCTCTCCCAGGGACCCCCTGGACCAGCGGTTGATGGAACTGCAGATGGGGAACCCGGGCTGCCAGTAAGCGGGCCTTGAGCTAGGGAACCCGCTGAGGGGTGTGGGTATTCTGGGGTGGGTTGGGTGCTGGGCTTTATATTTCTTGACTCACTTCCTCCTAGGGCCTCCCCGGAAGTCCTGGACCCCAAGGCCCAGTTGGAGAGAAAGGAGAGAAGGTAGGGAAATGGATCTCTCTTTGCCCAGGTTTGGGGGTGGGAGGCTGGGTGCCAGGGACCTCCCTGAGTCTTCATACCATGTGTTGCTCCTTTAGGGTGACTGTGAGGATGGAGCCCCAGGGGTCCCAGGACAACCCGGAACTCCGGGTGAGCCGGTGAGTTTTCAGGAGCTCACAAGGTTCTGAATGTGACGAGCATGGCTCCAATGCCTACCTTGATCCATCCACTCCTTCTCTATCCTTATGCCCCAATCTGAACCACTCACCTCCCAAATTCATCTCTTCCAGGGCCTTCGGGGACTTCCTGGAGTTGCTGGCCCCAAAGTGAGTACAAGTTGAGAGGTGAGGGGGAGTGTCAAATGTAAGGGACCATATCCGGGGACTGCTATAGGGTAAAGGAGACCAAAAGGCCAGGGGATAAGGGCCTATCTAGGTCAGATTCTATTGCTTCAGAAGTGCTGGTTAGAGATGAAGACACTTGGTTTGGGGTTCACTCCTTAAGACCCCGCTCTTCTTATCTCTCTCCTTAGGGCGACCGAGGTTTGAAGGGCAGCCCTGGTGAGATTGGAGAAAAAGTAAGTGCAGTCCCGGGGACTCTGGAGAATCTGGAACAGACTCAGCTTGCTGACTTCTTCTATTCCATCAGGGTGAACGGGGACTCCCTGGCCCGGTGGGACCCCAGGTAAGCCTGCTGAATATTGCCCTGACCTCTGAAGCCCCTCCTGATTCTTTTTCTTTTTTTTTTTTTTTTTGGTTGTGGAGCTTGATCTCTAGGCCTGGGTGCTGTCCCTCAGCTCTTTAGCTCAAAGCTAGCGCTCTACCACTTGAGCCACAGCACCACTTCTGGTTTTCTGGTGGTTTACTAGAGATAAGAGTCTCATGGACTTTCCTGCCTGGGCTGGCTTTGAACCGCAATCCTCAGATCTCAGCCTCCTGAATAGCTAAGATTACGGTTGTGGGGCTTAAACTGGGGGCCCTGAGTCTCTTTGTGCTCAAGACTAGCACTCTACCACTTGAACCACAGCGCCACTTCAGTTTTTCAGTGACTAATTGGAGATAAGAGTCTCACGGGGAGTTTTCTACCTGGGCTGGCTTAGAACCTCTGTCCTCCTGAGTAGCTAGGATGACAGGTGTGAGCCACCAGTGCCAGCTGATTCGGACATTTTTGTCCTTGATCCCCTTTCCCCTCCCCCACTTCCCATCCCACTTTTTTTTGGTCAGTTGTGTGGCTTGAACTCAGAGCTTAGGTGCTATCTCTGAGCTTTTTTGATCAAGGCTAGCACTTTACCACTTGAGCCACACCTCCACTTCTGCCTTTTGGATGCTTCATTGGAGGCAAAAGTTTCATAGACTTGGCTACTCAGGCAGGCATCGAGATGTAATCCCCAGATCTCAGCCTCCCGAGGACCTAGGATGAGAGGCGTGAGCCACCAGCCCCCTGCAAGAATACCAATTTTAACCTTTTGACTTAGTCACAATGGCCTGCTGAGTCTGACTGCTGCTAGCCCAAACTCCCAATCTTCCATGATCTCTCCTCCCTAGCCCACAACTCAGCCTCTCCTCTCTGTTTACCCATAATCCCTTTTTGGTCCTCTCCCACCTGGGAACAGCTTTTCTTCTGTTCCTCTTCCCTAGGGACCAGTAGGAATTGCTGGACGCCCTGGAGCTGAGGGTCCTGAGGTAAGTCTATGACTGTGGAGCTTTCCCATGTATCTTCCTGCCTCATCCCATCCTGAGCTCTTTGTTTTCTCCACGTACAGGGCCCGCCAGGACCTACTGGCCGCAGAGGAGAGAAGGTTGGTCACGTTCTGGGAATGTAACTTGGCAGCAGGGATGTGGCCAGGGGACACTGGGAATTGGGACTTCCTAGATGAGTTGCTAACCTGTCCCTGTCTCTGTCTTCTCTCCATAGGGAGAGCCTGGTCGCCCCGGGGACCCAGCAGTGGTGGTAAGTGAAAAAAAGACGGGACCCTGAGTCCAATTCAGCCCTGGATATATAAACCATTTTTGTTTTCTGGTGGTTTACTGGAGATAAGTCTCATGGACTTTCCTGCCTGGGCTGGCTTTGAACCACGATCTTCGGATCTCAATCTTCTGAGCAACTAGGCTTACAGACATGAACCACTGGAGCCTGGCTACCTACTTTAGATTAGCTCATTTGGTCACAGAGACCCCTCGGTAGACACTGTGACTTTTTTGTTGTTCCAGTCCTGGGCTTACACTTGGGGCTGGGATGCTGTCTTTGAGCTTTTCTGCTCAAGGCTAACACTCTACCACTTGAGCCACAGCTCTACTTCTTGTCCCTTTTGGTATTTAATTGGAGATAAGAGACTCAAGGGCTTTTCTGCCCACCCTGGCTTTGAACTGTGATCCCTAGATCTCAACCTCCTAAGTAGTGACACTGTGACTTTTTGATTTTATAGAATCAAAGTTTGGGGTTCTGTGATACCAAACAGGAGCTGAGTAATGACTCTCCTCATTGTTTTCAGGGTCCTGGTGGTGCTGGAGCTAAAGGAGAAAAGGTATGTCTGTAAGGGGTTGAGGTCAAAGTCACAGGGCCTATCTCTGGGCCTTCCTGGAAGTTACAGGATGACTGCTGAATTGCGGGGTACCTGGAAGCTCAAGACCACCACTGACCTCTGTTGCTTTCAGGGAGATGTGGGGCCTGCTGGACCTAGAGGAGTTGCTGGAATCAAAGGGGAACAGGTAAGTGAGGGCAAAAGTTTAGCTATAGGGCAGATGAAGGTTGTATCTTTTGTGTGTGTGTGTGTGTGTGTGTGGTATGTGTGTGTGACACTGGTATTAGATCTTCTTTTTTTTTTTGGTTGTGGGGCTTGAACGCTGGGCCTGGGCACTGTCCCTCAACTCAAGGCTAGTGCTCTACCACTTGGAGCCACAATGCCACTTCCTGTTTTCTGAGTGGTTTATTGATAAGACTCTCATGGACGTTCTTGCCCAGGGTTGGCTTTGAGCCGAGATCCTCAGAGCTCAGCTTCCTGAGTAGCTAGGATTACAGGAGTGAGCCACCGGTGCTGGGCTGGTATTATGTCTTATATTCAGGGTTTGTTCACACAGTGAGACTCTCAGAAGAGCAATACAAAGGTACAAGGACTATGTGCATCTGATCACATAAAGTAATATTTATCAAAGTGAAGTCCAAGAAATAGAAGCAAGAAGTTTTTTCCCTTCGTTGCTGTTTTCTTTTTCTTTTTATCTTGTTTGTTTGCTTATCTGACTTTAGGAGTATAGGGGGGGGGCACAGAAATGGAGGGATAAAGGGTGAACAAATGCAGCAGTGGTGCTCACAAGACCATGTGGAAAATGAAGTATACAACTTGTTGGTGGGGATAAGAGGGAAAAACTGGGAGAGAGCTAGGGAAGGGGTGACATTGTCCTAAAAGAAACGTACTCTTTACCTGACTTACGTAACGTATGTAAGTAACTGTTCTGTGTATCACCTTTATAATAACAATTAAAAAAATTAAAAAAACCCTCAGGGTTTGTAATGCTCCTTTGCCTTTTTGTTCACAGCTGGTGCTCTGCTACTTGAGCCATGCCTCCACTTTCTGTTTTGTTTTTTTTTTTTGGTTGAATTGGAGATAAGAGTCTCACTGGCTTTCCTGGCTAGGCTGACTTTGAACCATGATCCCCGGGTCTCAGCCTCCCGAGTCGATAGGATGACAGCTGTGAGTTACTGGTGCTCAGCTCCCTGTACCCTTTTGACTTCTGATCTGTCTGTCCAACAGGGCCCACCTGGGTTAGCTCTTCCTGGAGACCCTGGCCCTAAGGGAGACCCTGGAGCCCGGGTAAATAAATGTGGGGACTAGGTGACAGAAGAAGAGGTGGTACCTGAGACCCCTGATTAAATCCTTTCCCTTCCTACCCCCCCTCAGGGTCCCATTGGCCTCACTGGCAGAGCGGGAATTCCGGTGAGTATAAGTGATCTCAAGATTTCTGGACTCAGGTCTGGGAAGGTGGCTTAGAGGTAGCTTGCCTGCCTAACATGCATGAAGCCCCAGGTTCGACTCCTCACTGCCATATCAACAGAAAAAGCTGGATGTGGCACTGTGGCTCAAGAGGTAGAGGGCTAGCCTTGAGCAGAAAGCACTGTCCCTGGACAGTGCTCAGGCCCTGAGTTCAAGCTCCAGGACTGGCCAAAAAAAAAATATAAATAAATCTGGGCTCACCTCCTCTAAAAGGTTGCCTGTTACATGGATTCTACAACACCTGATGCTTACCTCCCCAACAGGGTGACTCAGGGGCTCCTGGAGAGAAGGGAGACCCCGGGCGGCCTGGCTCTCCAGGACCTGTTGGCCCCCGAGGACGTGATGTAAGAGGCGGGCCTTAGAGGAGTCCTAGTGGGGAGGGGAGTAGGGGGGTTGCCAGCATCATTGGGGGTTTTGGGGACCAGGACTGACTCTCATGTCTTACAGGGTGAAGCTGGAGAGAAAGGTGATGAAGGTCCTCCGGTAAGATGTACCCCCAATGTAGTTTCTGATTCTGTATGTGTGTGTGTGTGTGTGTAGGTAGGTGTGTGTGTGCACACGCATGCGCATGTGTGCACAGATACTGGCGCTTGAATTCTGTACCAGCTCCACATTCCCAGTACCACTACCAGTACCACTCTCCCTTGGCCTTTTTGTTTGTTTGTTTGTTTGTTTTTGGTCAGTCATAGGGCTTGAACTCTGGGCTTGGGCACTGTTAGCTCTTCAGCTCAAGGCTAGTGGACTACCACTCGAGCCACAGCACCACTTCCAGGCTTTTTCTGCGTATGTGATGCTGAGGAATCGAATCAGGGCCTTATGCATTCTGGGAAAGCACTCTACCACTGAGCCATCTTCCCAGCCCCCCCACCTTTTTTTTTTTAAATTAAGTCTAGCCCTCTACTACCTGAACCACATCTAGCTAAGAGGCTCATGGACTCTGTTGCCTGGGCTGGACTTCAAACCTCCATCCTTGCATCGTAACCACCTGAGTAGCTAGGATTACAGGCATGAGCCATTAGTGTCCACTTTTTTTTTGTTAGTGGGGCTTGAATTCAGGGACATGGCAGTGTCCTTCAGCTTTTGTGAGCACTCTACCACTTTGAGCCACAACACCACTTGTGGTTCATTGGAGATGAGAGTCTCACGGACTTTCCTGCCCGGGCTGGTTTTGAACCATGATCCTCAGATCTCAGCCTCCTGAGTAGCTAGGATGACAGGTGTGAGCCACCGGCACCTACTCTTTCTCCTTGAACTGTAATACCTAGGGTCTGAGGTTCTATCAGGTCATCCGGTCCAGCTCTGTCTACTGTCTAGCTGGTGCCAAGGCCTTGTCTTTCCACACTCCCTAAGTTATTTAGGTATTTTTTTTTTGGTAGGTCATGGAGCCTGAACTCTGGGCCTGAGTGCTGTCCCTCACCCCTTCAGCTCAAAGCTAGTGCCCTACCACTTGAGCCACAGTGCCACTTCCAGCTTTTTCTGCTTATGTGGTGCTGAGGAATAGAACCCAGGGCCTCATGCATGCAAGGCAAGCACTCTACCACTGAGCCACCTTCCCAGCCAGTTATTTAGATCCCTCACCGTGACCCTTCTCTTCATTACCAGGGTGAGCCAGGTTTGCCTGGGAAAGCCGGCGAGAGAGGCCTTCGGGTGAGTCTCGGCAGGGAGGAGGAAGGGTGCGTATGGAGGTAATGGGAGAATCAATAGGCTTAATGGTGATGGGAAGCACTGAAGGGTTGGAGGAAATGAAGAGATTCTGCAAGGTATGTGTGTGGGGGGTGGTGTATGTAGGGTGATGGGAGACTGGAGTGATAGGGAACTGGGACAACAGAAAGCCTTCTAGAAGAAGCTACAGAAAGCTAGGAGGGAGTCTGTGTCAGACTAGCTGCTCTTCTCAGGGGCTGCCTGGAGTCCGGGGGCCGGTGGGTGAGAAGGGAGACCAGGGAGATCCTGGAGAGGATGGACGAAACGTGAGTGTTGAACCTCCGACCCATTTAGCTCTCACCCCACCTCAACTCATCAACCCCAATCCTGCCCTCCTCTACCTACAACCCTAACCTTCGCAGTCCTCATTCCTTTTGACTCTTTCATCCTAATCTCCCAAAGGCCATCAGGACCCAGTAAATCCTCACGGTGCTTCTAAATCTCCCCCCCTCTCCCCCGCCACAACTTCTGTCTGTCTGGGCCCTGGTGGCTCACGCCTGTAATACTAGCTACTCAAGAGACTGAGATCTGAGGATCGAGGTTCAAACCCAGCCCGGGCTGGAAAGTCTTTGAGACTCTTTATCTCCAATGAACCACTCAGAAAACTGGAAGTGGCATTGTGGCTCAAGGAGTAGAGTGCTCACCTTGAGCTGAAGAGCTGAGGGACAGCACCCAGGTCCAGAGTTAAAGCCCTACAATCCACAAAAAACAAAACCAAAAACCCTCTGTCTTCCCTGAGTGACCCAGATCTCTGGCTTTCTGCAGGGCAGCCCTGGACCTTCTGGACCCAAGGGTGATCGTGGGGAGCCGGTAAGTGGCCTTTAGGCCAGGCTGGCCCTGGACCCTGATGAGATGGAGATTTTTATTTGTCCTGCTACAATTGATGTTCTGTGTCCATTTGAGGAGAGTGTTTATGGCCACGCCCCCCTCCTCCCTGGAGTCCTTGCTTCTCTTCTGGGGGTTCACATCAGAGGACTAGAGCTGAGCCTGGAGTAGACATGATCTAGGCCCTCAAGACTTCTGTTAACTATAATCCTCTCCTCTCCTAGGGTCTCCCGGGTCCCCCTGGGCGTCTGGTAAGCATAAGCCTCGTACTGAGTCCCAGACTGCTTGTCATTTTCCCTCCCATTCTCTTCTCATCTGGTCTACTCACTACCTGGTCCCCCAACACTTCCCATTGAGCCCCGTTTCTCCTGTTGAAGTGTTCTTCTCATTGGCCATTCCCCCACAGGTGGACACGGGACCCGGAGCCAGAGAGAAGGTACTGGGGGTCTTTGGGTGGGGTGGAACAGTGAGTGTAGGAAAGATCCTAGTACCCCTTCCTACAGCCCCTCTCTGCCCTAGGGAGAGCCTGGAGACCGTGGACAAGAGGGTCCTCGAGGACCCAAGGGTGACCCTGGTCCCCCCGGAGCCTCTGGAGAGAGGGTGAGTGTAACCGGTCCCGTGGAAGGGCCTGAACTCTGGGCCTGGGCCCTGTCCCTCAGCTCTTCAGCTCAAGACAAGCACGCTACCCCTTGAGCCACAGCACCACTTCCGACTTTTTCTGCTTACGCAGTGCTGAGGAATGGAACCCAGGGCCTCATGCATGCAAGACAAGCACTCTATCACTGAGCCACCTTCCCAGCCCTTCTGATCCTTTTTCTTTCTATCCTCAGGGCAGCGATGGGCTCCGGGGACCCCCAGGCCCACAGGTGAGTGCTGAATCTGTCCCCTTTGGCCCAGTTTCCCTTCTTGCCCTTGATGCTTCTCTTGACTTCATTCCCTCCAGGGAGACCCAGGTGTTCGAGGCCCAGCAGGAGAAAAGGTGAGTGTGATTTGGAAAGGTACACCTGCCTCTCAGACCCATCTCAGCCTTCCGAGTCTCTTACCACTCTGTTTCCCTCAGGGTGAACGAGGCCCCCCTGGTCTGGATGGCCGCAGTGGGCTGGATGGAAAACCAGGAGCCCCTGGCCCCCCTGGACTTAACGTGAGTCATGGTAGTCACTTCTAGTCATCTTCTCCAAGAGATCCCGAGACCTTGGCCTCGTCTGTCTGATCTTGGCCTTCACCTCTGGGGCCAGGTGTACCGTCTGTTTCCTCCCAGGCCTAGGGCTCACAAGAGCCACAGTCCTGCCAGCGGGTGAAGGAGACTCTTACCCCACAGCTGACTTTGAATCTCTCCTCAGGGTGCTGCGGGTAAAGCTGGGGAGCCAGGGAGAGACGTAAGTGAGGGGAGATGCTGGGGTGGAGGGCGGCTCACAGGTCTAGCATAAGACCCCCGCTAGGTCCTCAGAGTCACAGGTCTGGGGGCCAGACCTGCCTTAAGGGAAGGTCTCAATTCCCAGACAAGCTATCTTAAAAAGTCCCCATTCCATCTGGACACTGGTGGCTCACACCTGTCATCCTAGCTACTCAGAAGGCTGAGATCTGAGGATCGTGATTCAAAGCCAGCCCAGGCAGAAAAAGTCCGTGAGACTCTTATCTCTAATAAACCACCAGAAAACCGGAAGTGGTGCTGTGGTTCTAGTGGTAGAGTGCTCGCCTTGAGCTGAAGAGCACAGGGACAGCGCCCAGGCCCAGGGTTCAAGCCCCACGACCAACAACAACAACAACAAAAAATGAAGTCCCCCTTCCTGATATCCTGTCTTGGAGATCGTAGTAGGCATCAAGTTCTGGGAATTTTTCCCTTGGGATTTTCATCAGGAGCCCCCTGATTCATTGCTACTGTACCTCAGAGGCTCTTGGGGAGGGGGTGGTGTCAACACTGGAGAAGGGTCTTTGTGGAACTCTTGAAGTCCAGGAGGTGTGTACTAAGGGATCTCTCGGGAGCCCTCCCAATCCTAGCAAACACTTCTTCTTTTAGGGGTTCCCTGGCCTACGAGGAGAACATGGGCCCCCTGGTCCCCCTGGTCCCACTGGAGCACCGGTGAGTCTGGGTTTTCATGCTGCATTTTGGGATCCTTCCCACCCAACCCTGAACCTCTGACATCTGACTGATAGATCTGTCCTCACAGGGAAAGGCAGGAGAAGATGGCAAACCTGGCCTGAATGGAAAAAATGTGAGTATGTCTAGGGTAGCCATAGCAAAATCCACTAAGAAACACTAATAGAGCCGGGCACTGGTGGCTCACACCTGTCATTCTAGCTACTTGGGAGTCTGAGATCTGAGAATCACGGTTCAAGGCCAGCCTAGACTGCAAAGTCCCCGTGAGACTCTCCAATGAACCACTCAAAAAGTGCAAGTGGTGCTGTGCCTCAAATGGTAAAGTGTTAGCCTTGAGCAAAAGAGCTCTGACAGTACTGGGTTCAAGCCCCATGATGGGCAAAGAAAAAAAAAACACTAATCAGAGCAGGATGCTGGTGGCTCATGCCTATAATCTCAGGAGGCTGAGATCTGAGGATCGTGGCTCTGAGGCCAGCTCAGGTAAGCAAATCCATGAGACTTTTTTTGTTTTTTTTGGGGGGGGGGTTCCAGTTGTGGGGCCTGAACTCTGGACCTGGGCGCTGTCCCTCAGCTTTTCAGCCCAAGGCTAGCATGCTACCACTTGAGCCATAGCACCACTTCCGGCTTTTTTTTCTGCTTATATGGTGCTGAGGAATGGAACCCAGGGTCTCATGCATGCAAGGCAAGTGCTCTACCACTGAGCCCCTCCATGAGACTCTTATCTCCAATAAACCACCTGAAAACCAGAAGTGGCACTGTGGCTCAAGTGGCAGAGTGCCAGCCTAGAGCTTAAGAGCTGAGTTACAGTGCCCAGGCTCAGAGTTCCATCCCCACGACTGACAAAAACAAAACAACAACAACAAAAATCCACTAATAGGTTCATGCAGCCCAGCTGCAGACAACACACAAGGCATATAAACAAATAAATGCATATATATATATGTACACATATACACATATACTTATACATATGCATACATTGACACGTGCAAACGTAGCCAAGAGATGCAGATGCATCTGAAATGTGATTCTGGGTGCATACGCAGGCCGCTTTGCACACATTTATGTTAGGTGGATAGGCCAGCTTGTGTCTGGATGGCCTACATGCAGCCATAGGTTCGGGCAGAGAGCCACAGACACTGGTTGAGAGGTGCAGTCGTTGAGAGGAAGCCACGTTCAACAGCTTGTGGAGACAAGTTGACACATGGACGCTGCCACTCAGACTCGTCTATGTGCCACTTGGACTCCGGACTGCTCATGTGACGTAGGCTTTGCTGTGTGACACAGTTGGAAATGTGCTGGCATATGCTTTAAAAAAAAATTGGGGGGCTGGGATGTAGCTCAGTGGCAAAGCTCTTGCCTAGCAAGTGTAACATCCTGGGTTCGATCCCCAGTACCAAAAAAGAAAAGACAAAAAAAATACAGTTAAAAAAACCCCAAACAAAATAAAAAAATTGGGGGCCCAGAACTGAGGCTTGATCTCAGAGTCTGGGCTTTTTCCCTAAAGACTGACATGCCACTGTTTGAACCATACCACCATTTCAGGGTTTTCTTTTTTGTGGTTCATGGGAGATAAGACTCTCACAGACTTTTCTACCCAGGCTGGCTTCTAACTACAATCCTCAGATCTCAGCCTCCTGAGTAGCTAGGATTACAGGCATCAGCCATGAGTGCCCAACACTACCATATGCATTTATATCCATAGTTACCTACCCACATATGACTGTGCACATTGAAACACATTCAAGACTTGCAGGAAAAATAATGCCAGGTACATATAGGCACTGGGACTTGGGCATGCTTGTTTAAAACCCATGCTCAGGGCTGGGAATGTGGCTTAGTGGTAGAGTGCTCACCTAAGATGCATGTAGCCCCAAGTTCAATTCCTCAGCACCACACACACACAAAAAGCTAGAAGTGGCACTGTGGCTCAAGTGGTAGAGTGCTAGCTTTGAGCAAAAAAAAGCTCAGGGAGGGCTGGGAAGGTGGCTCAGTGGTAGAGCGTTTGCCTTGCATTCATGAGGCCCTGAGTTCGATTCCTCAGCACCACATAAGCTAAAAGAAAAAAGCCGGAAGTGACACTGTGGCTCAAGTGGTAGAGCGCTAGCCTTGAGCTAAAGAGCTGAAGGACAGCGCTCAGGCCCAGAGTTCAAGCTCCATGACCGGACCCCAAAAAAAAGAGAGAAATGATTAAGCAAATAGTGATATAGCCATACAGTGGAATATAATTTGGTCATTAAAACAAACTATAAAAAAAAAATTAAAAAAAAAAAAGCTCAGGGACAGCACCAGGCCTTAAGTTCAAGCCCCAAGACCAGCAACCCTCCCACCCCCCAAAAATGCTCATTACTAGCCTAGGATGTGCAGACAGGCTGACACACAGTTACCTTCCCAGACCCACACAAGTTCAAAAGCTAAGACACGCCAGGTGCCGGTGGCTTATGCCTGCAATCCTAGCTACTCAGGAGACTGAGATCTGAGGATCATGGTTCAAAGCCAGCCCAGGCAGGGAAGTCTGTGAGACTCTTATTTCCAATAAACCACTAGAAAACTGGTAGTTGCACTGTGTCACAAGTGGTAGAGAACTAGCCTTGAGCTGAAGAGCTGAGGGACAGCACTCAGGCCCAGAGTTCAAGCCCCACGACTGACCAATAAAAAAAAAAAAAAAAAAAAAGCTAAGGCACACAGCTGCGCACATTTATATATACCATCCCAAAGACACATGAATTTGGAATCAGATCTAGAGAACCAGAGGTAGGCAGGGCTTGTACAGGTATACGTGGAGGTGAGCAGGCCCATGTAGGCACACTAGCAGACATGCAAATAGCTCATGCAGAGCCATGGAACTCTAAAGCACAGATCTTTGATCATAGTCATCCAAAATCTATCAAGACAATATCTTACAGCCAGACACCAATAACCTTTTGAGATGATACAAGTCCTCTGCCCACAGGGAGAACCTGGAGACCCCGGAGAAGACGGGAGAAAGGTAAAATCTCTTCCCCTGGGATCTATTCTTGGCCTTGGCTTAGGCTGTGTCTTTTTAAAAAAAAAAAAGCCTTTTTCTTCCTTAGGGAGAGAAGGGAGATGCAGGTGCCCCTGGGAGAGAAGTGAGTGGCCAGAATTTTTTGAGCCCCAATCTTGACCCTATGAGTTGACTGCATTCTTTCCTGGGTCTCTGGGGATGCCGACCTGATGCCTACCACATCCTCCACAGGGTCACGAAGGCCCCAAAGGAGAGCGTGGAGCGCCCGGTAGCCCTGGACTCCAGGGCCCTCCGGGTGTCCCGGGACAGGTTGGCCCTCCCGGCCAGGTGAGTGGCCAGAGTAGTTCCAATCGGAAGATACAGTGGGGTACCACAATCCTGTGTGACCCTTTTCCCTTCTGTCCTATCTCAGGGCTTTCCCGGTGTCCCAGGAAACATAGGTCCCAAGGTAAGTGTGTAAATATTAGATGAGGGGGTATGGTAGATAAAAGTCTGTGGACATTTTTTCCTCTGATTCTTTTTTTTTTTTTTTTGTCCAGTCCTGGAGCTTGAACTCAGGGCCTGGACACTGGCCCTGAGCTTTTTTTTTGCTCAAGGATAGAACTCTACCACTTGAGTCACAGCACTGCTTCCGGTCTTTTCTGTGTATATGTGGTACTGAGGACTCGAACCTGGGGCTTCATGCATGCTAGGCAAACACTCTACCTTCCCAGTCCTTCTCTGATTATTCTTTGCCTTCAGGGTGACCGTGGCGAGACTGGATCCAAAGGGGAACAGGTGAGGCCTCCCATCTTATATACTTATCCAGGTTGCTATAGGAACCCCTTGTGTCACCCCCCCCCCCCACCTCCCCAACTGGGTCTTGTGGCCCATCATTTGATCTTTCCAGGGCCTTCGTGGGGAACGCGGTCTTAGAGGAGAACCTGGGAGCGTGGCGGTGAGCCAGCCCTGGAACCTGGTCCTTCATGGGAATCTGCATGTCCCTTGGAGCTACCTGTCCAGCCCATTCCCCTCCCACGGGCTCCTCTGTGCCCCATTCCTTGTCCCACTGGCATTCCCCTAGAGCCTTACTCACAGGAACCTGAGTGTGTATGGGGGGCCATGCTGGGGAGGCTGCTAGCGGCCGCCTCAACCCCAACTTCAGCAGAGGGCCAAGGAAGGTGCTGGACAAGAGGGTGTGAATGAAGTCTGTTTCTGGGAAGCAGGGGCTTTTCTTTCGTGGGCACCCATTCACCATCCTTGTATCCCCAGAATGTAGAGCGGTGGCTGGAAACAGTTGGCATCAAGGTGAGTTATTGAAGTTGCTGGGGTGAGGAGCAGATAGGGGCTCCGTGGGGGGAGGGGAAGCAACTGGCACCCATAAGGCCCCCCCCCCACCTCCCCGGAGGAGTACGTGACTGGAATCCCGTTCCTCTGTCCTCTCACTACTCATCAGGCCTCTGCTCTGAGGGAGATAGTGGAGACCTGGGATGAGAGTTCTGGAAGTTTCCTGCCTGTACCTGAACGACACCGTGGTCCCAAGGGAAACCCAGGCGAGCCGGGTCTGCCAGGCAAAGATGTGAGCGAGTGGGCTGTTTGGCCTGTGGAGGGCGGGGTTATTCAGCCCCCTGGCGTTCATTCCACTCATCCATTCGTTCTGCTTTCTTCAGGGCTCCATTGGTTTTCCTGGTGAACGGGGGCTGAAGGGCGATCAGGGAGCCCCTGGCCCCCAGGGGCCTCCTGGCCTGGCTTTTGGAGAGAGGGGACCCCCAGGACCTCCCGGCCTTGCTGGGGAACCCGGAAAGCCTGGCATTCCTGGGCTCCCTGGCCAGGCTGGGACTACAGGAGAGGCAGGAAGGCCAGGAGAAAGGGTGAGTCTGAGAGGCTGACTGGAAGGGCCGGGGACGTGGGGTCCGGAAGTGGGACATCCGTAGTGGAGACCTCACCCTGACCTCTCCGTTGGATTTCAGGGAGAACGAGGAGAGAAGGGAGAACGAGGAGAACAGGTGAGCCGGGTGAGTCTCCACAAGGCGGGAGCCGATCGGAAACCATGCGCACACAAGCCAGCAGATTTTCTTTTCTGCAGGGCAGAGATGGCCTTCCTGGCCCCCCGGGTCTACCTGGTCCTCCTGGCCCCAAGGTAATCACGGGGGGGGGGGGAGCTGTCTACCTTTAGCTCAGACCCTAGAAATCCCATGACCTTCGTGATCTACAACCATGCCCTCCATGCCCCTCTGACGCCCTCACCCATGACCTTGTGCTCACAGGTGGCCACGGATGAGGCAGATCCTGGACTCTTGGGAAAACAAGGACCCCCTGGACCCAAGGGTGCTAAGGTCAGTGTAGGCTTGGCCTGTGGACCACGCCCTTCCGTGTCACTAGGGCCTGATTGACATCTAATCCATTCAGGGGGATCCCGGCAGCGATGGTGACCGAGGCACCAAAGGAGACAGCGTGAGGTCCCCATCCCACTGTTTCTCCTCCTCTGTGGGGGCTACTAGAGAGCGGGGCACACTTGACAGGAATCAGGGGCTCAGGATGGGACATTGTGCTTGCAGGGCATGCCGGGCATCAAGGGAGACCAAGGCGAGCCTGGACAGAGAGGTCTCAACGGCAGCCCGGTGAGTCCTTGTCCCCCTGTGCCATGCACAGGTGAGAAGATGGCTCTTACACGGGTTCTTCTCTGCTCAGCACTGCCTGGGACCCTCCAAGGCCTGCCTTCAGCTGTCTAGAGTTGTGGTTGGTGGATGGAGGAGAAGTTGGGGTTGGGGTATAAAGGCAGGATGGTCTTAGATCTGTTCTCTACAGGGCTTACCAGGAGAACGTGGTATAGCTGGGCCTGAAGGGAAACAGGTGAGTGGGGACATGAGCCTGGGATTGTGTGTGTGTGTGTGTGTGTGTGTGTGTGTGTGTGTGTGTAGTCTTTTTTGTTGTTGTTGTTGTCAGTCCTGGGGCTTGAACTCTGGGCTTGAGCACTGTCCCTCCCCTCTTCAGCTCAAGGTGAGCACTTTACCACTTGAGCCACAGCACCACTTCCAGTTTTTTTTAGTGATTTATTGGAGATAAGAGTCACAGACTTTTCTGCCTGAGCTGGCTTTGAATCATGATCCTCAGATCTCAGCCTCCTGAATAGCTAGGATGACAAGCGTGAGCCACTGGTGCCCGGCTATCTGTGGTCTTTGTATGAGCATGTTGTGTGTGAGCATGTCTGTCTTTGTTTTTTGTGTGTGGATGTGCATGAGCATGTATGTGTATCTTTCTTCGGTTTTTGTGTGTGCATTTGTGTAGGTGTGTGAGCATGTGTGTGTCTGTCTTTGGTCTTTGTGCATGTGTGTGTGTGTGTTCCTTAGGGTACTGATTCCGTACCTCCATGCACAGGTGTGGACCCAGTACATAATGCCTGATAGGGGTTTACTCGTGTGTGTGTGTGTGTGTGTGTGTGTGTGTGTGTGTGTGTGCATGCGCATGCGCACACATGTATGTGGGTGCAGACCCCTATATGGGGACAGTCTACAGATATAGGGCGATCTGGACCTGGGACATTGGGAATGTGGAAAAGGGCTTCCTCAGCACAGGTTCCCAGAATGTGGTAACAAGCCCAAGCACAGTCTAGATCAAGGGTCATCAATCATTTCTCTATGCAGGGTCTGCAGGGCCCGAGGGGCGCCCCCGGCCCAGCGGTGAGTACCCAAGCACCCTTGCTTCACCCAAGCCCAGCCTTTGTCCAGCCTTACTGAGCGATTCCCCCATGAGGTGAGACTCACTCCTTTCATCAGACTGTCCCCAACAGGGTGGGCATGGAGACCCTGGACCGCCGGGTGCCCCGGTGAGTGATGGGGAAACATTTCCTGGTGGGGGTACGGGAAGGGTAGAATGGGCATCGGTCACTGCTGATGAACTGAGCCTTGTTCATGTGAATCCCTGGGCTCAGGCAGATAATGCCAACTTTTATCCCCTGCTACTACTTTTCTCTAGGGTCTTGCCGGTCCTGCAGGACCCCAGGGACCTTCTGGCCTGAAGGTGGGTATGGGCACACGTGGGAGGGGAGGTGTACGTGAGCAGCGACGGAGGTGGCTCCTTTTTCTTTTCTTTTTTCCTTTTTTTTTTGCGATCATGGGGTTTGAACTCAGGACTCGGGCGCCATCTTTGATCCTTCTTTCTTAAGGCTAGTGTTTTCTGATGGCTCATTGGAGATAGTCTCATGGCCTTTTCTGGCTGGCTTTGAACCGTGATCCTCAGATCTCAGCTTTCTGAGGACCTAGGATGCCAGGTGTGAGCCACCAGCACCTGGCTGGGGTGGCTCCTTTGACCCCTGTCCACAGCCAGGGTAACATCTGCCCACTTGTGGGATGGAAACTCAGGCACCCGTCTATGTGGGCTCTGCTCATACAGCTCTGGGTTCTTTGCAGGGGGAGCCTGGAGAGACGGGACCCCCAGGCCGGGTGAGTAGCTTGGCAAGTGGGGGAGGGTCGCAGAGAAACGGGTAGGGGCTCACACCGCCCTGCACTCATTCTGCTTCCAGGGCCTTCCTGGACCTACTGGAGCTGTGGGACTGCCTGGTCCCCCAGGTCCCCCAGGCCTCGTGGTGAGTAGCTGTGACCCCATCAATGATGCCATATTCCCAGTCTGCACCCCCCTGCCCCCCCCAACCAGGTTCCCCATGCTCCCCATGTCCTCCTTTGTCCTGGCCTGGTGTCACCTTTCACATCTTTTCCATCTTCAGGGTCCTCAGGGGTCACCAGGTTTGCCTGGACAAGTGGTAAGTTTGGACAATCTGACCTGGGCTCCAGAGGGGTCAAAGGTCAGCCAGGCCGTTCCTCCCCTGAGCTCTCTCGTCTTAGGGGGAGACTGGGAAGCCAGGAGCCCCAGGTCGCGACGGGACCAGTGGAAAGGATGGAGACAGAGGAAGCCCCGGGGTGCCGGTAACACGTTCTAGGGGATGCTTGTAGCGTCTGGAGATGAGAAGTGGGCGGCTGGGGACAAGATGGCAGATTTGAGAAGTGGGTGGCTGGGGACAAGATGGTGGAATGGCTCTTAAGTGCCTCACGTTACCCTGCCACAGGGATCTCCAGGTCTACCAGGCCCCGTTGGACCTAAAGGAGAACCTGGACCCATAGGGGCCCCTGGACAGGTGACCTTTGACCTTTGACTCTTACCCCCCCCCCCCCCCCCGCCCCAGCCTGTTTCTACATCCCATCTAAAATGACCCCATTTCACAGGCAGTGGTTGGACTTCCTGGAGCAAAAGGAGAGAAGGTGAGTAAATGCAGAGGCCTGGGAGGAGAGGCCAAGAATTGGTGGGGGAGCGGGGGACCAAGGAATCCCATTGCGCCCTCTTCCTTCTCAGGGAGCCCCGGGAGACCTTGCTGGAGACCTACTGGGGGAGCCGGTGAGTGTGACCCCCTGCGTCACCCACACTTATGACCCTCCATTTACCTCCTTGGACCCCAGCCTCCCGCCTCTCCCTCCTTGAGTCTCTGTCTGTCTGTGATGGATGCCTCTGTCGCCTCCCTCCCGTGCATCTATAGGGGGCCAAAGGAGACCGGGGACTGCCAGGGCCAAGGGGCGAGAAGGTGAGTGTGCCAGCCACACTGAGGCGTGAGCACTGAGCAGAGAGGAGGAGGCTTGAGAAGCCAGATGCCCTCATTGATGCCTTCTCTACAGGGTGAAGCTGGCCGGGCAGGAGAGCCGGGAGACCCCGGGGAAGACGTGAGTCTGAGGTCCGGGCAGGTCCAAGCTTGGCTTGACAACTTCGATTGTTTGCCAGGCCGCTGGTGGTTCACACCTGTCATCCCAGCCACTCAGGAGGCTGAGATCTAAGGATCATAGTTCAAAGCCAGCCCGGGCAGGAAAGTCCAGGAAACCTATCTCCGATAAAAACTGGAAGTGGCCCTGTAGTTCAAAGCAGTAAATCGCTAGCCTTGAGCAAAAAAGCTCAGGGACAGAGTCCTGGCCCTGAGTTCAAGCCCCATAACAGACAAAAAAAAAAGAAGAAAAGAAAAGAAAAGGCTGGAAAGGTGGCTCCATGATAGAGTGCTTACCTCCCATGCATGAGGCCCTGGGTTCGATTCCGCAGCACCACATAAGCAGAAAAAGCTGGAAGTGGCACTGTGGCTCAAGTGGTAGAGCGCTAGCCTTGAGCTGAAGAGCTGAGGGACAGCGCCCAGAGTTAAGGCCCTACAACCAACCAAAAAACAAACAAACAAAAAACAGAAAAGAAAAGAAATGTGATTGTGGGCAAAATAAACCCATTCACATCTGAACCCCTGCCTTTGGCTACCTGTTCCCACATATCCGGATCCCTATACCTGTGTTCACCCCTAAACTACCATGAATCTCTGGTCACATGGAAACTTTCCCTCAGTCTATGCCCTCAAAACCCAGGAGTCATGTCTTTCTGAGTCCTTGTTTATTATCCTACCCTCTTAAATGCTATTTATTTATTTATTTTAGGGTCAAAAAGGGGCTCCCGGACTTAAAGGTCACAAGGTACATTGAGCTGGAAGGTTCCTTACTGAGGTTCTGGGTCTGAGACTCTGTGACCCTGATAAGACCCCCCTTTTTGCCTTTAAAGGGTGACCCAGGAGTTGGGATCCAAGGTCCCCCTGGATTATCTGGTCCTCCAGGTATGAAGGTGAGTCTGAGTCCTATTACCAGTGGGGAGAACTATGGGGAGGGCAGCCCCTGGTGATGGGAAGAAGAGGGAATTCTGGGACAAGTCTTGGGAAGGACTTCTAATAGTGGCTGCTCCTTGCATTTTTTTATTTCAGGGAGACCCAGGCCCTCCCGGCCCTCCGGGAGCTCCTGGTATTGTCGGCTTCCCTGGTCAGACAGGTCCTCGAGGAGAAACGGGCCAGCCGGGCCCCGTTGGCGAGCGGGTAAGGGGCTGAAAATGGCATATGGGAACTTGGTGGGATAGCGCCCAGGCCCAGAGTTCAAGCCTAATGACTAAGAACTGAATCTGAGCTGGGCTGGTGGTGGCTCACGCCTATCAGCCTAACTTCCTCAGAAAGCTGAGTTCTAAGGATTGTGGTTCAAAATCAGGCTGGGCAGGAAAGTCCGTGAGACTTTTATCTCCAATAAACCACCAGAAAACTGGAAGTGGCGCTGTGGCTCAAGTGGTAAAGTGCTCACCTTGAGCTGAAGAGCTCAGGGCCAGTGCCCAGGCCGTGAGTTCAAGCCCTAAAACCAACAACAATAACAACAAAAAAAACCAGACCTGAATGTGGTCGTAGGGGAGGAGGAAGGGACTCAGGCCTTGCCTCAGTCTTGAGGAAGATAGAGGCTCCCCAAGGAACTCTCTGCCTCCTTCATCCTGTTTTTCCCATAGGGCCTGGCAGGCCCTCCGGGGAGAGAAGGCCCCCCAGGTTCTTTGGGGCCATCTGGACCACCAGGATCAGTGGTGAGTAGAGGCACGCAATGTCTGTGAGTCTGTCCACATGAGGAATGATGGTGGGAACTAGGGTCAGGCTGTGGGGCTGCTTGTATGGGGTTCAAGGGTCCTCAGTTTGTTCTGACCCACAGGGAGCCCCTGGGGTCTCTGGACTCAAAGGAGACAAGGTAAGATGGACCGTGCTTGGCCACCTTCTCCTGTGCCCCTGTCATCCCCTCCCATGACCCTCTGTCCCCAACCCAGTCCCCTTACTGATCCCCGATGTGCTGTTGATCTTCAGGGAGACCCCGGAGTGGGGCCGCCTGGGCCCCGAGGGGAGCGTGGAGAGCCAGGCATCCGGGTACGTACACCCAAGCCACCTCTGGGGAGCCTTACAACAGCTCTCGCCTTGGATCGCCAGGCTGAGTCGGGGAACCTAATCTCACTCTCTAGGGTGAAGATGGCCACCCAGGACAAGAAGGACCCCGCGGACTCACGGTGGGTCACACCGTGTGGTGTGAAGTCAATCCCCTTCTTGTCCCCTTTGGGCCCTTGGGATTCTCTATAGTGTGCCCCAGAACTTGTGTTCTTGTCTGCTCTGGCCTCCCCCACACACACCCCGTTCTCCCCTCTCTCTTTCTTCCCCGGCCCGCTTTGCTGCCTTCTCACGAGGCTCCCCCAAGCTCCCATAGCTCACAGTCATCTTCTTTCACACAGGGACCACCCGGCAGCCGGGGTGATCGAGGGGAGAAGGTAAGAAGGTGGGAGAATGGGCTTTGAGATGAACAGCAGTGGGGATGGATCTTATAACTCCAAAGTGGGTGTTACCGGGTGCAGTGGCTCACATCTGTCATCCTAGCTACTCAGGAGACTGAGATCTGAGGATTGTGGTTTGAAGCCAGCCCGGGCAGAAAAGTCTTATCTCCAGTAAACCACCTGAAAATTGGAAGTGATGCTGTGGCAAAAGTGGTAGAGCGCTAGCCTTGAGCACAAAGAGGCTCAGGGACAGCACCCAGGCTCTGAGTTCAAGCCCCAAAATGGTTTAAAAAGAAAAAAAGAAGTGAGGTGTCTCCAGCTTGGATGAGACTCATACTCTTCCTCCCACCAGGGTGATGCTGGCGTGGCAGGGCTGAAGGGTGACAAGGTGAGTATGGCTGTCGGGTAGAAGGAGACTGGGGCGTTCCCGACTCCTTTGACGCTCCCTGCTCCTCAGGGTGACTCGGCTGTGATCGTGGGGCCTCCGGGAATTCCGGGTGCCAAAGGGGACACGGTGAGTGAGTCAAATTCCTATGCGAACTGCGTTTCCCTCCAGTGGCAGGCAGGTCTTCTGTGGACCCTGGCCAGCCCCCTCTCCCCCCAACCCCAGAAGTTAGGGGCCTCCGGCCTCTGACTTCAGCTTCCAACCCCCGACTCAGGGTGAACGAGGACCTCGGGGCATAGATGGTGACAAAGGATCTCGGGGTGATGTCGGGGACCCTGGTGACAAGGTACGAGGTGACAAGGGAAGAGGGTGGGGTGCTACATACCCCGACTCGCCTGGGATCAGAGGGAAGGCTGGAGAAATGGGGGCTTTCGTGAGGACTCTCCGGCCTTGAGATGAGGACAGGAGGGGAATCTCTGTGAGGATCTGTGGGGTTTTAGGGGTGGTCCACATGAAGTTAGGGGCCCAACATAAGAAAAGGGAAGAGTCTGGCGATCCCCCAGTGAGCTATGAGCTGTTTTTCCATGCATCATGACCCCAGTTCAACTCCACTGTTCCATATCCCCTGGGGACAGGAAGTGGAGGTGACATACAAGCTCCGCCTCCACCTGGCTGGTTCCCGCCCTACTAGCCTGGTCAGGGTCCTGACTGTCCCTCTGCCATCATTCCCACAGGGCACCAAAGGAGAACCTGGCAACAAGGGCTCGGCTGGACCAGTGGGAGCTCGTGGATTCATGGGACCCAAGGCAAGCCCTGCCCCAGACAGACACTCACGTCTGTCTGTTCCTGGGTGTGTGTTGGTTAGACCCTGGAGAGTTCAAGGTCCCTCAGTGTTGGCCACAGAGATCCCGTGTGCAACCTGTCCCTGATCACGGGGTCACCTAGGGGGTGCTCATGCAGGAAGGCCAGCATGGAGCAGTCACATTGAAGGATTTCCCCACTAACTTGTGTTTCCCACAGGGGGAGCCTGGTGCTACAGGAATCCCTGGTGACCCGGTAAGATGCCTCCATCCCCACGATGGTCCTGCCCATGTAACCTTTGACCTTATGGCCCCCCAAAGGCTCATGGTATTTTCCTATGGCCTGGGAACTTCCATCTCCATAGGAATGCCCCTAATGATGTCCACCACCTATAGTGGGCTCAACCCCATGGCCAACCCTGCCCTTCTTGGGCCTCTTCCATGATGATTGTCCGCCATTGACCTCTTTCCTCCCAGGGAGCCCCAGGAAAGGACGGAGCCCCCGGTTTCCGAGGAGACAAAGGAGACCCTGGCTTCATGGGTCCCCGGGGCTTCAAGGTGGGGAAGGGACCGGGTTTGTTCATTTGTTGTTGTTTGTCTGCTCAGGAAGACCTGGTTTGGGAAGGGAAGGGATCTGGGGCTAGGTGTGAGGTATCTGGGGGTGAAGGTGGAATGCTAGGTAAGATCAGAGGGTTGGTTTTAGGCACAAGGGCTCGTGAAAGTAAGGTGTTTGGAAGTTAATTTCTCCCCATTTTTTTTCTCCCTCAGGGTGAGCGGGGAGTAAAGGGAGCCTGCGGCCTTGATGGAGAAAAGGGAGACAAGGTACAGATGGAGAAAAAGGAGACAAGGAGCTGTGGGGACTATGAGGCCCGAAACCTATGGCTAACTTTCGACTTGATATTCACAGGGAGAAGCTGGTCTCCCGGGCCGGCCTGGGCTGGCAGGACGGAAAGGAGAGTTGGTGAGTGAGGGGCACACATAGGATAAAAGGGTAGCTGTCTGCTGGTGGTGCACACCTGTAATCCCAGCGACTCCAGAGGCTGAGATTTGAGGATGGCAGTTCAAAGCCAGCCTGGGCAGGAAAGTCTGTGAGACTCTCATCTCCAGTGAACCACCAGAAAACCAGAAGTGGAACTGTGGCTCAAAGTGGTAGTGTGCTAGCCTTGAACAGAAGAGTTCAGGGACAGTGCCCAGGCTCTGAGTTCAAGCCTCAAGACTGACAAAAAAGAGCCAGGTGCTGGTGGCTCATGCCTATAATCCTAGCTACACAGGAGGCTGAGATCTGAGGATCACGGTTCCAAGCGAGCCCTGGCAGGAAAAGTCCATGAGACTCCTATCTCCCAACAAGCCACCAGAAAACTGGAAGTGGTACTGTGGCTTAAGTGGTAGAGCTCTTGCTTTGAGCTGAAGAGCTGAGGGACAGTGCCCAGGCCCAGAGTTCAAGCCCCAGGATCAACAACAAAAAATCAAAACAAAAAGACTGACCAAAAAAAAAATAAAAAAGAATACGAAAAGAAAGAAAGAAGGGGGTATGGGCTGGGAGTGTGGCTTAGTGGCAGAGTGCTTGCCTAGTATGCATGAAGCCCTGGGTTGGATTCCTCAGTACCACACCAACAGAAAAAGCCAGAAGTGGCGCTGTGGCTCATGTGGTAGAGTGCTAGCCTTCAGCAAAAAAAAGCTCAGGGACAGTGCTTAGGCTCTGAGTTCAAGCCCCCGGACCGGCCAAAAAAAAAAAGGGGGAGGAGGGCAGGTGAGTCAGGCTTAAGTTCATGTTCTCTTTTTCTCCAGGGGGAGCCTGGTGTGCCAGGCCAATCCGGGGCTCCTGGCAAGGAAGGCTTGATGGGTCCCAAGGTAGGGTCTCTTAAGAGAGGACATGGTGGGAGCTTGGGAGAGGGCAGGGAAGACACAATGGGGTGGTGAAGGTTTAGGGTCAAGGGAGGCGGGGTTGGGACTGGTATGGTATGTGGCTGGTCTGGAGGTTCCAGGCAAGGGTGAATCACAGTGGAGAATGGGGGTGGCAAGGTGGAAGGAGGGGAAGAGGCATCAGAGCAGGAGGTTGCCGGGCACTGGCAGCTCCCGCCTGTAATCCTAGCTACTCAGGGATCTGAGATCTAAAGACTGCAGTTCTAAGTCAGCCTGGGCAGAAAAGTCCCCATGAGACTCTTATCTCCAATGAACCACTCAAAAACTGGAAGTGGCGCTGTGGTTCAAAGTGGTAGAGTGCTAGCCTTGAGCAAAAGAGCTCAGGGACAGCGCCCAGGCCATGAGTTCAAGCCCCACAACTGACCAAAAAAAAAAAAAAAAAGGGAAGGAGAAGGGGGGCATGTAGACACCAGAGCAGAGGGGTTATAGCGGGGTGTGGTATCACTGGATCATAATCTGTGGGGGTCTCTTGGATGTCCAAAGAGGTATAGGAGCTGTAGGAAGTCAGGGTGTCTCTCGGGCTTCTTCGTTCCCAGGGTGACCGAGGCTTTGATGGGCTACTGGGCCCCAAAGGTGACCAGGGCGAAAAAGGGGAGCGGGTAAGTTAAGGTCAAGGTTTGATGAGTCGAGGAGAACATGCTCTTCGGGAGTGGGTTCGTCTTTGTGGAAGACTCTGCTCACTGCCTCTGTCCTGTCTCTTCCCAGGGGCCCCCAGGAATTGGGGGTTTTCCAGGACCCAAAGGCAGTGATGGTTCTAGTGGTCCCCCAGGGCCCCCTGGGAGTATTGGTCCCAAAGGGCCCGAAGGACTTCAGGGCCAGAAGGTAAGAGTTCCCAACTCTGAGTCCTGACCCCTAAACCACCCTGCTGTCTTCCTTCATTCCTTCTTCCCTTCCCTTCCTTCCCTTCCTCCCTCCCTCCTACCCTCCTTCCCTCCTTCCCTCCCTCCCTCCTACCCTCCCTCCTTCCCTCCCACCCTTCCTCCTTCCCTCCTTCCCTCCCACCCTTCCTTCCTTCCGTCCTTCCTGAGCTGAGAATTAAATGCAGTGTCTCATCTCACATATGCCATGCTCACATACCCCCTACTGAGCTATACCCAAGCCTTCCTCCCACCCCGTATACCCATCTAACTCCTGGACTTATCCCCCCAGCCCCCCCACAACTCCTTAAGCTGTGACCCCCCCCAACTTTTCTGACCTCTGATCTTCACCGTCCCTCCCCCTATTCACTTGATCCCTTTTGTGACTGACAGGGTGAGCGAGGGCCCCCTGGGGAGAGTGTGATGGGGTCCCCTGGAGCTCCTGGGACCCCCGGTGAGAGAGGGGAGCAGGTGAGTGGGAATTCCCGCGCTTGCAGTTAAAAATGCAGCTGACCTCCGGTGTCGGCGAGACCTGAAGTCCTATCTTTTGCCCATAGGGACGGCCAGGGCCCACTGGGCCCCGTGGCGAGAAGGGAGAGGCCGCACTGACGGTGAGTTTGGGTCTGGGTGGGTTGAAGCCCTGAGCCCACACCCCTTGCCTTGACCCCCCAGGGTCCTGGCTTGATGTGGTGGGGTCTGTCCTGGATCCGCGTTTGTATGTGTCCTGTGTCACTTCCATGACTCATGGATTCTCAGTGATCCTCGTGGTCTTGTGTTCCCAGGAGGATGACATCCGGGGCTTTGTGCGTCAGGAGATGAGTCAGCATTGTGGTGAGTGGGTTGGGGGGAGGGGGGGAGGGGGAAGGGGGGTGCCTCTTGGGTTTTATCCCCTTCTTCATCCCAGCACACCTAGCTATAGACCTACAGAACTTACGGAGAATCAGAGTTGAGGAGACAAGTGCAGATGCTTTACAAGACATCCAAGTTGTAGAACAGACGAGCGGACGGAAAGTTCCTCAGGGAAGGAGACACATAGGCAGATGTTGGGGGCTGTGGATGGATCCAGATGTTCAGGATGACTCTGCGTGTGTGTGTGTGTGTGTGTGTGTGTGTGTGTGTGTGTGTGCATGAAGCTGCACCCCCAACTTTTTTTTTAAATCAGTCATGGAGCTTGAACTCAGGGCTTGGGTGCTGTCCCTGAGCTTTTGTTCTCAAGGCTAATGCTCTACCACCTTGAGCCACAGCTCCTCATCTGGTTTTCTGGTGGTTCATTGGAGATAAGAGTCTCACGGACTTTCCTGCCAGCCCAGGCTTTGAACTGTGATCCTTACATCACAGCCTCCTGAGTAGCTAGGATGAGAGGCATGAGCCATCGGCGCCTGGCTCCCAACTTCTTATTTCCATTGCTTCTCTGATTTTCTTCCTCTCTTCCTTCCCTCCCTCTCTCCCTGTTCTGGTCTTATTTTTTTTTTTTCTATTACTTTCTCTCCTGTTGTCTCTGTATATTTTTTTCTTCTTCCTCTCTCTCTCTCTCTTTTCCCTCTCTTTTTCTTTTTGCCAGTCCTGGGGCTTGAACTCAGGGTCCAGGCACTGTCCCTGAGCTTCTTTTGTCAAGGCTAGCACTCCACTACTTGAGAGCCATGGCGCCACTTCCAGCTTTTTCTGCTTATGTGATACTAAGGAGTGGAACCCAAGGCTTCTTGCATGCTAGGCAAGCACTCTACCATGAAGCCACATTCCCAGCCCTGTCTCTTTATATTCCACCTGCACCCATCAGTCTCTGTCTCTGTGCATCTCTGTCTCTGTCTTTCTCTGCGCCAGTATTGGGCACTATCCCTGAGCTTTTTCACTCAAGGCTGGTACTCTACCACTCGAGCCACATCTCCACTTCTAGCTTTTTTGGTGGTTCCTTGGAGATAAGAGTCTCGTAGACTTTCCCTAGGCCCCAGGCTGCCTTCAGACCACGATCCTCAGATCTCAGCCTCCTGAGTAGCCAAAATGACAGGCGTGAGCCACTGGCACCTAGCTCCTCATTCCTCTTGGTCTCTCCCTCATTGTTGCTCTCTCTTTCCTCCTCTTCCCCTCCAGCCTGCCAGGGCCAGTTTATTGCATCTGGATCACGTGAGTAGTTTTCTGGGCCCAGAACTTTCTTCACCCTAGGCTCAGCCCTATCCATCACCTGGGTTGGGGGGGGGGGGTGGTGCCTGGGTTGGAGTGAGTAGCCATCCATGGTGACCCATCTCTTACTCTGCGCTACAGGACCCCTGTCTGGTTATGCCGCAGACATGGCTGGTCCCCAACTCCACCGGGTACCTGTGCTCCGGGTCTCTCACGTAGAGGACGAAGGTGAGGATGAGCAGGCCTGAGTGCAGAGCGCACGCCTTGTACTTAGGGCTCACACGTGTGGAGTGGTCAGAGCCGTCCATCCTGCCCTGGGTGGGGTGGGGGTGAGGATGACAGCACGATGCACCCCACTTACAGGCCAGGTGCCCCCCGAAGACGACGAACTCTCTGACTACTCTGAATATTCTGTAGAAGACTACCAGGATCCTGAAGTCCCTTGGGATGACGATGGTGAGGACAAGGGCTGGGCAGAGAGGGTCATGGGGTGCAGGTCAGCCCTGACCTCTTACGGACCCCCAGGTCTCTGCGAGTCCCATGGTTCCTGCCCATCTGATCTCCATTATTCCCAGACCCCTGCTCCCTGCCCCTGGACGAGGGCTCGTGCACCGCCTATACCCTCCGCTGGTACCATCGAGCTGTGCCAGGTGGCACAGCTTGTCACCCCTTTGTCTACGGCGGTTGCGAAGGGAATGCCAACCGTTTTGGGACCCGTGAGGCCTGTGAGCGCCGTTGCCCACCACGGGGGATCCAGGGCCAGAGAACAGGTAGGAACCTGGCTCTACTTCATCAGGGGACTTGCTCTCAGATAGGAGAACTCCAGATCACACAGAATCAAAGAACTGGATACAAGCCAGGCACCAGTGACTCACACCTGTGATCCTAGCTACTCCAGAGGATGAGATCTAAGGATCTTAACTGGGCAGGAAGATCCGTGAGACTCTTAGCTCCAAATAACAACCAAAAAGCCAGAGGTGGAGCTGTGGCTCAAATAGAGTGCTGGTCTTTTTAAAATTTTATTTATTTATTTGCTTTTGCCAGTCCTGGGGCTTGAACACAGGGCCTGGGCACTGTCCCTGAGCTTCTTTTGCTCAAGGCTAGTACTCAACCATTTGAACCACAGTGCCATTTCCAGCTTTTTATACTTATGTGGTACTAAGGAATCGAACCCAGGGCTTCATGCGTGTTAGGCAAGCACTCTACCACTAAGCTACTTCCCAACCCTAGAGTACCAGTCTTGAGTGCAAAAGCTAAGGGACAGCTCCCAGGGTTGAAACCCAACTGACCAGATAAAATGCCTCAGCTATAGTGTTTCCGGTATGGTCTCTTTCCATATTCCTTTTTATTTATTTATTTATTTTGTTTTGTTTGGGGTATTTGGCAGTATTAGAACTTGGACTTAGGACCTCATGCTTGATAAGCAACTGCCATGTTCCCTTTGTATGAGACTTCTTTTCTTTCCTTCCTTCCTTCCTTCCTTCCTTTCTCTCTCTCTCTTTCTTTCTTTCTTTCTTTCTTTCTTTCTTTCTTTCTTTCTTTCTTTCTCTGTCGGTTGTGGGGCCTGAACTCTGGACCTGGCTGCTGTCCCTCAGTTCTTCAGCTCAGGGCTAGCACTCTACCACTAGAGTCACAACACCACTTCTGGATTTTTCTGCTTATGTGGTGCTAAGGAATCAAACCCAGGGCCTCATGCATGCAAGACAAGCACTCTACCACTGAGCCACCTTCCCAGCCCTTGTATGAGACTTCTGTCAGAATTTCTCTCCCTTTTGGCTGGCTTTTTATTTTTGAAGTGTGTGTGTGTGTGTGTGTGTGTGTGTGTGTGCACATGCATGCGCACACACACATGCATGCATGCACTTTATTACTGTCTTTTTTTTGTTTTTTGTTTGGTCTGTAGTAGGGCTTGAACTCAGGGCCTGGGCACTGTCTCTGAGCTCTTTTTGCTCAGTGCTAGCTCTTTACCACTTAGAGCCACTTCTGGTGTTCTGGTGGTCAGTAGCTAGGATCACGGGTATGTGAGCCACTGACACCTGATGGTCCTGGGTTTTAAACTCAGGCCCTGGGTTCTGTCCTTTTTCTCCTCCAAGTTGATGTTCTACCCCTTGAGCCATAGTTCTGCTTCAGGATTTTTGCCGGTTGATTGGAGCGAAGGTTCATGGATTTGTCTGCTGTGGCTGGCTTCAAACTACAATCCGCCCATCCCAGCCTCCTATGTAGGGAGGATTGGAAGGCATGAGCCACTGGCGCCCAGCTTTGCTTACACATTGAGTTGGAGGGTTGAAAACCATTTTCCCCATCTTCCCCCACTCAGGTGCTGCCTAAAGCTGAGGCCCAGATGATAATGATGATGGTGATGATGGTGATGATGGTGACGGTCAGCGTCCCCTGGAGACATCAGGGCTCAACAGGGCTCTCCTGTCTTCCACTTGGTGCTAGAGACCCACATGCCCATGAGCGAGTGTGTGTGTGTGTGTGTCCTGCGGGTCTAGCCTTCCCCCCAGAATGGACAAACCCCTATTGTGGCTCTTGCCTCCATGACAGATGACTCCTTGTGGGGGGCTGGAGGGAGGGGCTGTGGGCAGTGAACAGATGTGACTCTGCCTGACCCAAGCCTGTGATATTATGGTGCTGATTTGGGGGGGCGGGTATTAAAGCTGCTGTATTAAAAGGCCCTGGTTGTGACTTATTGGGGGGAGATCGGGGCCTGGGGGAGGGCAGGTTATTCCCTGGGGAGGGGTGGGTACGATCTCACATGAGTACAGAGGGCTGCTGCCTAGTCCCGATCCTGTCTGATGCCCTCAGTCCCTGGTCCCCTGAGAGTCGTTATGGTGGTAGCTGTGACGCCATACCCCCTGGGAGAGGATGAGTCACAGGTGAAAAGGGGGTGCTGCCTCATGCCAGGAAACAGGCCCAGCTCCCCCTCTAGGGGGCATTAGGGGAGATAAATAGCCGGGTAGAGGGTCAGAGAACATTGCCCGGCCCTGGCCCCAAGCGGCCCTAAATTATCTCCAGAGGACTCCAGCAGCGGTAGGATTGGGGTGGGGTGGGGATGGAGTCTTGGGTTGGATTGGCCAGGGGTCTGGGTGCGTGGAGATCTCTGGGCTCAGCAGGTTCTGGAGTGCTTCAAAGGCCCCTGATCCTGCCCTTCTTGCTGGAGAAGTTGCAAGATCTCTTGCTAAGAGTAGTGTCTGTTTTGTCCCTCTGGGTTTTTCCTCTTTCTCAGTCTCCAAATCTGTTTTTCTTTTTTGTTACATATTTGTTTCTTTGCTTTTAGATTAAGGTCTTGTGAGTTTCGGAGGCCAGCCCCTAGAACTCGCTCTATAGTGTAGGCTGGCCTCTAACTTCAAATCTTCCTACCTCAGCCTTACAAGGTGTACGCCACCATGCTTGACTTGTCTCTGAATGTTTATTTCCATCATTCCATCTGTCTTTAGGGGTAGTTTTTTGTTTTGTTTTGTTTTGCCAGTCCGAACTCAGGACCTGGGCACTGTCCCTGAGCTTCTTTGCCTCAAGGCTAGTGCTCTACCACTTGAGCCACAGCGCTACTTCTGGCTTTTTTTCTGTTGATGTGGTGCTGAGGAATCGGAACCGGGGCTTCATGCATGCTAGGTAAGCACTGTACCACTACGCCATACCCTCAGTCCTGGGAGTAGTTTCTATCTCCTCTTACCTTTTCCTTTGCTTCTGCCTCCATCTCATGGATCTCTCTCTTCTCTTCTTTATCCCTGACCTCTTTCTCAGTGTCTCTTTCTCTCTCCCTTTCTCTTTTCATTATTTCTGTCTTCCTGACCCTTTTTCTATCCAGCTATGTTGCAATTTTTTTCTGGCTTGCTTTATTTATTTTAATTATTTATTTACTGTACTGGGGTTTCAAGTCAGGGCTTCATACTTAACAGGCAGGCTCTCTACCACTTGAGCCATGCTTCCAGCCTCCCCTTTTTTTGCTTTAGTTATGTTTTGGATAGGATCTCATTTTTTCCACCAGGGCTACCTCTGACTGTGATTCCTTCTCCTTTTTTTTTTTTTTTTTTTGTCAGTCATGGGGCTTGAACTCTGGGCCTGGGTGCTGTCCTTTAGCTCTTCAGCTCAAGGCTAGTGCTCTACCACTTGAGCCACAGTGCCACTTTCCGGTTTTCTGGTGGTTTATTGGAGATAAGAGTCTCACAGACTTTTGTGCCCAGGCTGGCTTTGAACCGCGATCCTCAGATCTCAGCCTCCTGAGTAGCTAGGATTATAGGCGTGAGCCACCGGCACCCAGCTTTGATTCCTCCTTCTTATGCCTCCTGCACAGCTGGAATTAAAGGTATTTGCATCCGAGACTACTCCATAGAAGGCCTACAGGTCTGGGTTCCCTCATCTTAGGCTAGCACAAAAGCATGTGCCACCATACCCAACTCATATGCTAAGATGAGGTCTGGCTCACTTTTTTATTTTGCCAATTGTGGGGCCTGAATTCTGGGCCTGGGCACTGTCCCTCAGCTCTTCAGCTCAAGGCTAGCACTCTACCACTTGAGCCACAGCGCCACTTGTGGCTTTTTCTGCTTATATGGTGCTGAGGAATTGAACCCAGGGCCTCATGCATGCAAGGCAAGCACTCTACCACTGAACCACCTTCCCAACCCACCTCTTGCCCTCTGTATTCTCAGTGGACCAAGGTGGACCCCGCACCCCTTCCCTCACGCCTGTCTTCTCCTTACAGCCTGACTGCAGGATGACCAGATGCGTTTCCCTGGTGCTGATGGTGGTGTTGCTAGACAGGGTCCCGGCAGCCCTGGCAAGCCCTGTCCCAGCCTTCCAACCTTCCTCTGAGGACCATCCCCAGACTACGCCTTGTCCCATCACCTCGAAGAGCCCGTCGGTGGTCACCCGGAGCTCTTCAGTTTCCTGGAGTCACCCCGGCCCCCGCATGGTCTTCTCACTGGACGTCCCCCTTGGCCTCCTGCGGATTGTACTGGAACAAGCCCGGAGCAGGGCAGCCAGGGAGCGAGCCGCCGCCAACTCCCATGTTCTGGCCAGCGTGGGCCGTCGCTGAGCTTGAGCAGGTAGCTCAGAGTAAGGGGGGCAACCGGGGATGGGGAGAGCCTGGAACACAGCCCTAGAACAGGATGCCTGGGTAGAGAATATGTAGGTACCACCATAGTTTGGGGATACTGCCACATCACCTCTGGAGCAAAGGAGTGGCCTCATCAAGGTCACTGCTACCCAGAGCCTGGCCACACACCTATGTGTATCTCTGTACTGTGTTGTCGGAACTGCTTGGACCCTACCACACAAAGGCTGAGGCCATGTGGCAGGAGCCACGTCTGGATGCTTCTCCATGGTCTCAGGACAAAATGTCTCAAAACAAAATCGACAGAGAAAGTGAGGGGACATGAGATAAAATTAAGTGATCAAGTCTAGTACGTAAAACAGGGACCGTACAAATGAGTTTGCAGGAAGTGGCAGAGGTGGGTTTTTTTCGAAGAAATACTGGTGGGCTGGGAAGGTGGCTCAGTGGTACAGTGCTCACCTAGCCTACATGAAGCCCTGGGTTCGATTCTTCAGTACCATATCAACAGAGAAAGCCAGAAGTGGCGTTGTGGCTCAAGGGATAGAGTGCTAGCCTTGAGCCGAAGAAACTTCGGGACAATGATCAGGCCCTGAGTTCAAGCCCCAGGACGGGCAAAAAATTAAATTAAAAAACTAAAAAATAAAACTTGATGTATAGCTTCCTATTTTGGCTGGCCCATTCCTGCTAGAAGAGAGAAGATGGCAGCTAGAGCCAAAAGACTTCACAAGGGCTGGAGAAATAGGAAGAAACCCCACCACTTTTATAAGTTCCCTCCCCTTCTCAGGCCCCAGTTTCTTCTTGGTGTCCAGGAATGGTCAGAAAGTGAGCACAGATTCTAGACAAGTAGCCTGTGCCATCCGGTGGGGAGGAGAAAGTAGCTGTGGCCACATTCTTCCTATGGGGACACATATCTGATGTTCGAAACCAGCACTGTGACACATTCCTCCACTAGTTAGAAGTAAGGAGAATTTGGTTGCATTTAAGAGTGTGCTTGTAAGCCAGGGGCTGGTGGCTCACACCTGTAATCCTAGCTACTCAAGAAGCTGAGATCTAAGGATCTAAGTTGAAAGCCAGCCCAGGTAGAAAAATCCTTCTGAGACTCTTTTTTTTTTTTTTTTTTGGGTCCAGTCGTGGGGCCTGAACTCTGGGCCTGGGCGCTGGCCCTCAGCTCTTCAGCTCATGCCTAGCGCTCTACCACTTGGGCCACAGCACCACTTCCGGCTTTTTTCTTTTTGCTTATGTGGTGCTGAGGAATCGAACCCAGGGCCTCAGGCATGCAAGGCAAGCGCTCTACCATTGAGCCACCTTCCCAGCCCTCCCTGTGAGACTCTTATCTCCAATTAACCACTCAAAAACTGGAAGTGACCCTGTGGCTCATGTGGTAGAGTATTAGCCTTGAGTACAAAGAGGCTCATGGACTGTTCAAGTCCTGAGTTTAGGGCTGGGAAGGTGGCTCAGTGGTAGAGCGCTTGCCTTGAATGCCTGAGGCCCTGTGTTCAATTCCTCAGCACCACATAAGCAAAAAGAAAAAAGCCGGAAGTGGTGCTGTGGCTCAAGTGGTAGAGCGCTAGCCTTGAGCTGAAGAGCTGAGGGACAGCGTCCAGGCCCAGAGTATAGGCCCCACTACTGGACCCCTCAAAAAAAAAAAAACAAGTCCTGAGTTTAAGCCCCACAACTGACCAAAAAAAAAAATGTCCAGGAGATGCTTCTCTCCAATTAGCCACCAAAAAGCCAGAAGTGGAGCTGTGGCTCCAGTGGAAGAGCATCACTTGCCTTGAGCATAAAAATTCAGGGACTGGGGGCTGGGAATGTGGCTCGTGGTAGAGCGCTTGCCTTGCATGCCTGAGGCCCTGGGTTCGATTCCTCAGCACCACATAAGCAAAAAGAAAAAAAGCCAGAAGTGGCGCTGTGGCTCAAGTGGTAGAGCGCTAGCCTTGAGCTGAAGAGCTGAGGGACAGCGCCCAGGCCCAGAGTTCAGGCCCCACAACCGGACCAAAAAAAAAAAAAAAAAAATTCAGGGACTGTACCTAGGCCCTTAGTTCTAGCCCCAGAACTGGCACAAAACAACTCCCTCCTTCCCTGCAAAAAAGTGCTCTGGTCTAACCCCAGTCCTGACTTAGGGACTTGGCATTCCCATAGGGTATTAACAGGCCTGCAGGATACCTTTGACAATCTAGTTGTGCTTCTGCTCATTGCCTGGCACAAGCAACTTTAGAGGCTGTGTCTGGGAAGTGTTCCAGGCCCCATCAACCTAGGCCCTCCCTATCAATATTGTGAATTTGAGGGGTTATGCTAGATAGATTAAATTCTCATTGCTCCCCTCCATGTATAAATATTGGCACAAGAAGGTCCCTTGTCCAATGATTAAACCTGGTCTTGAGAAAAAGTAACTCAAGTCTCGCCCCTTCAAAAGACGAAAACAGCACATCTGCCAGGTATAAGTGACTCACAGCTGTAACCCTAGCTACTCAGAAGGATGAGATCTGAGAAGCCAGCTGAGCAGGAAAGTACATGAGACTTATCTCCAATGAATCACTAAAAAGGCAAAAATAGAGCTGTGGCTCAAGTGATAAAGGACCAGCCTTCAGGGAAAAATCTAAGGGACAGCATCCAAGTCCAGCCTGAGTTCAAGCCCCAGTAGCAGCCCCTTCCCGCCAAAGAACAAAAAACAAGTCCTACATCCTTAAAAACAACAAAAATAAATGAATTTCTCTTTTGTTGAGCTTTTTTTTTTTTGTTCTTTTTTGCTAGTCCTGGGGCTTGAATTCAGGTCACTGTCCCTGAGCTTCTTTTGTTCAAGGCTAGTGCTCTACCAGTTGAGCCACAGCACTATTTCTAGCTTTTTCTGTTGATGTGGTACTGAGGAATCAAACAGAGGGCTTGATGCATGCTAGGCAAGCACTCTACCACTAAGCCAGCCCTTAGAGACTTTTTATTTTCAATTATCCAGGAAAAAGCTAGAGGTGGAGGTGTGGCTCAAGTGGTAGAGCACCAGCCTTGAGTGTAAAAGCCAAGTGAAAGTGCCCTGGCCCTGAGTTCAAGCTCTAGTACCCCTTCATGCACAAACGTTTCTGACAACTCCCCTTTTTTTTCTGGTCAGTGGTGGGGCCTGAACTTGGCCTGGGTGCTGTCCCTCAGCTCTTCAAGGCTAGCACTCTACCACTTGAGCCACAGCACCACTTCTGGCTTTTTCTCCTTATGTGGTGCTAAGGAATCGAACCCAGGGCCTCATGCATGCAAGTCAAGCACTCTACCACTGAGCCACCTTCCCAACCCCCTGACTACCCTTTTTGCAAAGGATGCTGTGCTTGAGCCTTTCTGAGAGAGAAAGTATTTAACACCCTGAAGTTCCTAGAGGGTCCAAGACCCTTTGGAGACAAGAGGGAGGGTACTGCATGGTTAAGCAGCTTGTTCTGATGGAATAGGTGGCATCCAAGCTCTAAGAATCTGGATGACGGTTGGGCAGAAACTATGAGGAAATTTTTCTTTCTGCCAGATCTGAGACAGAAAGGCTCCAACACACACAACATCCTTTACAAAAAGGATGGTCAGATGTGTGTGTGTGTGTGTGTGTGTGTGTGTGCGTGTGCAGATCTTGGGCCTCATACTCTCATTTAGCTTTTTTTTTTTTACTCAAGGCTAGTGTTCTACCACTAAGCTTTTTCTGCTTATGTGGTACTAAGGAATTGAACCCAGGGCTTCATGCATGCAAGGAAAGCACTCTACCACTGAGCCACCTTCCCAGCCCCTCAGTAACTTTAAAAAACAAAATTCAGTTTTGTTTTCTGACTGTTCTTCAATCCACGATCCCTTCAGTAGTTCAGATGTCCTTAGGTGCACACATGGCTGGTTATACATGTGCTCACCCCAGCGATCACACAACTGTGGGCCTTTTTTGCTTGTCCCACCATCAGGAGTGAACATTCTTTGCATTCTTTACTCTTTGGCAATGCCAGGCCTTCCAAGAGGATATCTATCTATCTATCTATCTATCTATCTATTCATCCATCCATCCATCCATCCATCCTCTTCTGCTATGCTTGGAATGAACCTTTGCTCTACAAGCGCCTAAGTTAATTCTCTCTCTTTCCCTCCTCTTTCGTGCCAGTTCTGAGGCTTGAACTCAGGGCCTGAGCACTGTCCGTGAGCTTTTGTGCTCCAGGCAAGGTTAGTGCTCTACCACGACCCACAGCTCCACTTCTGGCTTGTTTAGTAGTTCATTGGAGATACTCTCATAGGACAGTTCCTGCCTGGGCTGGCTTTGAACCGCGATCCTCACATCCCAGCCTCCTGAGCAGGCGCGAGCCACGGGGGGGCCCGACTCTCTTACTTTCTCTGTTTGTTGGTGATATTGAGAATTGAACTTAGGGTATCCCATCTGTTAGGGCATGGCGTTGTACCTACCGAGCCACGCCCCCTAGCCCAACACAGGTGTGTTTTCTAATGCCCCGCCCCACTGGCTGGTAGACTATATGCTGGTCATGAGCCTGCTTTGCCTCATAGTTCCGGGGCGGAAGACTACGACTCCCAGAATCCCATTCGCTTTCCCCCGCCCCCGTGGAGATGCTTTTCCTCTCCCCCGGCACGTGGAAGACTGAGCATGCGCCCTCCCATAACTCGCTCGCAGTAGGGAAGACTGAGCATGCGTAACGGTCCACGCAGCCCGCAGACTGCATCTCCCGGCAGGCAGCGGTGCAGTCATGTGGGGGGGGGGGAGGAGGCGGAGGCGGCGCGGCCCTCGTGACGAGCGACTTCCGGCGTGGAGGGGCGGGGTCGTGCGCGCGGCTGAGGCAGCACCCAGACCGCGGCGAGGGGAGCGGCCCAGCCGGGCCTGCCGGGCGCTGAGGGCCGCCATGGAGGCCGTTCCCCGGATGCCCATGATCTGGTTAGACCTCAAGGAAGCCGGTGACTTCCACTTCCAGCCGGCCGTGAAGAAGGTGAGCGCGCCTTCCCGCCGCGTCTCCCCGCCGCCGCCGCCGCCCGGCGCGTGACGCCCCTCGGGCTCCGGTCTCCGCCCCCCCCCCCCCCCCCCCCCCCCCCCCCCCCGCTTCCAGGCCCGGCCACCGGGTCGGGTGAGGCCGCGTTTCCCTCTCCGTCCGTCGGGGCCCTGCGTGCTCGCCTCCTCCCCCCACCCCCACCGCTTCCCAACCTCTGCCTCCAGGATCTGTCCGTCGGGCCCGTCCGTCCGTCTGTCTGTCTGCTTGCCAGTTCCCACCGAGGCCCTTCCCCGGGGTGACGCCTTCTGGGCCCATTTCTGCCCCGCCCCTCCTCCCTCGCCAGGCCGCCCCCACCCCCGCGGTGAGGTTGGCCCTGGTGGGGGTACGTGTGTGTGTGTGTGTGTGTGGCCCTGGTGGGGGTACGGGTGTGTGTATGTGTGTCCCTGGTGGGGGTACGTGTGTGTGTGTGGCCCTGGTGGGGGTACGGGTGTGTGTGTGTGTGTCCCTGGTGGGGGTACGGGTGTGTGTGTGTGTGTGTGGCCCTGGTGGGGGTACGGGTGTGTGTGTGTGTGGCCCTGGTGGGGGTACGGTGTGTGTGTGTGTTCGTGTGTTCCAAGCTGGGCCCGGCCCAACCCCACTTGTGGACCTGGAGGACGGGTGTGTGTGTGTGTTCCAAGCTGGGCCCGGCCCGACCCTACTCGTGGACCTGGAGGACGGGTGTGTGTGTGTGTTCCAAGCTGGGCCCGGCCCGACCCCACTTGTGGACCTGGAGGATGTGTGTGTGTGTGTGTTCCAAGCTGGGCCCGGCCCGACCCCACTTGTGGACCTGGAGGACGTGTGTGTGTGTGTGTGTGTGTGTGTGTGTGTGTTCCAAGCTGGGCCCGGCCCGACCCCACTTGTGGACCTGGAGGACGTGTGTGTGTGTGTGTGTGTGTTCCAAGCTGGGCCCAGCCCGACCCCACTTGTGGACCTGGAGGACGTGTGTGTGTGTGTGTGTGTGTGTGTTCCAAGCTGGGCCCGGCCCTACCCCACTTGTGGACCTGGAGGACGTGTGTGTGTGTGTATGTGTGTGTGTTCCAAGCTGGGCCCGGCCCGACTTCAGTTGTGGACCTGGAGGACGTGTGTGTGTGTGTGTGTGTGTGTATGTATGTGTGTGTGGCCCGACTTCACTTGTGTGTGTGTGTGGCCCGACTTCACTTGTGGACCTGGAGGACGTGTGTGTGTGTGTGTGTGTGTGTGTGTGTGTGTGTGTGTGTGTGTGTGTGTGTGTGTGTGTGTGTGTGTGTGTGTGTGTGTGTGTGTGTGTGTTCGTGTTCCAAGCTGGGCCCGGCCCGAGCCCACTTGTAGACCTGGAGGCTGGCTTTATTTAGGCTGTGTGTCTAAGACGGGAACCCTAGCCCGACCTGGGCGGGGGTGAGGGGTGGAACTGAGGGGGTGCTGACACTTGTTTTATATCAGTCCCGGGGCTGGAACTCAGGGCCTAGAAGAAGCTGTCCCTGGAATTTTTGTGCTCCAGGCTTGAGCCAGCTCTTGGCCGCTAGAGCCACCGTGCTCCTCCCCAGATTTTTGGTGGTTTAATGGAGGGCAGGGGGTGGGGGGAATGGTTTCACCGATAAAGTCTCAACAGATTTGTTTTTTGCTGTGATCTCAGCCCTAGTTAAGCGTAGGATGACAGGTGTGAGTGAGCCAGTGGCGCCGAATGCGCCGTGGTGCCGACTCCCAGACCTCACACGTCTATTCATGAAGCACCTGTGGACCAAAAGCCACCTGCAGGGTTGTTATAGCCGGCCGCGGAGGGATCTGGTGAGAATGGCCGACTTGCATAGGACAGACAAGATTGGTGTTTATTGAGGCAGGGGGGCTTCTGAAGGGAGGGCACAGAATGTGGTGAGTGAGCATCAAGGGTCTCTCTGAGACAGCACCTGCTTTTGGGAAGGGCCACCAGAGCAGAAGTGAAGCAGGCCAAACGTCTGCTGGAGATGGTGTGTCTGTTGGAGATGGTGCGTTGTGTTTGTGTGTTTTAGCACAGAAGCTACTAGATTAAGCACTATTCAGTGAGGTGCTTGGGAAAAGAAGCTTGAGTTTGGAAATAGTTTCCTACCAAAGCTATATCCCACCTTCACACTATTAGAGTCTCCATTCAGGCACTCTTGGTTTGCATTCCTTGTTATAATTTTGCCTGTTCAGGGCACCAAAACTGGGTCCCTTCCAAGTGTTCCTTTCCCACTGAAATACTAGCCTTGGCCTCTGTTTCCTCATCTTGTAAAACCAGGAAATTAGACTAATTGATCTAAAAATTTTTCCCCCAGTCGTGGGACTTGAACTCTGAGTCTGGGCGCTGGCCCTGAAGCTCTTCAGCTCAAGGCTAGTGCTCTATAACTTGAGCCACAGCGCCACTTCTGGTTTTCTGGTGGTTTATTGAAGAGTCTCATGGACTTTCCTGCCCGGGCTAGCTTTGAACCGCGATCCTCGATCTCAGCCCCATGAGTAGCTAGATTACAGGCGTAAGCCACTAGCACCCAGCAAAAATTTTGTTTAATTGTTTTCCATTTGCTCTTTCATAGAAATACAACTACCTGGGTTTTTCTGAAACACAGCAAAACTCTGGCTTCTAGTTTTATACAGTGAAGCTAAGTTCTTTAGTTCCCCTTTTAGAGCTCTCCTTTACCTGGCCCAGTTCTTTTTAGCGATCATTGGGGGCCCATTATAGTTTGATCTGTATAGTTCTGGTACAGGCCTTCCATGTTTCTGCTTATAGCTTGTTGCTCTTTTCTGTCCAGGAATTCTTCCCTGTTCTTGTAGGTCCTTTTTTAGTGTGCGTGTGCATGTGTGTGTAGTGTGTATATATATATATATGCATATGTGTGCATATATACATACGTATGTGTATATATACATATACACACATCTGTACACATGTAATTTTTGTTTAGTTTATTTTTCTTTTTCACATGTAATTATTTTTTTTGTGTGTCGGTCATGGGGCCTGAACTCTGGGCCTGGGCACTGTCCCTCAGCTCTTCAGCTCAAGGCTAGTGTCCTACCACTTGAGCCACAGTGCCACTTCCGGCTTTTTTCTGCATATGTGGTGCTGAGGAATCAAACTCAGGGCCTCATGCATGCAAGGCAAGCACTCTACCACTGAGCCAACTTTCCAGTCCCACACATGTAATTTTTTTTTTTTGTCGGCCGCGGATCTTGAACTCTGGGCCTGGGCGCTGTCCCTCAGCTCTTCAGCTCAAGGCGAGCGCTCTACCACTTGAGCTACAGCGCCACTTCCGGTTTTCTGGTAGTTTATTGGAGATAGGAGTCTCACGGTCTCTTCTGCCCGGGCTGGCTTTGAACCGCGATTCTCAGATCTCAGCCTCCTGAGTAGCAGCTAGGATTACAGGCGTGAGCCACCAGCTCCCGGCACATGTAATTTTTTGTGTGTATGTGCACATGAGTGCCAGTACCAGGGCTTGAACTTAGGGCTTTTTTTGTTCGTGAGTAGTGCTCTACCAGTTCAGCCACACAGTCTGGTGTTTTGCTGGTTTCTGAATTTAGGGAGGTAAAGTAAAATTCAGTTCTGTTTATGTCAGCCTATTAAGCACTATGCTGAGCTTTGCTAATACAAATACAGTCCTAACTCCCTTTTTTCTCAATTGTTTGGTGGAGAGAATTTAAAAATTAGAGTGATACTAGTCTAAGAAGAGTTTGTAGCATTTAGAAATACCAATCTTAAGGAGGGGACATCAGGGAAGGCTTGCTAGAGGTGGGTTTTGAAGGATGAATAGAAGTTTTCTAGTTAGATGTTTGTTTGTAAGGCTAGGCTTTTGACAAAGTCTTTCGTGGTGGTATTGTTAAATAAAATTTGGGGAGGCCACAGACTTGGAGTAGGCCCGAAAGACCAAACTAATAGAGAATTGAGTTATAGTAAATGAAGCATGGGTGGTCCTATTTAAACAGTAACAGGTTGACTCATTGATTCAGTAGCAGCTGGTTAAGTTGTTTTCTTCACCTCACTGTTTTTTGGTAAATGTTTTCAGAGAACATGGGTGTTTGGAATTCTCTGAAGGTCTTTTGATTGGAAGATTTCCCTGTTCATGCATCATTGTGTTATAGCTTTTGCGCAGATAAACCCATTACATTGAAACTTGCCAAAGGTTTTTCTGTTTAACTATTGATTTTTGCTTCAAATGGATATGTCTTCTATTATATATTGATGTGAAGTGGGAGCCAGGAAAAACAAGCAGTGCTTGGCATACCTAGGTTGGCATACCTGGGCTCACATAATTTTTTTAGTGGAAAAGTGATATTAACACCCCCCCTCCTCCGCCTTCCCGCTTTAATAGAGATTGAAGGCAGGGCTATGTGTTCCCCTATTCTAAGCAAGCACTCTACCACTGAGGTGTCCTTTCAACCTGCTCTACATTGTCCTGACTCACTGGACCTACATGAAGGATGCCTCTTCGGTTCTTCATTGTTGACTATAGTTTGGCTACAGGTGCTAGTGTTTGTTCTTTCCAGCCCCAAACACCTACTTTAACTGCACCTGAGCTGCTATATAACAGGCTCAGGCTGAGATGATGCAGCCCTCCTGGATTCATTCACTGAGTGCCTCATAGAGCTTTCCTCCTAGTGATCCACATGGTCACCCCTCAGATGCAGGTGTACCATCCGGTTGGTAACCCCTCTGCATATCAGTCATCCTTTCTTCTCTTCTCCCCACACCCACCCCCTTCCCTGAACTGCTACCTACATTTCTACCTTTTGGTCACAGTCCTGTAGAGAAACTGCCTACTGTTCAGACCTGTCACCAGCTCACTGAAGCCTGCTTCTGTAACTTCACTCCTCTGGGCCTTTCCCGTGGGAACTTCCAGCATCCCTCCCACATCTGATCATGGATTGCCCTTGCTCAGGTCCTCACCGGAACTCCTGCCTACTTGTTTGATACCCATGTTGAACCATCTCTTAATCCCAGTCCCCTCAGATACCTGGCAATTGAACCACCTCCTCTGAATCAGACCGGCCTTTCCAGCACTCAGTTGCCTTACAACCTAGGGTGCGCACACATGCCGCCTCCATCTTATTCACATCTAGGGAGGGCCTGGCTTTTCAGATTTGTGGAACTTTTTCCTGTTACCCCGTGGGACCGCTGGCTCTTAGAAAATTAGTGTACATTTGCACGTACACAAAGAGAGAAAGGTAATTGAGAAATTCCGAGGCCTTAAGAGGAAATGGGGAAACTGTCAGTTACCTGTGGAGGTAAAATGGAATCACGGATTCGACTTCACAGCAGAATGGCTCTAGCCACAGATGACCTGGCTTGTCCCTGCTCTTCTCTGACTTTGCTAATCCCATACGCCAAAGGCCCACGTCCATTTCACTCAGGGCTTAGATCAGAGTTGGGTCCTTCACTCAGGCAGTAGTAAATCCTTGTGTGGGGAGTGCCTAGTTAGGTGTTGGCTGGATGACCTGATCTAGTTCTGACTTCCTCTGGGAGAGGTAACTTGAGTCTTTCTCACTCGGGCTGTTTATGAGACCCAGGGGCCAATCAGAAGTGAGATGAGAGGAGGGGCTCAGTATTCCCCAGGTTCAGGTTAAGGGACAATTGAGAGTCTGTTTTCAGGTGCAGTACTTTTAGCGGTGATTGTCTACCAGGCTTGCTGACAGGGGGCCAAAGGCTAAAAATTTCCCTTGGCAGCACTTTTTTGCCAGTCCTGGGGCTTGAACTCAGGGCCTGGGCACTGTCTCTGAGCTTCTTTTGCTCAAGGCTAGCACTCTACCACTTCCAGCTTTTTCTTCCACAGCGCCACTTCCAGCTTTTTCTTTTTATGTGGTACAGTGGAATCGAACCCAGGGCTTCATGCATGCCAAGCAAGCACTCTACCACTAAGCCACATTCCCAGCCCCAGCACTTCTTACTCGAATAAAAGTAACCTCATTTGAAGTTCAGCAGCTGTGCGGGTATTATACAAAGTGACAGTATTATTTGCAGGACTGGATTCATTGTGTATTTCTGAGCGCAATTCAAGGAATGCCTTATATTCGACTCAGCTCTGGAAGTAGAGGAACAAGGAGAGTGTATGTGTGCACGAGGTACTAATACCCTGTGGTGCAATAAGGTGGTCAGGGTCTGCAGTCCCAGCTGCCTGAGAATCTGAATTTTACTGGACCTAGAAGTTCAAGGCCCTCAGGTGAACCTCAAAAGAAAAGTTGCCGGCTGGGAAGGTGGCTCAGTGGTAGAGTGTTTGCCTTGCATGCATAAGGCCCTGGGTTTGATTCCTCAGCACCATATAAGCAGAAAAGGCTGGAAGTGGGCGCTGTGGCTCAAATGGTAGAGTGCTAGCCTTGAGCTGAAGAGCTGAGGGACAGCGCCCAGGCCCAGAGATCAGGCCCCACCACCGACCAAAAAAAAAGTTGCAAATTCAATCCTTTTTCATGCCTTTCCTTTTTGATTTATCACTTTAAATTAGCATTGAGGTTTGGAGATAGTATGTCAGACTAAGAGCATAGCAAGCTCTGTTTGCTGTTCAGTAGGCTGAGATCTGAGGAGTGCGATTCTAAGCCAGCCTGGGTAAGAAAGTCTGTGAGACTCCTATCCAATTAACCACCAGAAAACCGGAAGTGGAGCTGTAGCTCAAAGTGGTAGGGGCTAGCCTCGAGTGAAAAAGCTTAGGAACAGTGCCCATGCCCCGAGTTGAAGCCTCATTCCCGACAAAAAACAAAAATAAAGAGCTTAGCATAAGCTAGGTACCTGTGGTTCATGCCTGAAATCCTTGCTACTTAGGAGGCTGAGATCTGAGAATCACTGTTCAAAGCCAGCCTGGGCAGGAAAATCTATGAGACTCTTTGGAGTTCGAAATGGAGGTATGGCTCAAATAGTAGAGTACCATGCCTTGAGCAAAAAAGGTCAGGAGCAGCACCCAGGTCCTGCGTTCAAGATCTGGGACGGACAAACAAATCAGAAACAAATAGATGGTATAATATATGGCTAGGAACATGGTCTCTGAAGTCCAAATGCCTAGATTTCAGTCCTTGCCCCTTCATTTACTAGTACTGTGAAGCCTTGGCAAATGACTCACTTTTTTCCAAAGAAAATTAGCTGACATTATTATGGGGGGGGGGGTGGATTTCTTACATTTCCACACCTGTATGCAGTGTTTTCCAGTCATTCTCCCTGTACCACTCAGCCCTCAGGTTTCTCTTCTCATGTGTGAAATGGTGATAATCAGAACAATATCCACGTGTGTGGGTTGTGTACGGATTGAGTGTCTGAGGCTCTCGGTGCTAGCCTGTGGCTGCTCATCTTGGGGAAGCAGTGAACTTACGTGGACAGCAGCGCAGCCCTCTCCCCTTCCCACTGTGTGAAGAACAGGGACAGGTGTTTTCTGCAATGCCACATGAAGACCTCTTAGAGGAGAACTTACCATGTCACTCTGATTGCTTTGGCCTGTATGATCTCTCAGGGCCTCTGGGCTGTGCTTGGACTTAGTCTAACAGTGGGCAGACTTAAAACCTCTTAGATGAGATGGAGTCAATTGAAAAATCTGCTCCTGTTCAGATAATCAAATTTTACCTCATAGCTCAAGGCCCCCCCCCTTTTTTTTTTTTTTTTGTTGGTCGTGGGGCTTGAACTCTGGGCCTGGGCGCTGTCCCTCAGCTCTTCAGCTCAAGGCTAGTGCTCTACCACTTTGAGCCACAACGCCACTTCTGGTTTTCTGAGTGGTTTATTGGAGATAAGAGTCACGGAGGAGTTGGGGAGGTGGAGAGGAAAGGGACAGTAGGGGAAAAACAAAGGAGGGGGTAACAATGCTCCATAGGAAATGGGCTCATTACCTTGCTTATGTAACTGTAACCCCTCTGTACAGTATCTTTGCAATAAAAAATATATATTATTAAAAAAAGAGTCTCACGGACTTTCCTGCCTGGGCTAGTTTTGAACCACGATCCTCAGATCTCAGTCTTCTTAGTAGCTAGGATTACAGGCGTGAGCCACTGGTGCCTGGCTTTTTTTTTTTTTTAACTTTTGGTCGGTTGGGGGGCCTGGGCGCTGTCCGTCAACTCTTCAGCTCAAGGCGAGCACTCTACCACTTTGAGCCACAGTGCCACTTCCAGCTTTTCTGCTTATGTGGTGCTGAGGAATGGAACCCAGGGCCTCATGCATGCAAGGCAAGTGCTCTACCACTGAGCCACCTTCCCAGCCCTCATAACCTGACTTCTAGAACTGGGACTCCTTTTTTTTTTTTTTTTTTAAACAACTACTTAATAAAAAATAAATGTTAAAAATTGCTTTCCTCACCAGGCATCAAGAACACATAAGCATGCATTTTGTAGATTTTTTTTTCTCTTTAGATTACATCCCATTGCTTTCTCTGTCTTGAACTGAGGATGTTTTGTTTTATTTTTTTCCCCCCAAGGGTGTGCGTTTCTTTCTCAATCATGGGATGGAAAGCTAGGAGTGACATCAGAGTTCTGATGGATTTGTAGGAGTGGGTTGAGGTAGCAGGGGGTAAAAGAATTGAGCTCGCTGATCCAGGGACTTTGAGGAGGTAAAAACCAAGAGAAGAGGAGGGAAGGGCCAGAGGATTGAGAGAATTAACTGGAGGGGGCTGTAATTAGCTCAGCATTAGCCTTTCCTCTTCCTTTCCCTTCCCTTTTCCTACTAGTGTAGATGAAACCTGTCTCCGGCATCCCCCATTCCCACATGACTGATTCCTTAGCACTGGGTCCTGGGTCTTGGAAAGGAATACAGGAAAAGAATACAACTCACAGACCTTGGCTGGGGCCTGGAAGTCATTGTGCTTTAGTCATCAGTGTCCTTTGTAGAGCACGTGGCTTCCCTCTACCCCAGATTGCTATCCAGTGCACCAGCAGCAAGCATGGCAGCGGGGATTGCTATCCAGTGAACCAGCAGCAGGGGTAATTCCACTGCCTTAGTCTGTTGATCCTTGTTGAACAAGGCAGGGTCCTTCACTCAGGACTCAGCTGGTGTGGATGCTCTCTGTCTAAGACAGACGGCTCTTGAGGTGGTGGGCAGGCACATCAGTCTCCTGATGTGGCAGTTGAATCCCCCTGTCCCCAGGTCCTGTCTGGGTCATTCCTACCAGACAAGATTGCAGATCACCTGTGGTTCCCTTTCCTATCTTTCCTAGTGAGGATAGGGTTGCCAGAGGGGGTTTTGTAGGATTGCTTGTGTGTGTGTCTGTGTGTCTGTCGTGGGGCTTGAACTCAGGGCCTTAGCACTGTCCCTGAGCTCTTTTGCTCAAGGCTAGTAATTCTCCAACACTTTGAGCCACAGTGCCACTTTCTGTTTTCTGGTGATTCAGCCTGGGCTGGCTTTGAACCTCAATCCTCAGATCTCAGCCTCCCAAGTAAGTAGGATTACAGGTACATGCTATCGGCACCCAGCTACTCTTGGTCTTGTTTGGTGCCTTTTACCTACGTATGTCATCGGATTATGATTCCAAAACAGCAAGGTGCAATCCTAAGGATGCTTAAGTTTGTGACCCTTTAGGGTCCTACTTAGCCAGCTAAGCTCCCTAGTTTCCTGAGCTGGAAGAATCCTGGACTTTGTGGAGAGGGCTTCAACATTTTAAGGACCTGCCCAGGGTCTACTATGCTCAGAGGAGGCGTTTGTGGCTATAGTATCTTGGTGTTGCCATTTGTTGTGGAAGAGTAGTCCCAGCTGTGGGTGTAGAATCAAGCCTGGACTCCAGCTGGCAATCACCAGAGATCTGAGTGCGTGTCTGTGTCTCTGTCTCTCTTATCTTTCACTGGATTACATTCTTTTTTTTCCTCCTCCTCCTAGTTTGTCTTAAAGAATTATGGAGAGAACCCAGAAGCCTACAATGAAGAGCTGAAGAAGCTGGAGTTGCTCAGACAGGTAGGAGGACTTCATTTTGTTTTGTTTGAAACTGGATCTGACATACCCCATGCTGTTTTTGTTTTTTGTGTTTTTTTTGGTTGATTGTGGGTCTTGAACTCTGGGCCTGGGCGCTGTCCCTCAGCTCTTCAGCTCAAGGCTAGCGCTTGAGCCACAGCACCACTTCCAGCTTTTTCTGCTTATGTGGTGCTGAGGAATCAAACCCAGGGCCTTGTGCATGCAAGGCAAGCGCTCTACCACTGAGCCACCTTCCCAGCCCCCCTCCCCCCATGCTCTTCTTGAATTTGCTTTGTAGCCCAGGCAGGCCTCTGACTGTGATCCAGCTATCTCTGCCTCCTATAGCTGGGGACCACAGGCACTTGCCACCATGCTTGGCTTATTGGTTGAACAGTGGTCTTCTTAATTCTTTCAGTTATTATTTTGCCTCAGACTGATCTTCTTGATTACCTCCTGAGTAGATGGGATTAGAGAACATAAAACAGAGGAAGTTGCTTTGTCTGGTCCCAAAGTTGTGGGCTCAAGTGTTCTTTCTTGAGCCTCCCAAGTTCTAGCTTGTAGCTGGAACTACAATCATGTGCTCCCTAGCCCAGATTTGGTGTTGTTTTTTTGGGGGGGGGGGTTAGTTGTGGGGCCTGAACTCTGGGCCTGGGCGCTGTCCCTCAGCTCTTCAGCTCAAGGCTAGTGCTCTACCACTTGAGCCACAGCGCCACTTCCGGCTTTTTTCTTTTTGCTTATGTGGTGCTGAGGAATTGAACCCAGGGCCTCATGCATGCAAGGCAAGCGCTCTACCACTGAGCCACCTTCCCAGCCCCTGGTGTTTTTTGTTTTTTTTGTTTTTGGGTCCGGTTGTGGGGCCTGAACTCTGGGCCTGGGCGCTGTCCCTCAGCTCTTCAGCTCAAGGCTAGCACTTTACCACTTGAGCTACAGCACCACTTCCGGCTTTTTTCTTTTTGCTTATGTGGTGCTGAGGAATCGAACCCAGGGCCTCATGCATGCAAGGCAAGCGCTCTACCACTGAGCCACCTTCCCAGCCCCTTGTTTTTTGTTGTTGTTGGTGGTGGTTTTTATTTTTTATTGTATTATTTATTTTTTGTTGGTCGTGGGGCCTGAACTCTGGGCCTGAGTGCAGTCCCTCAGCTCTTCAGCTCAAGGCTACCTCTTGAGCCACAGCGCCACTTCCAGCTTTTTCTGCTTATGTGGTGCTGAGAAATTGAACCCAGGGACTCATGCATGCGAGGCAAGCACTCTATCACTGAGCCACCTTCCCAACCCTTTTTTATTTTAAAGCAGTCTGCATACATCTTATTTTTGTGTATTTTGGTTGCTGGAGATTGATATTCATGTCCTAGTGTATGCCAAGTGCACACTTCACTACTGGCTACACTGCAGAAATTTTTTTTCTTTTTCTGTCAGTTGTGGGGCTTGAACTTAAGGTCTGGGCACTGTCCTTGAGCTTTTTTGCTCAAGGCTAGTATTCTACCACCTTGAGCTACAGTGCCACTTCACTTCAGTTTTCTGGTAGTTAATTGGAGATAAGAGTCTCATAGACTTTGCTGTCCTGGTTGGCTTCAAGCTATGATCCTCAGATCTTAGCCTCCTGAGTAGCTAGAATTATGGGTGTGAACCCTTTTTTTTTTCCTTTTTTCTTTTTTAATTAGCATACATAAGTTGTACAAAGGTAGTTCATTGTGATATTTTCTCATAGTCTCCAAATTTATCCTAATCAGCTCACGCCCTCCCATCAGTCATCAGTCTCCTGTATTCCTTAGCCTTCTTCTCAAAACAGTTTCTGCAGGTCCCATTGTCCTGGTCCCATCCCTCGATAAGTGTTTTACCCATTGCTATCACTGCATGCCTGGCTACTTCTTCCAGTATGTTTCTCCATGGTATGGTTGGTTTAGAGAAAAGCAGTTGCATGGTTGATGTTGTTAACTATCTGACTCTTTCTCATGATATTTCAGGTGGTTTTTCTTGGGTTATGTGAGTACACATCAGTACACCTACTGATGGTTTTGCTACCTGCTTTCAGCAGGCACTTTTCTTGTGGTTGCTAGGCACTTCCAGGACAATATTGGTGGCATGATCTGTGCTTGTTTCTGGTGTCTTCTGTATGAGCCTTGTGCACAGGGGTTGGCGGTTGTGCTGTTTGCAGTGGTTTGTTCTGTATTTGGAGCGACTGTGGGAGTGGAGCATCCCAATCTTCTTGTTTTAGGAAGAGTGTCTTGCTCAAGGCCAGGTTGGTGTTTGGTGTTGAACTCATGATTCTCCTGCCTCAGCCTCCTGCCTATTGGTATTATTGGCACGCGCTACCATGCCCAGCTCACCTTAGCTCTCTTGGTGGTGCTCATCTCATGGGTAGCAGGTGGGTCTGTACCATCTCTTACTCTGTGAAAACTTGGAAAATAAGAAACAGGATAAACAAACCAACTGCGCTCCAGATATGGCCATTATAACTACACAGATTTCCTCTTTTATTTTTTGGTGGTTCTTGGGGTTTGACTTCTGGGCCTGGGTATTGTCCCTGAGCTCTTCAGCTCAAGGCCAGCGCTCTACCACTTGAGCCACAGTGCCACTTCCACTTTTCTGGTGGTTTATTGGAGATAAGAATCTCAGGGACTTTCCTGCCCTGGCTGGCTTTGGACTGCGATCCTCAGATCTCAGCCTCCTCAGATCTCAGCCTCCTCAGATCTCAGCCTCCTTAGTAGCTAAGATTCCAGGCCTGAGCCACAGGTGTCCCCCGTCCTCTTTATTTTAATGAGCCAGCAGATCCCATTGCTCAAGAACTATTAAACAGGGACTGGGAAGGTGGCTCAGTGGTAGTGCTTGCCTCGCATGCATGAGGCCCTGGGTTCGTTTCCTCAGTACCGCATAAGCAGAAAAAGCCCAAAGTGGTGCTGTGGCTCAAGTGGTAGAGCACTCGCCTTGAGCTGAAGAGCTGAGGGACAGAGTTCAGGCCCCATGACCGACCCCCCCCCCCAAAAAAAAAAAAAAAGAACTATTAAATTCAATCGATAAAAGATTTGGTGAATGTGCTAACATTTTATGAAAACGGTGGCATGTTTGCTTTGTTTTGTTTTCTTGAGATGGCATCTTGCTATATAGTTCAATCTTGCAATCTTCCTGCTTTATTAAGTGTTTTTCATGTGAAGATTTTTTTCCTGCTTATTTTTCTTTTGGGCAAGAGGGGTGGTGGTGGTGGTGGTGGTGGTGGTGGTGGTTGTAGTTGTTGTATATAGTGAGGTTTGAACCCAGGGCCTCACGCTTGCTAAGCAGGTAGGTCCTTACAGCTTGAGCCACACTCCTAGGCCGTCATCTGCATTTCCTAGCAATAATAACAAAAGGCCATTTTTGTAATTAGTATTCTGAAAATAATGTTTATGCTTTTAAGAATCAAAGTGATAGAATAGCACATCATTTCTGCCTCAGTCCCAAGAAACAGGGACTTGGAGGTCTTCCTTTCTCCCATCAATGTTGTATATTGGAGATCCAGTCATGTAGTAATGCCCGCAGGCATTTGTTAAAACCTTTTTCATTTGGAGGGTTTTGAAGGTGGCTCTCCCTGATAATCCACACAGTGCCTCCAGTTGAGTTGTTGGTAGGAAAACCACTAAATTAATTTCAAGGAGCAGTCATACAACAACATTGGGAAAGAGTTGGGAAACTGTGTGTGTGTGTGTGTGTGTGCGTTCCAGTTCTAGGGCATGAACTCAGGGTCTGAGTGCAGTCCTTGAGCCTTTTGTTGTTGTTCAAGGTTAGCATTCTACCACTTGAACCACAGCTCCATTTAATTAGAGGTAAGAGTGTCATGGACTTTCCTGCCTGGGCTGCGTTCCAGCGTCAATCCTCAGATCTCAGCCTCCCAAGTAGCTGGGATTACAGGTGACCATGAGCCAAGAGTACCAGGCAAGAGTTGGAAACTTCCTTACCATGCTTAAACATCAACTTGCTTATTTCACTTGAAAACTTTGCTTCTCTGGTTTGAATAATGACTTTCATGTCTGGGTTTGTGGCAGGTACCAGTACTTGTTGGTACTTTCTGGATAGCTGTCGGGAATTGTTTTCACTTGGTAGCTTAAATAGAACTATTTCCAAATTAACAGATCGGTTGTATACTGTAAGGAGTCACCAGTACTGCTCGTTGATTGCAGGAAGGTTAGTGGATGTGTTCTGTGAGAGACAAGGAACCCTAAGAGTTGCTTCTACCTCAGGTCTAGTGTTGTTTTATGTGCTGGTACTGGGGCTTGCACTCATGGCCCTGAGTACTGTCCCGCAACCCTTCTGCTCTAGGCTGATGCTTTACCACTTGAGCATCTCTAATTCCAGCTTGGCTTTGAACCATGATCCTCAGGTCGCAGCTTCCTGAGTTGAGTAGCAAGGATTATAGGCATGAGCCAGGGCCTGGCTGTTGTCCCTGAGCTTTTGTACTCTGCCATTTGAGCCACGGCTCCACTTCAGCATTTTGGTGGTTGGTTTTAGATTAGAGTCTCATGGACTTTCCTGCCTGGGATGACTTTTTTTTTTTTTTTTTTGGTCCAGTCGTGGGGCCTGAACTCTGGGCCTGGGTGCTGTCCCTCAGCTCTTCAGCTCAAGGCTAGCGCTCTACCACTTGAGCCACAGCGCCACTTCCGGCTTTTTTCTTTTTGTTTATGTGGTGCTGAGGAATCGAACCCAGGGCCTTGAGCATGCAAGGCAAGCGCTCTACCACTGAGCCACTTTCCCAGCCCCCCGGGATGACTCTTAACCACAGTCCTCGAAGCTCAGCTTTCTGAGCAGCTAGAATTTACAAGTATGAGCCACCAGTGCCCGGCTAAGCATTAATTTTTCTGTGCCAAAGATCTTGGGGCTTGAACTCAGGGCCCAGTGTTGTCCTTGAGCCATGACTCCTCTTCAGCATTTTGGGATTAAGAGTCTCATGGACTTTCTTGCCCAGGCTGGCTTTGAACCATAATCCTCGAACCTCAGCCTTCTGAGTAGCTAGGATTACAGGTATGAACCATTGG